TGAGACATTACAATCTTAGCCTTTGATGATGGCCAGACTATATCTACATCAAAAGCTTTATTTGAGGAAGGAATGGTTTCTATTCAGGTGGAGGGAGGGGAGGAAAGAGAAGTCCGTTCTTTATTCTAGCAATGCCTTGCACAAAAGTATATTTCAGGAAATTTTCTGGACATATCCCCTTTAAGCTCTGAGAGAAAAGCTGTATGTAATACCTTGTTGGGAGATAATTCCACCAATTAATGTGTGACAAATGGCTGAGAGTAGGAGACAGTTATTCTGAATATTTGAAAGTATTTTTTTTGCTCTCCTTTCAATACCATAGCCATCTCATCTCTTCTCACACACAGAAAACACTCAGGTGAACAGCAGCAGTCAATGAAGATGAGGCTGCCAGGAAGCCCCCCCCCAAAAAAAAACCTAACCAGTGGTCCCATGATCCAGACAAAATGTCCATGTTTGCATGTCATGGTAAGCCATACAGTATGGCAGGCAATTAAGAAAACTTCTTTCCATAGTCGATGTGTTTTTATTATAGATATTATTGCAAGCCACTTTGATATTTTTTAATGACATACTGATGTATACATATTGTTATAAATACAGAAATTGTATAACTTCCCTACATACAAATCAGAATGACTTTTCAATAAACAGCCGCCATCATGTAACTTCCCTGCAAACTTTGTCCAAACAAATCAGGACGAATGCTCAGTAGACAAGTCATCTGCATGTGACCCTAGTTAATTAGAATGAGCTTCTCATTGCCTGCAGAGCTCTGTGCCCATCCTTCTTACTGGCAGAATTAGCAACTACATGCATATTTGCTTAATGTGGATAATTTATATACAGGTCACAAAATTTCACTTCCATTGGCGCAAGCTTAAGCTGCTCTGGCACAGATTTCTGACTCTTTCCCCCCCAGCACAGAGTACACAAAGCCCTAGAGTATGTGCCAAAACGATGAATCTAAATCTCTAAATTAGAGGGTTGTGGGTATATCCTGCAATAAAACTAGTGCAACCGGTCAATCCAGAACAAATTTGAGGAACATGGCCAGCAGCATTCCTCAAGTCAATGGTCTTCAGATATCTATGGTCTTAAAAAGTATAAGCTTCCTAAGAAAATACATCGATCAGTACAGTATTATCAATCTTCTTATTGCTTCAACATATTGAGATGCCTTGATAGGTCTGGGTTTGGAAAGAACTAGCTGTTTGTAAAGGGACGCAGGTGGCGCTGTAGGACTTGCCCCGCGACGGGGGGAGCTCCCGTTGCTCGGTCCCTGCTCCTGCCAACCTAGCAGTTCGAAAGCACGTCAAAGTGCAAGTAGATAAATAGGTACTGCTCTGGCGGAAAGGTAAACGGCGTTTCCATGCGCTGCTCTGGTTCGCCAGAAGCGGCTTAGTCATGCTGGCCACATGACCTGGAAGCTGTACACCAGCACCCTCGGCCAATAAAGCGAGATGAGCGCCACAACCCCAGAGTCGGCCACGACCGGACCTAATGGTCAGGGGTCCCTTTACCCTTTACCTTTAGCTGTTTGTAAAACGACAAGTCTTAATCTATGACATTATTAAGAATATCAGTGCAGAACTCTGGTTTGGTAAGAATTTTTCACATTTGAGATGGGCCCATTGGTAGAGCACATGCCCTGCATGCAAAATATCCCAGGTTCAATCCTTGCGGCATCGCCAGGTAAGGTTTGTGGGTACTCTTTGGTGAGAGAATGCCAGCAGGGATTTAAAATCACAAAATAGGCAATGTCTTAATGAGTGATATCTTACGTGGCTGTCGTGCTCCTTTGAGATGGACATGTGAAAAGTGTGTTTTATTTCGGGGTTAGGGGTGTACTTACTACTGCTGTTTTTCGTTGAAGTTTTTGGTTTTATTTTTAAGTTTTTGCCTTGTATTCTATTTTATAATTGTTAGGAATTGTATATTTATTTCTTACTGCATAAGCCCGGACACTGAGGTCCAGCTCCAAGGGCCTTCTGCTGATTCCCTCACTAAGAGAAGTGAGGTTACAGGAAACCCAGCAAAGGGCCTTCTCAGTAGTGGTGCCAGCCTTGTGGAACGCCCTCCAATCAGTTGCCATGGAAATAAACAACTATCTGACATTTAGAAGACATCTGAAGGCAGCCCAGTTCAGGGAAGTTTTCAATTTTTGATGTCGTATTGAGTTTTTATTTGTTGGAAGCCGCCCAGAGTGGCTGGGGGAACCCAGTCAGATGGGCGACATATAAATAATAAATTTGTTGTTGTTGTTGTTAGTTAGTTTTATTCATATATGTTGTTGTTTGGTCGTTTAGTCGTGTCTGATTCTTCATGAACCCATGGACCAGAGCACGCCAGGCACTCCTGTCTTCCACTGCCTCCCACAGTTTTGTCAAACTCATGCTGGTAGCTTCGAGAACACTGTCCAACCATCTCATCCTCTGTCGTCCCCTTCTTCTTGTGCCCTCCATCTTTCCCAACATCAGGGTCTTTTCCAAGGAGTCTTCTCTTCTCATGAGGTGGCCAAAGTATTGGAGCCTCAGCTTCAGGATCTGTCCTCCCAGTGAGCACTCAGGGCTGATTACCTTCAGAATGGATAGGTTTGATCTTCTTGTGCAGTCCATGGGACTCTCAAGAGTAGGTGGCCTAAAAATATTTTAATTTTTTTTTTTAATCTGCTCCAGAGGATTGAACAGTACATGAGGGGAGAAGAAAGGAAATCATTGTCTCTGGCAAGCAGGAATGCTTTTGCTGATGGAACCATCTCCTTGAATTGCACCCAATGACTGCACTAAGATTCTTTTTGGTCTGGTGTTTTACCAATGTTTGTGGGAACCTGGGTGCACTGATGCTTTGCTCGAACTCACGGGGGCTTATCTGAGCAGTGCTAAACCTTTGTTTAACCTTATGTGTGGCCACAGCCTTTGTGTTATTTCTGCATATTTCCCTGTGGTGATCTGCAAGTTACTGCATATGAGATGGTGTCGAGAAATAAGGCTGAAGTCAAATTCAAAGGCATGTTTTGAATCAAAAGTGCCGCACATTGAACGAGATAAATGTTAATCAAAGGTCAACCACTTCAACAAGAGGAAAGACTATTATCAAGCTGAAACGTGGAGTATCTGTGTTTGTAAAAACCTGTTACAGATTCTGTCTGCTCTATGGAGACAGTATCATTATAATTTCTAACGGAGCTCCACTGCTAACACTCCTGCTCTCTGATTCAGACTCAGATATGGCACGTTGCCATAGTCACTCAATCTAAATGCGTTTGCCAAACTGCAATACCTTTCATTCATATTATTTGTAACTCAGAGTAAAGCCCTGATTGACGTATGACTTCACTGCGCTCAGACCTCAGAAAAGAAAGATGAACAACACTTGAAAATTTCTTCCACGGGGCTCTGCCGCATGACAGACCTTTTCCTGACACTCCCCCACCTCACCCCCCAAAATATACAGCTTCATTAATGTGTGACTCCGAAATTCCAGATCCCCCCCCCAACTGATGCCAAAGTTTTGCGGTAGCTTTGTGCTGCGACTCTGCATTTTGGGCCACCACCACCCCAGACTGAATAATTGACAAAGCAATTAGGAGTCATAAGTTAATGCCAGAAGTTCCAATGTTGTCTGATTGACTCCAGAAGTGGTGTGCTGATTTTGTGCCGTTTTATGCCGCAAGCCCCACTTTCTGCGCAGCCCCCCAAACTGAGTAATTGACACACAATCTGTGGGCCATAGACACACCCCAAAACCCAGTGTTGTCTGATTGACTACAAACTGGTGCAGCTGGGGTGAACTGGGATCAGCTAAGATGAACTAGAGAACTAGAGAGCTGGGATGAACTGAGATGAGCTGGCAAGATGGCTAGAGAGCTGGGATGAGCTGGCTAAAGTGCTAGATGTCTGGGGGCCCATCTATCTCGACATCTGGGGGCCTATCTGGGCCCAGCCAACTAGATGTCTTGGGGCCCAGCTGCCTAGACATCTGGGAGACTGTCAGGGGCCTGGCCAGCAAGATGACTGGGGGCCCAGTCGTCTAAACATCTGAGAGATCATCAGGGGGCCCGGCCGTCTAGACAACTGGGGGTCCAGCCATCTAGATGCCTGGGTGCCTGTCTGGGGCCCACCAGGGGAGCTGGTCATCTAGACATCTGGGGGCCCAGCAATCTAGATGTCTGGGGCCCCAGCTGGGGGCCCACCTGTCTAGACATCTGGGAGTCCGGCCATCAAGACATATGCGGGGCTGTCTGGGGATGCTCTGTCTAGACATCTGGGGGCCAGCTTTGGGGCCCTTCTGGGGGCCTAGCCGTCTAGATGTCTGGGGGCCAGTCTGAAAGTCAGTATGGGGGCCCGGCCGTCTAGACATTAAGCACATCAGGCTATATTGTTCCAGCAATTCTGTGAATGATTCCTGACCCCCTTAGCCCACCTCCACCCCCATATCACAAAACACCTGGTGGCAAGAGTGCCTTTACAAATTCTTCCTTCCCAAGTGTAAGGTTCTCGTTTGGCCCTTGGGACTTTCCGCAATACACAGCGCCCATCCCCCTCAATACACAGCTTTGGCCTGGCTGTGATGTTTCTTTCAACCATGACTATGCTTTCCACTTAACTGGCATGAGACAGGGGGGTTTAGTGTAGGAACCTCTGAAATGGAGCACCCTGTATCAAACACAAGAGTCACATTTGATGCTCAATTCCTTTCTCCCCCTGCCTGCCCCCACTACCCTGAAAGTGGCCTCTGGAACTTTGCCCAGAGGCAAGAACAGCCATCAGGGTGAAAATGGTTCTCTATTCCCTGGGATTATGGTGTGCCTTTCTCTGGTATGAGTACAGATGAAGAGTGGCCCCTAATCTTTGTAATAACAGCCCAGCAAAGGGACAAATTACCACTGAGCTGCACCCACCATTGTGAGGGCTGAGGCAGTTGATGATGATGCCTCCCCAGCTGTTGCCATTGGCTGTGGGCTGCCTGTGATGTCACAAAAGCCCGTGGCAGTTGAGCGGACAGTTGAGCGGCCAAAGGGTAAGCCAAGGCAGAAGGCTTTCTCTTTCCCAAAGAGAAGACAGTGGGCAACAGCTATGGCATTAAGCTCTGGGTGGTCTCCTTCCACATCAGACAAGGTGAGGTGACCATCTATAGCAGCAAGATGCTATGGAACAATGAGAAGGTAAGTTCATTTGCTTTGTGGGATTGTGGCTTGAAGGTAGCTGATCTACGCAGTCTGAAGCTAGCTGGTGCCTGATGGTGGAAAGTGGCAGATACTGGTGGGTGGAAGCCAGTGGAGTTCGCATTTGGATTCTGCTGGATGCCGCAAGGCTGATATCTGTGGGTGGAAGCTGGATTAAATTCACCTTTGGAATCCTGTTGATAGAAGCTGTGTGGATATTTGTGCGTTGAAGCTGGGGCTTGTATGTAAGTGAACGAGAGTGGCTGATGAGTGGAATGTGTCTGCGTGCGCATGAATGGGGAGTTTCAAATGTGCTTGAGGTGACTCATGTGTCTGGGTGCATTCAGGGGGTGGCACAGATCATCCCTCCATATGTGGTGTGCCTGGGAATGACATATTCAGGGTGTGAGGGAGATCACCCTCCAGGGTGAATGGATGACCCACTGGGTATTCATGGGTGGAAACCTGTGAAGTCAGGGGTGAAGTTGCCAGGCAGTAGCAAGTGGAGGTACCTGTGTGATTCTGTCAGATGGTAGATACCCCAAGCACTGAGCCTGTGGTTGGCCTTCAGTGATCTCTGAAGTCTGCAAGGTTTCTCTTGAGAACACCCATGGAAATACGGAAGAGAATGGCACCTGCAATATTCACCTTTCATTGATTGCTGAAGAGGCACCTCATTACTCTGGCTATTGAGACGCAAGTTGTGTTTTCATAGAATCATAGAGTTGGAAGGGACTCAATGGTCATCTAGTCCAACCCCCTGCAATGCAAAAAACCTAAACTAAAGCATCTATGACAGATGGCCATCCAACCTCAATAGGCCCACCATATTCCTGTGACTGGGGACGTGGGTGGAGCTGTGGGTTAAACCACAGAGCCTAGGACTTGCTGATCAGAAGGTCGGCAGTTTGAATCCCCACGATGGGGTGAGCTCCCGTTGCTCAGTCCCTGCTCCTGCCAACCTAGCAGTTCAAAAGTACGTCAAAGTGCAAGTAGATAAATAGGTACCACTCGGGCGGGAAGGTAAACAGTGTTTCCGTGCGCTGCTCTGGTTCACCAGAAGCAGCTTAGTCATGCTGGCCACATGCTGTACTCCGGCTTCCTCAGCCAATAAAGCGAGATGAGTGCTGCAACCCCAGAGTTGGCCACGACTGGACCTAATGTTCAGGGGTCCCTTTACCTTTTATTCCTGTGACTGTAATCTAACTGCTTTTAATACTTGGTTTTAAATTGTTGCGAACAACTTTGGGATCTGATAGTTAATAAATTTAATCACCATCATCAAATGGAAGGTCAAAGACACTAATGAAATACAACTAAATCATACTCAGTTACTGGATTCCAGACGTCACAGGTCAGACAACACCGTCTTCTTCCCTTGTTGCAATTTTTTACAGCTTCACTGCTTCCTGACACATGGCACACTTTACGAACTAGTTCAGTGGATTCTCTTCCTCTTCCTCTCCCTCTCTGCTCATTTACCAAAGAGATTTCAAAAAATTAGACTCTACCGCTTTTGCATCCCCTTTCTTCCAGGACTGAGCAGCTGGAGGTCATCTTTCAGCTAGATTTTCATATTCCTCAAGTACAGTTATGTGTGGGGAGCAAGGAAGCGTCATTATCATTTCCACTCATTTTCTGCAATTGCTCCACTTCTCCAGTTGTCTTGGTAAGGCACCGCTTGTCCCTTGGAAAACAGGCATTTGCGAAATGTAAATGAAGCTATCCAGTCTCTTCACATGCAGGGCACTCTCACCTCAACTTGGAAAGCATCCAGTCCACAAAGGTTTGCATAGGAAGACCTTTGCAAAGTTTCCAGAAGCAAGCACGTAAAGGGTGTGCTATGCTGAAGGCAAGGTCATCCAGCATTAGGCATCTCATTCAAATGTGGAGTATGGCAGCTGCCCTTAGTTGTGAAGCACATTACAGTGGTACCTTGGTTCTCAAACGCCTTGGTACTCAAACACCGAAAACCCAGAAGTAAGTGTTCCGGTTTTCGAACATTTTTTGGAAGCTGAACATCTGATGCAGCTGTCGGCTGTTGTTTCCAGGGTGCCTGCACCAGTCAGAAGCTGTGCCTTGGTTTTCAAACATTTTGGAAGACAAACAGATTTCCAGAACGGATTAAGTTTGGTGCTTTCGTTTTTGCTATTTATTTTGCGTTTTTTGTTTTTGAGGCTCTTTTGATTAATTTGTTTTTGTGAATGTGTGGAAACTAGTTCAGCTACTGATTGATTGATTGATTGTGTGACTGCAGAAATGGATAAAAGCCCCTCATCCAAACAATGACTATCATCGGTGCAGGTAAGAATTTATTTGTTTTTTAAATTTGTATCATCTACAGAACTGTCTTGTTTATTTTATAGTACAGTACATTAATTATTGCTTTCATTTTATGGATCAATGGTCTCGTTATATAGTAAAAATCATGTTAAATTGCTGTTTTATGGGTTGTTTTTAAAAGTCTGGAACGGATTAATCCATTTTGCATTACTTTCTATGGGAAAGCACGGCTTGGTTTTGGAACGGACTTCTGGAACGGACTAAGTTTGGAGGAGAACTCAACTACCTGTAGTTTCTTTCGCTATGTAAGCTATGGGGGATGTTGCTTCTCAACGTCCTGATTTCAGACTAGCAGTATTCCTTGTTTCCTTATGTTGCATTTAGTAAAAGAATTTCTCTTGCCGACACCCAACTTGCCTCTTGCTGTATACATACCATGCATCTAAAGCACAGCACTCGCCCTGCAAAGAATCCTGGGAACTGTTGTTCACTGCTCCCGGAGGTACAATTCCCAGCACCCTTAACAAACTACAACCCGCAAAAAGTCTTTGGAAGAAGTCGTGCATGATACCAGTCCTAAAGGATCTGCGCTGGCTCCTGATACGTTCCTGAGCACAATTCAAAGTGTTGGCGTTGACTTTTACAGCCCTAAATGGCCTTGGAGCATCTCCACCCCCATCATTCAGCCCAGACACTGAGGTCTTCCTCCAAGGGTCTTCTGGCAGCCCCCCACTTCTCGAAGTGAAGTTACAGGGAACCAGGCACAGGGCCTTCTCAGCAATGGTGCCCTCCCTGTGGAATGCCCTCCCATCAGATGTCAAGGAGATAAAGAACTACAGTGGTACCTCAGGTTACATATGCTTCAGGTTACATACACTTCAGGTTACAGACTCTGCTAACCCAGAAATATTACCTCGGGTTAAGAACTTTGCTTCAGGATGAGAACAGAAATTGTGCAGCAGCGGCAGCGGGACACCCCATTAGCTAAAGTGGTGCTTCAGGTTAAGAACAGTTTCAGGTTAAGAACAGACCTCCAGAACAATTTAAGTTCTTAACCCGAGGTACCACTGTATATAACTTTTAGAAGACATCTGAGGGCAGCATAGGAAAGCCTTTTAATGTGTCATGTTTTATCATGTCTTTATATGTGTTGGAAGCTGCTCAGAGTGGCAGGGGCAACCCAGCAAGATAGGCAGGGTATAAATATTATTATTATTATTATTATTATTATTAGTGTATACACAGTGGGTGTTATATGTATACAGTGCACTGTTTTGAAAATGAAAACAGTGTACCAAATTGGCCACTAAGTGCCAACAGCCAAGCACACCTGCTTCCTCTCAAACTTTTAGCGCAATTGTCTTTCAGTTGGAAATGAGCAGCGCCCAGGCACGGTCTAGGAGCGCGTCAAGTCCCGCGCCTGAAGGAGAGTACCCTTTCCAAATTTCGGAGTCACAACGGCGCAGTCCTGAAACAGTTTCCTCGAACTCGCCGAAACTAGGCTGCCACCTGTTTCCTGAAAAACTCCCTCCCTTTCGCAGGGGGGAAAAAATCCTTCCTCTTACTTGCCCTCTCCCTTTATGTCTCCTCCGCCTAGAAAGATTTCCTTCCGTCGACTCACCCTTAGAGGCGAGCGCCTCGAGGGCTGCTCTTTGGAGAGGTGTTGACGCGCGCGTAGCCAAACTCGCGCTCGCTTCTCACCCCTCCAGTCGCGCGTGGGGGGCTTTTTGCCCAGCGCCTGTGGGGCGGGGGGGAGGCGGAGCCTGAGCCGGGGAGGGGACGCCTCCCGAGAGCCCTCGGAGACGCCCCACCTCCTCCTTGGCGGAGTTAAGGCGGCGGGAAGAGGCGATTTGTGGCGGGTGCCGCCGTGCGCGCAGCACGCTGGAGAGAGCGCCCGCGGCCAGGCGAGGGAGCGCCCCGACCCCGCGCCGCCCGAGGGGGCTTGGCGGAGCAGCCGCTGTTCCTCGCGCCCCCGGAGGCGGAGACCTTTTGGAGGAGCACTTTCTTTCTTTTCTTTTTTTCTTCTTTCCTCTTTTTCCTTTCGGGCCCCTGGGCGCGCCTTTCGCCTGTCTCCTCGCCCCCTCCCCTCCGCCCATGTCTTGGCTTCCTAGCTGCGATCTGCGTCGATGGAAGGAGGGAGGCGAGGGGGAGCCGGAGGAGGGGGAAGAAGGAGGGGAAGCCGCCGCTCGGGCGCGGTGGGGGGAAGGCAGTGCTCGGCTGCGTCTGTCTCTTGCCGCTGCCCCCTGAGCCCGTCGGGGGGAGTATGAAGCACCATGGTGTGGTGCGACCGTGGGGTCCAGTTGCTGCTGACCACGGTGGGTGCCTTCGCCGCCTTCAGCCTCATGACCATCGCCATCGGCACCGACTACTGGCTGTACTCGAGCGCCAACATCTGCAACGGGACCAACATCACCACGGACGAGACGTCGCCAAGCCAACCCAAGAAACTCAAGGGGGACCTCACCCACTCCGGGCTCTGGAGGATCTGCTGTATTGAAGGTAGCAAGCCGGGGTTGGGAAGGCTTGAGCTGTGTGGGGCGTGGTGGACGGAGGGTGGAGAGGGCTCTCGGCTGCTGGTGTGCGTGCGCGAGCGCGCGAGCGCGCGTCGCTGGGAAAGAGCAGGCGTCGCGAAACAAAGAAAAGATTCGGGGAAAGTGTCCAACTTCCGCGGCTTGGAGTGGCGGGCGACAAACAATGGAACGCTTTCACTCGAAACAGGAGGCTGTGCGGACGGTTCCTGGGAGCGTTCGCCGTTTGCCAGGCGAGGGTTTGGTGCCGGCAGTTCCCCAGCCACATCCTTCTCCTCTTTCTATCTCTCCCCCCCCCCCGACGCCGCGCGCCCTAGTACACACCCTCCTCTCCTCCACACACCCTCCCCTCCAGATGCAGCCGGCCGCAGCCGAGTTGGTACCTCTGATCTGATACTGTCTGGGAGGGAGGACGTTGTTGCCTTGGCAACCGGTGTCTCTCTGATTGCTATGGGAACCGGACATAGGGAGGTGATGCTTAGCCCTGGGTGTCTGCTTCTCTCCAACCCAGCGCTGCCGAGTCGTTACCCTTTCCTGGGGCACTTCAGCTCACACGGGGAGGGAAAGAAAGGCAGGAGGAGGAGATCGGGGTTTTTCGAGGGGAAAGTGCCTGTGTGTGTGTGGCGGGGGCGGGGAGGAGGAAAGTATTCCGGTAGCACTATTTTCTGGGGTTGTGAAAGCAGAACTGTCACTTTATTTGTACATGCGTGCCTGTGAACTAGACGGAGGGAGAGCGGTTCCTCCCGCCCTTCTAGAGTACATATCTGGGACTTACAACGGGGCTTTCTTAAGATGCCCGCTTTCTTTAACAGGTCGATGTTTTAAAGATGAGAGTAAATAAATACAAAACAATCGTTTTAACTTAATGCCGGGCTAGTTCCAGGTTATGGGGGTCTCTTTATCAATATGCCTTTTGGGGGTCCCCTGTCTTCCCTGCTACCTTCCAATCAGTACTAATTCCCCCACCTTCCTGCCAAGTGCAGGTGGCAGAGAGGTGCCCATTCTCTCTCTCTCTGGGTTGCATGATGGACAGGAGAGGATTGGGCCCATGGCACTGCCCAGAGAGAGAGAGAGAAAGTGGAACTTGCTGTTTCAAACCCACCCACCCCACTGCCACACACACACTCTCACACACACACGGTGCAACAACACCCACCATTATAAAGCCCAGAAAGAGAGATCAGATAATAAGCCAATGGGCAGATGGAGACGATCACTCACAGAGCTGCCACCTTCAGCTTCTCCCTCTGAGTGGCATGTTGGTTGGGATGGGCCAGCCTCTGAGTCAGTCCGCCAGACTGTGCTGCCCAGAAAGGGGGGGGGTGAGTGAAGAAGAGGAGGCTGCCGCCACAGCTGCTCCTCTCACTTGCCTGAGGAGCACCCCTTCTGGGCAGGGCAGCAGCAAGGATTGGGCTAACTCTGCCTCTCCCAGGTACACGGTGAAGGCAAAGTGAGAGGACGAGGAAGCAAGATGTCCTTTGCTGGCTCTCATCCTCACCCCCCCCCTCTCTCTCTCTCTTCGGGTGGCACAGAGGGGAGGAATGGGCCCTGTGGCACCACCCATAGTGTGTGAGGGGAGCAGAAGCTGCGGCTGGTTTGGTTCTGCTTTTTCACCCTATTCCCTCTCTCTCTCCCGGCAACATGGGGAGGGGGGGGTGCAGCTTGGTGTTGGTGGACCCAGTCCCTACTTCCTCTTGCCCAGAGGGAGGGTGCCAGTGAGTGAGCAAGATGGCTGCCCACAGCCAATGAACGAGTGAGTGGAAGCCATGGCTACACCATCGCATACTCCCCTGCCTTTACTCCCTGGGTGCCACAGTTGGGAGAGTTGGGTTCGCTGGATCAGCCCTCACCAACCTGAGAGAGCAGGAAAGTGGAGGTCAGCTGGCAAGAGGGTGGGGCACGAACCGCTCCTCTCCCTTTTATGCCCACACAATCTGCCTCTAGGCAAAGCGTGGTGTGGTGGGGGGCTGTGGCCAGGAGGTCCAGTTGTCTGTGTTTCAACATGGAGATAGAGGGCAGGGTGAGCAAGGAAGAAGAAGAAGAAGAGTTTGGATTTGATATCCCGCCTTTCACTCCCTTTAAGGAGTCTCAAAGCGGCTAACATTCTCCTTTCCCTCCCTCCCCCACAACAAACACTCTGTGAGGTGAGTGGGGCTGAGAGACTTCAAAGAAGTGTGACTGGCCCAAGGTCACCCAGCAGCTGCACGTGGAGGAACGGAGATGCGAGCCCAGTTCACCAGATTACGACTCTATTGCTCTTAGCCACTACACCACACTGGCTCTCTGTGGTGGAAGAGGCACTGACAGAGCAGCCACATTTTTCTTTGGCTTTTGTGTGCTTTCTGGACAGCCCTATGGGCTCCCAGGCTCCCTGCTAGGCTGCCCAGAAGTGGGCAAGCAGCAGAAAAAGCCCATACCCCTCTTGATCATATGTTCAACACCAGTGCTCTCTTAGCTCCCTCTGCGCACTGAGGCAAATCCAGTCCATACCATTGTACTTCCCAGAGGAAGAAGCTAACCGTAGCTCTTCCTTCCATCCTTCCCTCTTTTATGGACACTGGGTTCCCAACCTGAATAAAATAATGGACGGCCCAGGTAAGCCCCACCCTGCATAATCAATCACGTAACGTAGCGCATGCACAACATTTATCAAATATTACATTGGTACTTTGGGTTACAGACGCTTCAGGTTACAAACTCCGCTAACCCAGAAATAGTACCTCGGGTTAAGAACTTTACCTCAGGATGAGAACAGAAATCATGAAGCGGCAGCAGGAGGCCCCATTAGCTAAAGTGGTACCTCAGGTTAAGAACAGTTTCAGGTTAAGAATGGACCTCCAGAACAAATTAAGTTCTTCACCCGAGCTACCACTGTATATCAGAGGGACTGATGGGACCTTGACCCCTAGGAGTTGGCTCCTATGATGAGCACGTGAACAGCAGAAACCTGCCACCTGAATCTGAGCAGGAGGAGAAGGAAATGGGGAGGAGGGTGTGCGTTGCTGCTGCAGTTGGCACAGAGACTCTTCCCTACCACCACCATCACCACCACCCTTTGGGTCCCATATTTCCCAGGGACAGCTGGTCCAGCGGCCAACACAAGTTGGGTTCTCTTGAGAACCTGGAGCCTTCAGCAGCCACCCAGCAGTGCCTACTACTCCTAGATGCCACCACCATTGACTTATAACACAGAGTGGAGAAGCCTGGAATCTCAAACACTCAAATCCAGGAGAAGCCTGGAATCTCAAAAACCTTGCAATGAGGCTCTCCAGGTTTGCTTGCACAGAGATAACCCCCGGATGGTCAGGAGATGCTTCTTACAAGGAAACACATGGCATGTTGAGGAAATACAGCATTGACAACCCGTGCAAGCCTCACAGAAGCAGCATCTGCTAGCCAGATGCACAAGCCAAGCACCTGACTCTCTGGAAATACGACACATATCCATCCATACTGCGTGAAAGGGTTCCTTCTTGAGGAGACGCCACACCCCAGCAGCCCTTAATATTTCTCCCCTGTTAAGAGAGGGATGACAGATAAGAGAGAAGCTTAGAAGGGAAAGCTGTTGACTTTTCACTTGACTTTAGCTCATGGAGTGGAGTGCGCTGGGGGGGGCAGCTTTCCTTTCCACGCGAACGCACTTGCCATATCAGCTTCGGTGCACCTAATTCAGTCGTTGCAACTTAGCGCACACAAACTTTGCAAGCCAGGTTCCCCAGCTTATTCTAAATGACAGACGGGTAACACAGTAGCACAAACAAAGCTAGGAATAGTTCAGAGACCTTCGTTCATTTCGGGAGGAGGCTAAGCTGGGCTTCTAAAGCGCTATTCATGCTGTGTGTTTTTCTGCAGTGATTTAGAGGCATCATTGATTCCTGAGCTTATTTATTCAGAAGCGACATTTACTTCAGCTGAACTTTATACCTAAGGAAGCATGCAATAGGGTAGTAGCCTTAGTCTACAGGATAAATGATTATTCAGGCTGCATAAAACCGAAAGCTTGTGATTTATTAAAGAATGCTGCATTCTATATATATACAAGTTTTGATTTAAAGTAGAGATGGGTGTATTTCTGCATGCTTACCTTCTTAAGTAGCCTGGTTTTCCCTTGCACTTTTTGTGAAAATTCAGGGAGACCTACCCCAAAGGAAATTCCCCCCAACTCTCCCTGCTAGTACCCTCCTCTCCCCAGTCATACCCCGTCAACAATGAGGGAGGGTGGTGTGGGGTGATTAAGCAGTGGAGAGATAATTTATAAGACCTGAGCACAGGAGCAGAGGAAGGGGGTGCGGTGGGGGTGGACTGCCCCGGGTGTCTTCGCTGAGGGGGGGTGACATTTGGCGCGACACCCGCCCGCAACTCCCAAGTCTACCCTGAGCCGTCGGGGGAAGGGGGGAGTGGCGCCGCTTTGCCAATGGCCTTCCCCCTTCATTTTGACAGCTGGGAGAGACTTCAGATTCACAGGCGGGTGGCATGCCAAATGTCTGCCTTTGGCAGCTTGCGCCGCCCCTGGCTGCAGGGCGCGCAGGCCGCTCCATGCACTCAAGCATCTAACCTGCACCTGGGAGGGCACCCTCTGCCCCCCGCCCCCCTCAGAGCGCGCCCACCTTGGGCAGTGCGGGCATATGCTCTGCCACTGCCTGAGCACACTTGCACTGCATCAGTTGTGACTCCGGAGTCTGGGAGTTTCTTGTGTCCAGTATACCTGAAGGAGTGTCTCTACCCCCATTGTTCTGCCCGGACATTGAGGTCCAGCGCCAAGGGCCTTCTGGCAGTTCCCTCACTGTGAGAAGCGAAGTTACAGGGAACCAGGCAGAGGGCCTTCTCGCTAGTGGCACCCGCCCTATGGAACACCCTCCCATCAGATGTCAAAGGAAAAAACAACTACCAGACTCTATTTCCCAGCTCCTAGTTGCAACTGATGCTCCTAAGGAGCACCCAAGTCTTGAAGAGACCCTCTGCTTCTACAGAAACTCTCCACACTTGCCCTTTCTGAGGCCACATCAGCTTTGCTGGGATAAGTTCTGGGAGAGGGCAGGCAATGGAAGTGGAGGGCACCTGGCGATGTGGAATGCTGGTGCTAGGGCCAGTCGTTATCTGCGATATCCAGATTCAAGGGAATTTGAGTTTGGCTCATTGTTTTCACAGTTGGCAGGTGCCATTTCTTAACAACCCCCCCCCCCCCCGCCAGTCCCAAATTTCAGTGAAATCACACAGCTGGAAGATAACTTGAAATTCCAGTCTGGAGAGGGAGGAAGAGAGATTTTGACCGGATATGATCGAATCTCAAGGAACCAGACTTTTGACTGTTGAGTGAAATGGAAAATGTGGCGTCGTTTCTGTGAATTCTTGCCTTTATGGTAAAATGAGAAGTTATCCAATGGGAGTCAGCTTTGTCCTGGGTCTTGCCAGGTTGGAAACAGCCAGGACACGAAACCAGTTCTAAACTTCAGCTGCAGTCACTCAATAGCAGCCAACAGATTGTACAGAGTCAGGGTACAGGTTCTAGTGAAACAGACAGGCTCTGTGTTAGAAACTCATATATATACAGTAATCTAATCACCAAATGGCGCCTGACTCTTTTAAGGTCATATGGTGTGTGGTGTTTTGTTTTTTGGTCACAATATTTTCCCCCAGTAATGGGTAAATATGACATCAACAGTAGAAATTCAGTCTCCACAAACATCTTAACAAGTTAGACTTCATTCAATTTCAGAAATGTCTTATTTGCAATTCAGATTTGGCAAACACTAGATTATTATTTTTAACGCTGCAATTCTGTGTGTGCCTTCTCAGAAGTAAGTCCCATTGAGTTAACTGGGGCATACTCATGGGTATGTCAGTAAAGGATTGCAACCTGATTTATGGATTTGGTAATGACTTACTGCAAATCCATTATATTTCTGTGTATGGGGTTGTTAGTTTTGCAGCCTGGTCCTAGCCATGTTTCTCAGAACCAAGACTCATTGATTTCGATGGGACTTTGCTTCTAAGTATGTATACTTAGGATTCTGCCATGCACTTATTTTCACCTGCAGATCCATCTAAAAGATAAAAATACTGCTTAACGGCTGAACATTTCTCAGACTACATGATAAACTGATATTGACCTGGATAACAGCAGGAAATGCAAGTTCATTTCAGGCCAACTGACATTTTCTGTTTAAGTGCTTCTTATCCTCATTTATAAAATATTGGTTCGAAAACTGTTGCATAAAAAAAAAATTAACCAAAGGATTCCCAAATGTTTTAGTAAAAAAGATGATATAACAGCATTATAGAATGGTCTCTGTTTTCAAATGCCCAACTGGTTGGTTTTCCTTAGATGTTAAAATTTAAATAATCAGATTTCCTTTCTGTTGGGGTTGATTTGCTCTAGTTAGTGCTACAAAGCCTCAGCTATAGCTACACCTGGATATTAGTAGCCTGTTCCCTAGCCTGTCTAGTACTGAGTTCCCAAAGATGGAAATAAGAAACTTAGAGGGCTGCTGATAAATGATTTTTACTTATAATTTGGCAGTGGTGTTTCTCTTAATAACTAAGAAAAATGCACTTGTCACTGCCGTCTATTCCACTAAACATATCTACTTTATGAGTAAACTTGAGCAGTAAGAAATTTGCTCTAAGGGCCAAGGATCCAACCTGCCAGATGAGATACTTCCGTCAGTCCAACAGGCTACCAAAAATCTGACCAGCAAACCAAAGAAAACATGCCTTCAGATGTTTCATTCAAATTAGTATTACTATGAATGTAGTGAAATACAGGTCCATCCTTTCTCCTCAGCCAAAGATGCATTCTGCTGTCTCAAAGGCGCAGTGTCCTCTTGAAGGATATTTCCGGACAAGTGTTTCCCAAATTTGGGTCTCCAGCTGTTTTTGAACTACAACTCGCATCATCCCTGACCACTGGTCCTGCTAGCTATGGTTGATGGGTGTTGTAGTCCAAAAACAGCTGGAGACTCAAGTTTGGGAAACACTGTTTTAGGAGAAGGTAGAAGTAGCTGCTGTCCATGGTCTCTCCAAACATATTGAGATCTAACATGCTTTCTTCATTGTCTCCTCCCCAGCCAATCTGAACCCTGACTGAGTAGACTTAATGCTAACTTACAGCATTAATTACCAGCTAGTTTGGGACTAAATACGGGTGTTTGGGGCCTGTGCAGTCCTTGGGGCAGATTGTTCTGGGCTTCAGTCTGCTTCCCAGGTTTTCTAGCAAACTTGACACAGCTAAATCAGCATGGCTCCTCTAACAGAAGTGTATTTAAGAATGTGATGTTTACATTTAAGAACCACATTTTAGCCATGATGGTTGTGTACTGCCTAATGCTTCTGAATACCAATTGCTGGAAAAAACAGGAGCAGGGAGTGCTCTTGCGCAAAGGTCCTGATAGTGGGTTTTCCCACATGCATCTGCTTGGCCACTGTGACAGCGGGATGCAGGATTAGACCTGATCCAGCATTGGCCTGATCCAGCAGGCTCTTCTTGTGTTCTTAAATTCTCGCACCTAGTCACACTGCAAAATCTTCACAAAACAAACCCGCAGTTGTGATTCCTCCCTAATATTAGCTAGGCCTATCAAGAGTGGACAGGAGAGGGGAAATTAAATTTTCCTATTGAGATTTTGTTCCTACTCCCCCCCCCCCCCTTTTACATTTTATGTCAAACCACCTAAGAAGCATCTACAGTTGAAAAGCAGCTCATGTATAAACTGTGCTCCTAGCCCGGAAAAAAATTATTTTTAAGCCAGAGCTAAAATAACCCTAAAATAAGTAGGTGTTGACAGTATACATTCATGTAACCTTAACAAGGGGTGATGAACTTTTGGTCCTCTGGATCAGGCATCCCGAAAATCGGCCCTCCAGCTGTTTTGGGACTGCAATTCCCATCATCCCTGACCACTGGTCCTGTTAGCTAGGGATGATGGGAGTTGTAGTCCCAAAACAGCTGGAGGGCCGAGTTTGGGGGTGCCTGCTCTGGATGATGTTGGATTTGGCCTTCTGTGGCCTGGTAGCTACTGAGCACTGGCTACCATCCTCTTCAGAGATGTTTTCAAGGCGTTCCATCTTGGAGTTTAGGTCAAGCAGATTTAGGGATCCTGACATCTCTTGACCAAACAATCTACCTCATAGGCAAGGTCTAAAAAAGTGCTAAGAAAAAGCTTGGAGTTCTGAATTTCCTTCTCAAACCTCATCCGCCCACTGGGTGACAGTAGGCTACCAAGCTATCTTTAAAGTCCAGCCCCTCTCCACCTTTAGGATGCCCCATTTAAGGGACTCCCCCTGGCCTCTGCTGGGTACCCTACCACCAGCCAGCGCTTCCACTCCTTTGGTGAGCTGAGTGAAGCTGAGGCCAGCTTAGATGGCAGATATGGGCAAGAGGTCTCCCTTGCTCAGTCCACCACCACCAACCCTCAGCTTGACACTAAGGATATTTGGACTGCTCTGTAAAGTCCTAAACAGTCTGGGGCCTTTGTACTTAAAATGTCGCTTCATTTCTTATACCTCTGCCTGATCTTTGCGACTGAGATAGGTCTGCCTGTGCCTGCCAGCGCCACTTTCCTCAAGAAGAAATTGTGCTTTTAGTTTGCGTGGCACCAGAGTTATGAAACTCCCTGCCTAGTGAAATCAAGCTGCAATGAGTTTTAGGTGCCAACTTCAGACTATTGGCTATTTCGGCAGGCTTTCTTATGAAAATGATTTACTGCTTTTATAATCTTCTTGTCAGGTCACCCCTTCTATACTTTGTTTTCTTTCTTGTATTTTTGCTTTCATTTAATTGTTTGTTTGTTTGTTTGTGTTGGGATTTTGTACACTGCAGATATATGTTTTTTACATGAGTTTGCAGTCTTGAAATGAATAAAATTATGATGATGGGACTTGTATTCCAGCAACATCAAGTTCCCCACTGCAGCACTGCTGTCGAGACTGTCACCATCAGGAAATGGGTTCCTAAACAACATGCAAACCTGTTGTTTATTTGTTTCTTATATATCCCGCCTTTCCTCTAAGGAGCTCAAAGCAGTACCTATGTTTTGACCCCTGTGTTTTGAATAACATCCTCACAGCTACCCTGTATGGTACTTTAAGCTGAGATAGGATGGCTGGCTGAAAGTCACACAATGAATTTCATGGTTGAGTAGTGATTTGAACTTGGGTATCCCCAGTCTACAAAGGCCTAACTAGGGTCCCTTGCACCCTTGGCCACTTGTGACCAAGTGAAGATGCCCAGGTACCAGGTTGACATATGGCATCTCAACCATCTGGAGGTGAACGCCTAGGGATCCTTGGATCTGGCCTGCTTTCACACACCAGCAACACATCTTGCAGAATTCTGTTAGTTATCTTTTATCTGCACAGTCACAACAAATTTCAGGAACCAAAATTCCGCATCAAAAAATACGACTTTTGAACCGCATGTTCCCCAATTGGCAACTAGACATTCCATTTTGGCGACTAACCCTGGTTTAAGGAGCCATTTGGTGCTTAGCTTATATACCTGAGTTTCTAACACTGCTGATAGGAGATTTTTGCACATATCCCTGGGCCTGGGCCCCCCGACAGAGGCTGGTTTCACCAACCCTTAGGTTTGCCTCTGCCAGTCTGACCCTTCTGACCATTACACCACACTTGCACTCATGAATCCATGCTGACATCATTTATTTATTCCATTACTCACTTTCCATGAGGCATCCCAGAGCTGACATGCAACTTCGATGAGACAGAACACCCTTAATTACGCCACATATTAAACTGTATTGGTTGTGCTAGCAAATACAGTGGTGCCTCGCAAGACGAAAAGAATCCGTTCTGTGAGTCTCTTCATCTAGCGGTTTTTTCGTCTTGCGAAGCAAGCCCATTGACGGATTAGCGGATTAGCGCTATTAGCGCTATTAGCGGCTTTTAGCGGCTTTTAGCGGCTTAGCGGATAAGCGGCTTAGCAGCTTAGAAAAAGGGGAGGGGAGGAAAAAAAACCCGCAGGAACTAGCAAGACATTTTCGTCTTGCGAAGCAAGCCCATAGGAGATTCGTTTTGCAAAGCACCTCCAAAACGGAAAACTCTTTCGTCTAGCGAGTTTTCCGTCTTGCGAGGCATTCGTCTTGCGGGGCACCACTGTAGTGCCTTTACAGTGACATCCTATGCAAATAAGCCTCAGTGAGATCAAGTGGCTTACTCCCAGGTAAGTATGTATAGGATTGCAGCCATAATATATCATTCAGTACATCCCTTTAGAATCAGGGTGCAAACTGCAGGTTTGGAATGCTTAATGGGATGCTTATGAAGCACATTTAAAACTAGGAATTGGCCATTAACAATTTTCTATATTATTTTTGATCAATCACTGCATAGACCTTTGCATATTGCGCTGGCAGAAAAAAATAATGTTCAATATGAAATTGACCAGAGGAAAGGCAAAAACCTTTTACTTTTTTGCTACCTGGGAGCCCACTCATGGAATACATTAAGCAGCATATACAAGGTCTTCATCTTTCATCTAACTTCCATGAGAATGTGGAATGTTACCTGAAGTGGCTTGTGCCCTCTGCCATTTGGACTCTTAAATTCTCCTACTTTGGATATCCACAAAAGCTTTTCAAGTGCTTGTTTTTCTGTGCATGGATGGGAGGGACTTGCCTGTTTCTCTATAGTTGCTTTCTCATGAAAATCATTTGCTTTTAATAATTGCTGGGTTGCAATTAGCCATTTGAACTGTCACTTGTTTGGCTTCCTTACCGTGCCTTGATCAGAACATCTCTGACCAGACGATGTGAAGCATAAATGGACAACAGGAAAGCTTATGTAAATTGTTTGCTGATAACAGTTGCAAAATATGTCTGACACTTGCAAAATTAATGCCTTGCCGCTTGTTTATGTTGCCAAGAAGTGGTGCAAATTAGTTTACGTAAGCAGAATTCTGGTGTATGTAGAATGTCTGTAAAAATGCTGCCTTTGGTGCAAATTTGCATCTGTGCTGGACAATTGTCAACACAAGTGCAAAGTAGTTAGTAGTCACAGTTCAAAGTACTATATTGGCACAAGGGTGTGTTTGGCTTGATGTGGTTCTTATGCACTTATGAGGAATTATGCCTTGAGACAGTCAAATAGGCCTTGGCACAACATTCGGTTTCCACAGATGTTCTAGTTAACTAAAAGTAATTGCTTGAACAAATGTTTGTGACAAGCTAATGAAATGGAATTAGCAGTAAAGGTGATCCCGTCAAGCCATGCTTGTAGATCTGCTCAGCCAAATAAATTCCAGGGAGCTTCTCAAGTATTTACTCGGCAGCAGTTATAAAGTCATAGCTGCCCACAATATAATTTCAAAAAAAAGAGCAGCTCCCAATGAAATTCTGTTTTGGCTAGATTAGGGATGTGACTTGACCATTAACTAGTATTTATTTCTTACATTTATATCCCACCTTTCCTGCCAAGGTGCCCAAGGTGGAGTTCATCCCTCCCACCATGGTATTCATACAACAGCCCTGCAAAGTAGGTTAGGCTGAGAGACAACGATTGGCCCAAGGTCACCTAGTTGAACTTTATATTAGAGGGGAGGGGGGAATTGCTTTGATGCTTTGGATAGCTGGTCGGTTCACCTTGGTCCACTTTGGGCAAGATCCAGTTTAATTCAGACCAATGTGGGGCCTTGATTTCTGCTCCCCCCCAAAAAAAGACCCAAATATCTCCCTCGTATGTAAGTGCACATTTGAAATGTGCTGTGTCCCTTGGCTTCCATAAGGCTAAACAGAGGCTGTACCTCAGCAGTGGGGTGGTGTGTGAGAAAGCCCATCTTTCACCAATGATCCTGCTGCCCAAAATATAATTCCCATGTGTCGTTGTGGCAAGGGATGCTCCTGAACAAGGGTAGGCAATGTGGTGCCCTGCTTTGTGTTCAAAGGGACTTTTATCCAGGTAAGTCTGTATAGGTTTCCAGCCTAGAAGTCCAGACCAGCATCAGCAAGTAAGGACCACCACTGAAAAGAGTCTGTCTCTTCTGCCCTCCAGATTAATTCACTCTGATGGCAGGACTGTGAGCCGAGCCTCTGTGACTGATCTTAAGGACCGGGCAGGTTAATTACAGGTGCAGATAACCTGGTCCAAACCATTTGAGACTTTAAATTGGGCCCAGAAATGCAACCAGTGTGATAGCAGATGGGTTGCCATCACAGTGGTACCTCGGTTTTTGAACAGCTTAGTTCATGAACAACTTGCAACCCGAACGCTGCAAAACTGGAAGTAGGTGTTCCGGTTTTCGAACTTTTTTTCGGAAGCCGAACATGCTCCGTTTTGAGTCCCCCCGTATTTCCTGTTGCGCTGCTAATTTGTGTCCCCCCCCATTGTAATTCAAGCCTTCCTTTTCCGTGTTTCCTGTTGCGCTGCTAATTTGCATACCCCTTGTTTCCTGTTGCGCTACTAATTTGCATCCCCCCCATTGTAATTCAAGCCTTCCATTTCCGATTGCAATGTTCTGAGGTGATATTTGGAGCTTATATTTGGTGCTTTTGTTTTTGCTATTTATTTTGCGTTTTTTGTTTTGAGGGTTTTTCAGTTAATTTGTTTTTGTTACTGTGTGGATCCAATCAGCTACTGATTGATTGATTGATTGATTGATTGTGTGACTGCGGAAATGGATAAAAGCTCCCCATCCAAACAATGACTATCATCAGTGCAGGTAAGAAAAGAAATTAATTTTAATTTTTATCATCTACAATACTCTTTTATTTATTTTATAGTACAGTACATTGATTATTGCTTTCATTTTATGGATCAGTGGTCTCGTTAGATAGCAAAATTCATGTTAAATTGCTGTTTTGGGGGTTGTTTTTAAAAGTATGGAACGGATTAATCCGTTTTGCATTACTTTGTATGGGAAAGCGTGCCTTGGTTTTGGAACGCTTTGGTTTTGAAACGGACTTCCGGAACGGATTAAGTTTGAGGACCAAGGTACCACTGTATCACTCTTCAATGTGTAGGCTCCAGAGAGCATATTGCATAGGATAGGGAAGGAAACACACAACAGGAAGGGAGGCTGAAGAACAAAAGAAAATATAGAAGCAGCAAACGATGCGGAGACAGGGCAGGGAAATGCACAATGTGCAGACATCATGACAAGAAGTAAGTGATAATGAATTGGAGAATATGTTTTCGAGGGCAGCCTTTTGCCCAGCATAATAATAATAATACGAGATTCTGCCCTAATTCCATGAAAATGGAAGTCACAAGCAGGATCCGAGGAATCCAGCCAAATGCAAAGTACACTGGCAGTGGGCGTCCCACAGTTTCTGCTCTTTGTACACATGCTGCTGATCACGCCAGCTGTGCCAGTTTAAGCCGTAGATCATAAGAAAGAAAATGCTAATCTGACAAAATATTACATCTAAAAGTCACCAATAAGGCATTTTGCATACATATGTGTGAGCTACTGTTCTAAAACAAAAATCACTTTTTAAAAAAAATCCCCTACCCCTAGGCCTTACTTTACTAAGGGGTCCTGAGAACCCCAAGCTATTTGAAAGTCTCAAGAATAAAGCTGAAGAGGCAAGGAACTTCCCACCTTAGAAGTGAAGACAGGCCCCAAAATCCAATTATTCTGGACAACAGCCATAAGAGAAATACAGTGGTACCTCGGGTTAAGAACTTTATTCGTTCTGGAGGTCCGTTCTTAACCTGAAACTGTTCTTTACCTGAGGTACCACTTTAGCTAATGGGGCCTCCCGCGCTGCCGCCACGCGATTTCTGTTCTCACCCTGAAGCAAAGTTCTTAACCCAAGGTACTATTTCTGGGTTAGCAGAGTCTGTAACCTGAAGCGTCTATAACCCGAGGTACCACTGTATGCAAAGTAACTAAGCAAGTATTAGTAATCACCCCAGAACTGGCCCTACTAAACATCTTCCAAGACAATAATGCCCACTCACACCACAAAGAACTGATAACCCACCGACTCTCAGCAGCCAGAAACATCATAACCAGACACTGCAGAGACCTGTCAGGAGTAAGCATGGACGAATGGTACCAAATAGTGTGGGAAACAGCCCTACTAGAAAAATTAACCAATAAACTGAAACTGACACAGGGACAAATGGAAGAAGACGCTTTCACCCAGGTATGGCTCCCCTTTATCACATACACAGCCCAAAAAGACAACGACAAGAATCCACCAACAGCATACGAATCAATATCATAGAATCATAGAGTTGGAAGAGACCACAAGGGCCATCGAGTCCAACCCCCTGCCAAGCAGGAAACACCATCAGAGCACTCCTGACATATGGTTGTCAAGCCTCTGCTTAAAGACCTCCAAAGAAGGAGACTCCACACTCCTTGGCAGCAAATTCCACTGTCGAACAGCTCTTACTGTCATGTATGGCTAACCTGATCCAAAAACACGCACCCACCCCACTCACACAGCCAATCACAACCAACCAACCACACCCTAGGCCAACCCCAACCTCTCTCACAACCAAAGGAACACAAGCGAATAGCAAAAAGAACCTGCACAAGCGATGCTGACACAAAACCCCATTTTATTATGCTGACCCCAACCCCACTCACCATTCCCCCCTCCACCTCTTCCCCCGTTTTCTTCCTAATGTAACATTAATGTCTTAATAGATCAGCAGGAAATGTAACTTGAAGAAAGAGACATTGCACATACTTTTGTAAACCAATAAATCTTTAATAAAAAATACAAAAAGAAGTGAAGACGGGCGTAACCCCTCACACACTCCCTCCTGCTTTATGCTGCCTTTATCATAATGCCCTCCAAGCTCTCTGCAGTCAGTGGTTGTTTCCCAATACTCCTCAAAGCATTTAAGCAGGAAAAGCTGCAGGCATACCAAAAGGGGATGGTGTAGACATTTTTAAAAAGCAAAGGAATTGTCTACAGCATTGTCAGCAGCAGCACAGAGTTGGAACTCTGGGGGCGTCTGTTCCTTTGCAGAAACAAAGGAACGTTGGGTCGTTGGGTCAATGACTGTTGTGCCCATGTAACATCGTCATACAGCATAACAGGGTGAGTGATAATGTGACAACAGGAGCAGCTAACACACACCTGATGCAGGTGAGGCCTTGGCTGAGATAACTTGTTATTCCATGGCAGTGGGTTGCATCCAACTTAAGTTCTGTTCAGAGCAGACCCCCTGAAACGAATGTAGCCAAGTTACTTTGTTGTTGTTGTTTAGTCGTGTCCGACTCTTTGTGACCCCATGGACCAGAGCACGCCAGGCACTCCTGTCTTCCACTGCCTAGCCAAGTTACTTACGTCCATTAATTTAAATGGGATTAATGTTAGATTACAATCTCAGTGTCTAGGTAAGGGAACCTCATGCGTGTGGTTCACAACATGGTTCCTTTCCAAGCAGATTCTCCCTGCTGTGAAGATGCCATCCAGACTGACCATGGGGAAAACTGCTGCTGTGGTGATGTGTGGATCGAATATGGGTGCAATGGATTTGAAGTGCAGGGGCTTTTTGGACCAGTGGACACATTTCAAATTCTGGGAGTGCTAGAGTACCAGTCAATAAACAGGTGCTGTGTGAGGGCATGGCATAATACAAAATTAAGAGACAGCCACCCCTGGCAACCTTATCTATGTTCTGCTATTCTGGATTGTAGAGATGATGCAATATTGATTTCAAACACACAAACATTGGTACTGTTGCAGTCTAACAGTAGCACAGAGCATTCCACGGTATACAAGGTGGCCACACTCACTCTCATTGAACATAAATCATTTAGAAGGTATCTTGCATATTTTGCCACATAACTGTCTTTCTAGGAGGGCTAGAGATTTACTTTAAAAGAAAAAAAGAAACCTCAGAGTTTAGGATACCTGCCTGGGACACCAATGAAAACCTTTGCAGATGCTGGATTGGCAACCCAAATTGTAATGCAATGGTTATAAAATCTTGTCATGTTGATCTTTTTGCTGTAGACCCCTGGACATCTGTTCTTCAATACCTGCAGACTGCAGAGAATTCTGGGGCATGTTCTTGGGTGCATTCTAAGTTGACATGGGGTGGTAGGTAGGCTTGGGCTTTGGGCATTGCTCTTGTTGTTGTTTAATCATTTAGTCGTGTCCGACTCTTCATGACCCCAGGCACTCCTGTCTTCCACTGCCTCCCACAGTTTGATCAAACTCATGCTGGTAGCTTCAAGAACACTGTCCAACCATCTCATCCTCTGTCATCCCCTTCTCCTTGTGCCCTCCATCTTTCCCAACATCAGGGTCTTTTCCAGGGAGCCTTCTCTTCTCATGAGGTGGCCAAAGTATTGGAGCCTCAGCTTCAGGATCTGTCCTTCCACTGAGCACTCAGGGCTGATTTCCTTCAGAATGGAGCGGTTTGATCTTCTTGCAGTCCATGGAACTCTCAAGAGTCTCCTCCAGCACCATAATTCAAAAGCATCAATTCTTCAGCGATCAGCCTTCTTTATGGTCCAGCTCTCACTTCCATACATCACTACTGGGAAAACCATAGCTTTAACTATACGGACCTTTGTTGGCAAGGTGATGTCTCTGCTTTTTAGGATGCTGTCTAGGTTTGTCACTGCTTTTTTCCCAAGAAGCAGGCGTCTTTTAATTTCGTGCTCTTAGGTCTTCATAATAAAGCACAAGCCTTGGAAGACACCGAGGGTGTAGTGATCAGGTGGGCTTAGTTACAATTGCATATATTGCAATGATTATTATTATTTAACATACTGTTTGGAAACTCCCAACAATACAAATCTGCTCTGTCGCAGAACTATACAAAAGGTATTAGATAACAGAAGATGTAAAGCCCCAAACTGCCAAATGGCAATTGAAGGATATGATTGTGTGCCACTATACACAGCTGATTAAGGAGGAATATAATATTGCAAAGAAAAAGACTAAGCCCCTGCTAAACCCAGTAAGGCATATGGGAAGGAAAGAAAGCAGCTTTTTGCTCTCTGCTGTTTTATTTATTTTATTTTGTTTGTTATTTAAAAAAAGTTTTTCATCTTCCATAAAAAAAAAATTATTGCCTTGCTTGGTTTTTTAATTGTATTGTTCAGTTGCACTCCACCATCCAGCCTTGGAAACAGGTGCCAAGAAGGGATACAAGGAAATGATAAGAGTAAACAAAAGAAGCAAAACATTCCTGTTGTGTCTTAGAATTAGCGCTTTGCATCTGAACCATAGCTCTTTAAGTCTAGGCAAGATTCTATTGGTAGGAAAAGAAAAATGCTCCAATTGTTCTGCTGCTCTCAATAAACAAAGCTGAGCTGAAAACTATTGGGAAAATGCAGCTGCCTCATACTGAAGCAGTGGGACAAACTAGTTGGGGTTTTATGGGCACACATGACTAAAATCTCCTTCGAACATGTATCTACATGGACATTAGGGTTCCTAGAGCCCAGCTTAGATGCAAGGTGTCTAAACACCTGGTGTAGTCCCAGACAAGCAATGCTGGTGTTCCCTGCCTCCATTGTACTTCTGCACCATAAAAACATAATAGCTTTGCTGGATCAGACCAAAGGCCCATCTAGTCCAGCATCTGGTTCTCACAGTGGCCATGCCTATGGGTAGTGCACAAGAAGGACCTGAGCACAAGAGCATTCTCTAAACTTGCACACCCTAGTAAATGGTTTTCAGATGTTCACTACTTCCAGTACAGCTGCCATGACTGTTGTATGGCAAGTACTGTACAGTGGTACATCTGGTGATGAACTTAATTCATTCTGGAGGTCCGTTCTTAACCTGAGGTACCACTTTAGCTAATGGGGCCGCCCACTGCCGCCGTGCCACCACCACGCAATTTCTGTTCTCATCCTGAAGCAAAGTTCTTAACCTGAGGTACTATTCTTGGTTAGCAGAGTCTGTAACCTGAAGCGTCTGTAACCTGAAACGTCTGTAACCCAAGGTACCACTGTACAAAGTTTTCCAAGTGTGGCCACACTGCAGATTTGTACAGCGGCATTCTGTTAGTGGCTGTTTTATTATAAATCCCTTTCCGAATGACCCCTCACATGGAATTCACGTTTTTCCCACTTGGCTGGCATTTTCATTGAGCTACCCACCATGGTCCTAAGTTCATCCCTATTAAAGTATAGGTGAGGATAAGGGGTTTTTTTTTATTTTTTGTTGTTTTTTTTGCTCCAGTATGCATTCTTCACAGTTGTTTACATTAAACTGCATTTGCCATTTCAATGTCCATTAATGTAATGCCCAGTGTGAGTATATCCTTGGGAGCCCCTCACAAATCCCCTTTTTGTTCCCTGAACAACTTGGAGTCATCAGCAAAGCTGGCCTTCTCCCTGCTCACTCCTAGCTCCGGATAATTTAGAAACGAGTTAAAAAGCATCAGTCCCTTAGGGGACCCAACTCTTTGGGGATCCTCCTTTATTAGAACAGTCCGTTTATTTCAGTGGTTCCCAAAGTGGGTGGTGCCGCCCTTTGGGGGGCAGTGGGACTCCCTCAGAGGGGTGCTAAGAGGCAAGCAGATGGAAGGGGCCATTGGAGGCGTAAAGGACTATCAGACTTTGAAAAGCTGGTATCGCCAGATCAAGTTCATCCATTTTGTTAAATTGATTAAACTAAATAGTTTTAATTGGATTTTGAATAGATGTGCCTTTAATTGTTACTGTTTTGTGTTCTTATCTTCCTAGTGAGTCATTCAAACCCCTCTTATGAATAATACTTTTTTTTATAGAGCAAAGGGGCACTGGGGATGAGTTTGTGGTACCAAGGGAGCAGTGACCCAAAAAAGTTTGGGAGCCACTGGTTTGTTCCAACACTCTGCTTCCTGTTTTTGATTCCTAAAGGGATCTGTCTTGCTATCCCAAGGTAGCTAAGCTTACTGGGGAGTCTTTGATGAGGGACTTTATCAAGAGTTTCTTGAAAGTCCAGGTGCACATCAACTCTGTCCAAACAACTTTCCCAACCTATGTCATGGTTAGAAAGATGCTCGTTTTATATGTTACTTTATATTTAAGAACCATGTTGCCAGGATTGCTAAACTTTTGCTGTTATTAGCTTTTAATATAAGAATTTTCAAACAGAAATCTAGTTATGTAAAAAAGGTAAAGGACCCCTGACAGTTAAGTCCTGTCGCAAACGACTGGGGTTGCAGCGCTCATCTCTCTTTACAGGCCGAGGGAGCCAATGTTTGTCCACAGTCAGTTTTTCCAGGTCATGTGGCCAGCATGACTAAGCCGCTTCTGGCGAAACCAGAGCAGCGCACGGAAACACCGTTTACCTTCCCACCGGAGCAGTATCTATTGATCTACTTGCACTTTTTGGCATGCTTTTGAACTGCTAGGTTGGCAGGAGCAGAGACCAAGCAACGGGTGCTCACCCTGTCATGGGGATTTGAACCACCGACCTTCTGATCGGCAAGCCCAAGAGGCTCAGTGGATTAGACCACAGCGCCACCCACGTCTCATGGTTATGTAGCCCTTGGTAGAACATGCAATGGTGGTGCTAGGAGAGAGAAATGCTCATTCAGCGCAGTCACGGGCCCATAGGAAGCGAACGAGCCCCCCATCCCAACTACTGAGGGTGGGGACTTCGGTCTTTTGCCCAGTTTTTCATATGTAGTCGTGCTCCTGCCAATCCACTTACTCATGTGGACTAATGCACATTTGTCTTCAATCAGATCGCAGTCCTTCACGCTCTCTCTACAAGACTGCTCATGCTTAATGTATATTTTTGTTTGTCCTGGTGTTCTTTCTGTAGTCTGCTATCCTGATTTCCCATGTCTCCTGAACTGCCATGTACGTTGCCCAGCATTTGGTCCTGTTTTCTCAAAATACGCTTGTTTGCTTCTGCTTTACAAAAGCATACAAAGCAAACAGATGGTTGTAATCTGTGTTTTCATTCAGAATGGCATTCTGAATTATATCAAAGTGACTATTGCTGGTCTGCACTGGATCTGAGGAGTCTATGAATAGAAATGCTTTGTTCTTTCCCAATATGACCACCGCTTGATTTCTTGCCAGCTGTAGCAGTCCCTGGATGAAATTAACGGATGTTAATGAAGTGGCACGTGATTTCTGTAACTTAATTTGGCCCTAATTCTCTTACAGCAAGTTACTAGAATGAGCAGGCCAGTTTTGTATTTTCTCTTGTTGCTTCTTGTCGACATTATTCCCCATCCCACCACCCGTGTCAGCAGTAAGATTTGTGTATCTTTAAGGTGTAGACTTAGGGTTGCATCGACATAGCTGTCTTCACTATGGCCAAAAACCTGGAGGGTGGTTGGCAGAAATCCTTGTTCAGACTTAGTGGAACCCACTGTATCCAGCTCTAGTGTTGTTGTTGTTGTGGAGATTTGTGCATGTGGACTCTGTGTAGAGAGATCACTCTGCAATAAGCATTTATATGGCAAAGTGAGGGGGTGCATGTACCAGCATCCCTGAAAGGAATATGTGTTACTTTTTGCTTGTCCTATGTGCCATTGCTATTCACACAGACACCACAGGTACCGTGCTTGCAGTGTATGTAAACCTGACAGAACAGACAAGATGTGGCTATAGGCTGATACCAGCAGCAGCAGCAGCAGCAGTTCCTTCCATTTTGAGTCTTCTTCTTTTTTGGCGATCACTCATAGCCGAGTAAGATTGTCTTCCATGAACATGGTCTTAACAGTGAGCCCGTAAGTGACTGTGGAGGCCAATTCTAGATCCACACATTCTTCCACAGTGGGGATCATGGTGAGGGTTTGCCAAACGTGCCTTCCTCTTAGCACATTTCTCCCTTTCGTCCTGAGTTCAAGCGTCTTCAAAGTCCATGATGCCTTTGATAAAGGCTGTTCTCCAGTTGGATTACTCTCAGGCCAGTGTTTCCCAATTGTCAGTGTTTATACTACTTTTTTTTTAGTTTTGCCTTGAGAGAGTCTTTAAACCTCTTTTGTTGGCCACCAGAATTACGCTTTCCATTTTTAAGTTCAGAATAGAGTAGTTGCTTTCGAAGACAACAGTCAAGCATCTGAACAACATGACCAGTCTAACGAAGTTGATGTTGAGGAATCATCTCTCCGACACTGGTGATATTTGCTTCTTCCAGTACACTGGCATTAGTTCGCCTGTCTTCCCAAGTGATATGTAGAATTTTTTGGAGACACCATTGAGGAGTTGGAGATGGCGTTTATAAGTTGTCCATGTTTCACAAGCATACAGTAAGGTTAGTAGTACAATAGCTTTGTAATGTCCCAGTCCTCAAACACTCTGCACTTCAATCAGGAGAAAGCTGCACTCACAGAGCTCAGGTAATGCTGGATTTTGGCATCGATGTCATCCCTTGTGGAAAGGTAACTGCCCAGGTAGGAGAAGTGATCGACACTTTCCAACATTACACCAGGAGACAGAGTTCAGAGGAAATGTTGAAGGAAAGTAGCAAATGAGATAAAAGAGTAATTAATAATAAAAAGAAAGCTCATATAGGATGGAGAATTGATAAGGCACAAGTTGAGTGTGAAAGGAGAATGAGGGAAGTAATTACAGGAGATGAGTAATAATACTTGGAGAGGCATGTGGGGTTGCGAAGGGACAAGATATAAAAGAAAAAGGTTTTCTCCCTTAAAGCCTCTTGATTAGTAAATTCTGCCTGAAATGGGGAGGCTGACTCGCAGTATTTCCAGTGCAAATGTCCGTAGTTAGCCTGGTGAAGGCAGAGCTGTGAAACTCCTCGTCCCAAAGAAAATGTAGCATGAAAGCGTTCGGCATTCTCCAAAGATGGAATAGCTATCAGGAGAAAGTGATGTCAGTAATTACCCAGCTGATTATACCAAACTCTGCCTCAGCCTGCTATCTATTCTGTGACTGGCTTTGTCCCTACACCACCATTTTGTGGCTGGTGAGCCTCAGTAATTTTCAGACGTCTCAAGTGAGCCCAGGGGGTAGGAAGTTTTGGAACCCCTGCATTATCTGACATTTAGCCTGCATTTGCTAATGGCATGGCATTATTGTCTTTAATCTTAATGACAGCTCTGTCCTTCCAGATGTTTTTGTAAAATGAACTTATATCTCCAGCCTCAAGCTGACACCTTCTAACCTAAGTAGGCCCCATTCTTTTCAAATTTTGCCCATAAAATGAACTTTCCAGTACAGTGGTACCTCGGGTTAAGAACTTAATTCGTTCCAGAGGTCCGTTCTTAACCTGAAACTGCTCTTAACCTGAGGTACCACTTTAGCTAATGGGGCCTCTCGCGCCGTCATCACGCGATTTCTGTTCTCATCATGAAGCAAAGTTCTTAACCTGAGGTACTATTTCTGGGCTAGCTGAGTCTGTAACCTGAAGCATCTGTAACCTGAGGTACCACTGTACTGCATAATCATCACCACTGCCTTCTTTTTTGTGCCTTCATCCCAAAGAAAGCCCAAAGCAGTTAACATATTGCCAATTTTTTTAAAAAAAATAATCCTATAGCATAATGCAAACAGCGCTAAGCATTATTTGACAATTCTGTTAATACCACAGCCATAAAACAATCAACAAGGGGAGAATGAAACAGCCACCCCTATCTTAGCTAAAATGCACATTTACACCCTCACTCCAGCAGCCAATACATGAAACTGTTCAGCTTTAACGTCAGAGATGACAAATCCACCCCCAAGCCTATGGATTAATCAATAAAGGTAATCACACAGAAACACCATACCCAGGGTTTTTGTTCATCCTGAACTTGCCAGAACTCAGTTCCAGCCTCTCTCAAGTGGGGACCATTACCATTCTAAGAGAATGAGGGAGGTGTTTGTGGTGAGTTCTCTTTTTCTAGAAAAACAGCACTGACCATACTCTACTGACAGGGACCGTGCTGAGAAGGACTGTACTGAGGAAGAATGGTGGGAGCCCCCCCTCCCCCTGATCCTGACCCTGAATCTTCCCAGGAGCAGGAGAGCAGTATAGATTTGGAACAGTGGTTTGCAGAGGGGCATAGTTCAGAAGGGAGAAGCTGGGAAATATTGGGTGGGGAACAGCTAGCAGAAGAAACACTAGAAGAGAGAGAGTTAACAGATTCGCAGACTCTGGATAGTTCCACCCTCCTTCTCCAAGGACAAGGAGAGCTCAGAAAGTGTCAGAACAGAAAACACAGAGGCCCCAAGCTCAGATGACTAGATGTAGGAGTGACGTACATTAAGAGGGACGGAGGGGAAAGTGAACTTAATTGGGAGCACCGCCATTCTAGTTAGATGCTTTCTTTGGTCCTTCACTGTGTTTATTAAAGAAACTAACAGGTAAGAATTCCCTTTTGCATGATCTGCTCATTTATGGCCACAGGGGAGGAAGCCAATTCACTGAAGCCTGACATCTACCCCCCACCCTGATAGGAAATATGTTCTCTCAGCCACAGATCGATAAAGGCAGAAAAAGAGGAGGCTGCTCAGAAAGAGAGCCCTCCTGGATCAGGCCCATCCAGCCCAGCAGTCTGTTCTCAGAGTGGCCAACTAGAGGGAAGCCACAAGCAGGACATGGGCACAACAGCACCTTCCTCACTTGTGTTCCCCAACAACTGGCACTGAGAGGCACAAAGAGGAGTCAATGATAGTTTGCACTATCCTCATGCCAGTCTCATAGATCATGGGTGTTAGAGGCAGCGGCTCACCAGAGCCCAGGCACGAAAGTCTTAGCCGCTCCCCAAAGCCGATGTTTCAGATGGCAGAGGCAGCTTCTCCTACAGGCATTCTAGTTGTGCCTTGTTTCTATTCCGGCTTAAATGCCTCCACACTGGACATATACGTCCACCAGAATCGTTTCCCAAGGATTTATGATTCAAGGACTTGTGATTGAAACATCAGTTGAAGTTTTCCCCCTCTCCTTGCCTTGTCTGATCAGGATGATCTTGAGGCAGGGTGAGAAAGAGAAGGAATGTTATTCTAATCTTATTAATGAGTATGACTTTCCTCCCACCCTTCTCCCAAGATTAAATAATTAAGGCTAAATCCTATGCACATCAAACTACCTTCTGAGGACATTTGCATAGGGGTTGTTGGAGTAGGAACTTGACTTTGGGCATGCATCCTCAGAGCTAAATGAGTTTCATCTATCTGTGCCTTGTAGTATGAATGCAACTTACAGGACAAGGATGAGAAAGGCATAGGAAGGAAGGAAGGAAGGAAGGAAGGAAGGAAGGAAGGAAGGAAGGGAACGTTCCCTTTTCCTGAAGACTGCTGATTCGCTTTTTAAATTTTGACGGTTTTCTTAACTTGGTTCCCGTATTTGCACATGCCACTCCGTTATGCCCTTTGAATTGCTCTTATTTAACTGATCTCATTGGATTTGAGATGAGGAGCATTTTCAAAAGAGGGAGCCAGCTTTGGGAATTATGTTCCTTCTTCCCATCAACTTCTCCACAGTTGACCAATAATGAAGATTTCAGATCAGCTCTTTTTCTGCTCACAAGCCTTAAATAAAACGTTTTGCTAAGGATACGGATGGTTGAACATTTACTCTTGTCCCAAATTGTAACGTTCAATACCGTTAAGATAGCAATTCTGTTGTCTTTGCTTCCCAAAGGCATAGTCTGTGAATTATTGCATTGAGATATTAGATAAAAACTGTGCCGGGTAACAATTAAAACACAAAACAGAATATTGCTCAGGGGTGTCATGCTTAAGTGAAATCAAATCTAAAATGAAACATATCACATGCAAGTTTTATGGCTCAATGAAAGACGCTAATTACCGTCGCCAGCAAATTTCTGGACTATTTTAGTGTGCGATTTTTCTTTCTGCATCAATTCCTGCTATTTAAACTGATGCTCCTATTGAAATTATTTGTTTCATTTATAAACTGCTTTCCACGAGGCATTCTGAAGCAATTCTCAGTGCAACAAGATATATACAACAAAATTTATTTTAAAAAAACAGTTCAAACACTTGCATATATCAAAGCAATTATAACTATAAAAACTATTAAAACTATTAAAACGACACATGTTGTTGTTGTTTAGTCATTTAGTCATGTCTGACTCTTCATGACCCCATGGACCAGAGCACGCCAGGCACTTCTGTCTTCCACTGCCTCCTGCAGTTAGTCAAACTCATGCTGCTAGCTTCAAGAACACTGTCCAACCATCTCCTCCTCTGTTGTCCCCTTCTCCTTGTGCCCTCCATCTTTCCCAGCATCAGGGTCTTTTCCAGGGAGTTTTCTCTTCTCATGAGTTGGCCAAAGTATTGGAGCCTCAGCTTCAGGATCTGTCTTTCCAGTGAGCACTCAGGGCTTGTTTTCTTAAGAATGGATAGGTTTGATCTTCTTGCAGTCCATGGGACTCTCAAGAGTCTCCTCCAGCACCATAATTCAAAAGCATCAATTCTTCGGCAATCAGCCTTCTTTATGGTCCAGCTTTCACTTCCATACATCAAAACGACACATACATAAAATCAATTCAAATCCAAAACAGGTACCAACTAAGATAAATATTTTAGAACCGTAGAACTGTAGAGTTGGAAGGAACCCTGAGGATCATCTAGTAAAACTTCTCTGACACACAGGAATATGCAGCTGGCCCATGTAGGGATTGAACTCACGACCTTGGCATTATGAGCGCCACACTCTAACCAACTGAGCTAACTGAAGCTTGGTGAAAGAGGGATGTCTTTAGCAGGTGCTGAAAAGATAACAGAGAAGGTACCTACCTGGTGTGTTATGTGAAGGAGGTCCAAAGGGTAGATGCCACCAAACTAAAGTTCTGACATTGTGCAGAGTAGACCTCATCGTTGGATGTTGTCTGCATGATGCCCTCCCCTGCAAAACACAATGATGGATTGGGTACATAAGGAATGAGATTATCTTTTAGTTAGCCTGGTCCTAAACTGTATACAGTGGTATCTCGGGTTACATACGCTTCAGGTTACAGACTCCGCTAACCCAGAAATAGTACCTCAGGTTAAGAACTTTGCTTCAGGATGAGAACAGAAATTGTGCTCCGGCGGTGCAGCGGCAGTGGGAGGCCCCATTAGCTAAAGTGGTGCTTCAGGTTAAGAACAGTTACAGGTTAAGAACGGACCTCCAGAATGAATTAAGTTCTTAACCCGTACCACTGTATGGCTTTCTACACCAACACCTTGGGCGGGGGGGGGGGGAGAGCCCCTGAAGATTGCATTAATTTTCATAGAGGCAGGGGGCTTACCATTACAATTGAGGTGGCTGGTTTTTTAAAACTTGCCAGTGCTTTCTTTTCTGGCAAGGTTTTCAGCATATGCTTAACTGTTAAGCGTGCAAGATTTGAACGTGGACAGGTTTGGCATCAGATGACATCAGTGGAAAAGACAATGTCATATATGTAGGAGGACTGGCAATACTGCCCTGGGGCTGTTTTGCACCTAGAGGTGCAAACAATGTGTGCACATAACAAAGTTCTTAGATTTGCAGCACAATTTATGACCGCCAATCATTTCAAGTCGTGGCATGCATAGGAAATATACGCAGCTACAACTGAGTGGAATATGCATACACAAGGAAGTGGTGTGTGTGTGTGTTGTTGTTGTTGTTGTTGTTGTTGTTGTTGTTGCTGCTGCTGCTGCTGCTGCTGCTGCTGTTGCTTTTCAAGCACTGATGCACACCTGTTTTGGCATAGAACTTAACCAAGAAGTGTTTTTTTTAAGCCCTCTGTTAAAATAGGCACTAAATTCAACAGACATCAAACATGCCATTAAGCACCTGCCTGACAGATGCAATACAGGATAATGAACGTGATGGCTCCCAATAGTAAGCTTCTTCTTCTCTCTCTTTTTTACAAATATTCTTGCTTGAAATGGACTAAGAACCAAGTGAGACTGTTGTATGTCACCAGTTTATAATTAAAATGTAGCGCTTGAATCTCAATGTATTGTAACCTTCAATTAGCCAGCACGACCCAGCTTCCGGCTTTACTTCCCACTGAAAAGCAATGATAACAAGCTCACATTTATTATCAGAGTGGGTTCCCCCCCCCCTTCCTTGAGCAGTGCATTGAAACATGCTCACATCTGAGCCCTTTCACTGAAGACATTTTTTCGCTTCAGCAGCTTGGCATGCCGTACAAAGGCTTCTCTGATTTTTAGCAATGTTCACCTCCTCCAGCATAAAAATGATTTCTGTTTCACTATACAGGCATATTCATTCAGTGCCCAGGTGCATGAACTACCCAAACACTAAATGGGTCATTAACTGTTTTTATTACAGCCTAATAACCAGGGGTTTCTTACCAAATTGGGCATTAGGTTATAATCAACAAAGACAGAAGATACCTGCAGCGTGAAGGAACCGCCTGCCAAAATGCAAGGAAATTCCCTGCAAAGTTCTTTCGTGCCACCATTTCGTTAAGAGAGAATGACAAAGGGAGCCTGCAACAAAATGTTGCAGTGTGGTTCAGGATTCCATCCAGTCTCTTCCATTCCCCCAACACTGATTTTCCATTCTCCACACTGCCCACCCACCAGTCAACCCATACCCATTGAGCATCCTCAATCTTCATTGAGCTGTTTGGGCAATCTCCATCTTTAGGGTTTCTTTCTAAACATTTTGGTACCTCTGCAGACCTTGGGGCCTCCTCAGGGCTGCTGATACCTCTGCGTATCTGGTGCCCTATTGGCTATGTCAGCGATCATTCACAGCCTGAACACTGAAAATACAGGGATCGGTTATTCCTACTTAAAATGAATTCCTAATACAGTGGTGCCTCGCAAGACGAAAAGAATCCGTTCCGCGAGTCTCTTCGTCTTGCGGGTTTTTTCGTCTTGCGAAGCAAGCCCATTAGCGGTTTAGCGGATTAGCGCTACAGTATTAGCGGCTTAGCGGGCTTAGCGGATCAGCTGATAAGCGGCTTAGCGATCAGCTGTTAAGCGGCTTAACGATCAGCTGATAAGCGGCTTAACGATCAGCTGATAAGCGGCTTAGCGATCAGCTGTTAAGCGGCTTAGCCGATCAGCTGATAAGCGGTTTAGCGGCTTGGGAAAAAGGGGGGGGAAAGGGGAAAAAAACCCGCAGGAACTCGCAAGACATTTTCGTCTTGCAAAGCAAGCACATAGGAAATTCGTTTTGCGAAGCACCTCCAAAACGGAAAACCCTTTCGTCTAGCGGGTTTTCCGTCTTGCGAGGCATTCGTCTTGCGGGGCACCACTGTATCAGTATTTCTGTTCTAGCTAGTGGATCAACTAAGGCTGCAGTTCTAAACCCAACTTACATGAGCATGCCAACTTGAATAAAATCAGGGCCGTCTTTAGCAAAGATCCGCCCAGCGCCCCCAGTATTTTTAGTGGGGCCGCTCAAAGTTGTTGAGCTATTGGGGCAGCTCAAGGTTGTTGCGCTTTTAAGGAGGGGAACAGCAAAAACCGCTAACATGAAGAAATAAAAAAGCGGCAGCAATAACTCAGTTTTCCCGTTTTTGCGATCATGTGGAAATGAAAGACACCACTAGGGGATGGCGCCGGATACATTGATTCTGCAGCTCTTCCGCAAAAGAGAACAGAAATGACCCATCGACCGAAATCAGCCAGGGATTTCGGTTAAAAGCTTAGGCGGCTTCAGTGGCGGGCGCTCCCCCTGAATTCAACGCCCGGGTGCACCGCACCCCTTGCACCCCCGGGTAAAGACGGCCCGGAATAAAATACCGGGGAACCCAGGTAATTCTTCATTTGGCAACACTGCATGAATTAAAAGAAACTCTTAAGCAATAAACCCTTATGGCCCCTAAATGTGGCACTTGCTGCTGGAAAGAGCTGGGTGGAGACTTGCCACGCCTGCCCCTTGATCTTCACCCCAAATGACTCTGATTTTAAGGCTGCAGGCTGCTCTTTAAAGCAGGGGATGTGAGGGGGGCAGAAATCATTTTGACCTTTAAGATTTAAAAACAAAAAAAACCTGACTTGTGCTCTCCTTTTTGGTTCAGTGAGTGATGAATGGAGTGGGTTAAAGTTATGGATATGCTGGGTTTCATTCGATGTTAGATTTGCAGAGGATAGGAGAATGACCTCTACAGCACATGCCAAGCAGCAGCCATCTCTCTTGATTGCATTTAATAACTAACCATGGAGAAAATTACACTTTACTGAAAAGGCCAAATTCACTCTTGGCTTAACCCCATTGATACTGGGGGAAATTATACACAAGGAAGAACTCAGCCTGAAACTCTTCCTTCCTTATGCTGATGGCCAGCAGGTGACCTATAGTAATCTGCCTCGGAAACAAGATATAGGGAGGAGTGGGGCGGGTGGGTGGGATCACACATGCTTTTAATGGCAAGACATTTTTATTACCATCTCCCATGCAATGTGGAATTTCAGCTCTCTAGTGCTGTGAGATGATCAGTCAATATTTATACAGCAGCAGTGTCGAGACCATGTTAGCACATTTCGAACCCTACCTTTCTATTATTCCAAAGGAGAATTTTAATTTTCCTCCCTGTGTTGCCTCGTATCATGTACTCTGTATTTATGCTATCTGGAGAACTACCCTCCCTCCCTCATATATGTAGCATGGAACAATGAAGATGTCAAAATGATGCTTGGGGCATTGGGGAAATCTAATTCTTGAAACACCACTCTTGTTGCCATGGAGGAAATGCGCTCAATGGTGCACTGTGCTTCTTTGCTAGCCAACAGGATTAAAGGGCACACTGCCTCCTCTCCACTGCACCCCTGGTTTCTCTGAACATGCTTTGTCAATGCATCAGGGCATAGTAAGAACATGTGCTATTAATTTAATTAACAGGGGGTCCATATTTTCCTAGGGTGGGGTGTTTTATGGTAACTGGATGGAAACTGCAAACTAGAGATTCTCGTTCAGGATAGTTATTATGGAAAGGAGCACCGAAGGGGATGCTTATTTAGATTAATGCAAACAATACACAACACACATCTTTTGATATCTTTCGTGTTGTTGTTGTTGTGTGGAAAATACTAATAAAATTCATTTTAAAAAAATAGATTAATGCAAACAGTGTTAATGTGGAACCTACGTGGGCATTGATTTGGGATGGATACGTTGACCCCACAGCATTCCTGCAATAAGATTTGGGTTTTTAATACCCTCACTTATCAAAATGGAAACCTATCATTTTTGTTTGCTTATTTAAGTTTTTGTTTGTTTGTTTACTATTTTTAATACCGGGGTGTGCAAAATAAACAGAACCTTTTTTCATTTCTGGGATGCTTTTGAAACATGACCCTAATCGAAAGAGAGAGAAGGGAGTTAGGAGTGGAGAGGGAGGAAAAGGGAAAAGTAACCTTTCTAATCTTTTAAAAACCGTTTTTAAAATGTTGCTTTCTTGAATTATTTATATGTAAAGTATCCAGTTCATCGTTTCACAGGGAAAACAGCGAGGAGAGGTGCTCCATTTTGCACGGGGCATGAAGGAATTCTTGAAGCATAAAGCCTGTTGTGAATTTGTATATATATATATATATATATTTTAAAATGCAGAGTGGAAGGCTAATAGATTGTAACGGCTTTTTACACTGTCTTGAAATCAATCTTTTAATGGCTGATATTCACAAGCCCAGACTATGGTATAGGCTTGTGAATATATGTGGGGTTTTTTTTCAATTTAAACACTATAGGTGAGAAATAATTTCCATATTCCCATGCACTGTTAAAAAAAAAGTGAATTTTGGAGCTTCAGAATCTTGTAGCTGGAGGTTATTGCTGGCTGCTTGGGCTCCAGAGAGCAATCTGCAAGGCATTCTCAGATGTCAAGAACTGAAAAGGATGTGGAAAGGAGGAATTTCCATCCAATCAGCGGAAGACTTTTATCTGTATCATTGGGCAGCCTCTCTGTCCAGCCTGATGTGGATGATCCTTGGGGTGCTGCCTTATTACTCCCATGCTAGTGATGCCCTAATATGGCATCAAGGGATGGGGGTGGCGCTGTGGTCTAATCCACTGAGCCTCTTGGGCTTGCCGATCGGAAGGTCAGTGGTTCGAATCCCCGCGATGGATTAAGCTCCCGTTGCTCTGTCCCAGCTCCTGCCAACCTAGCAGTTCGAAAGCACGCCAGTGCAAGTAGATAAATAGGTACCACTGTGGCAGAAAGGTAAACTGTGTTTCCGTGCACTCTGGCTTCCATCACGGTGTTCCATTGTGCCAGAAGCTTAGTCATGCTGGCCACATGACCCAGAAAGCTGTCTGTGGACAAACGCCAGTGCCCTCAGCCTGAAAGCGAGATGAGCAGCGCAACCCCATAGTCACCTTTGACTGGACTTAACCATCCAGGGGTCCTTTATCTTTCTTTTTTTTTTACTTTTAGTATGGCATCAAGTGCACTTTTTATTTTAAATGGCCCTCTGCAGACTCTTAGCATTCCCAACGCAGGTGCACACATGCTAAAGAGACATGACTTCAGATTCTCATTGAGCCACAAAACTCTGCGGCCCTGGACAAATCTCACAGGGTTGATGTACTGTAAGAGGTAAACAGGAAAATCCATATATGACCTCCCACCCTGCTCTCCTCAAAGGAAGAGTAAGATACAAATGGGACTAGGACAAATTATCCCAAGTTCTGATGCTGAACATATGTGGGTTTTAAAGCCATTGAAGTCTAAGCACAGACCAAGAGCTGCATGCATGGTTTATCGCTATTTATCGTGCATATGTAAGATGTTCAGCACATCACAGCATTTATGGTTTGTTGTTCGTTAACAGTTTTGTGGTGCATGCTGTTAATTGTTCACTTTATGCAGCAGTGAATTTGAGGTGGTTGTCCAAGTAGCGAGGTTTGGATTTAAACCCAGGTTTGGTACTTCAGCTTGCATGCCTACTTTAGAAGACATCGGGTGGTAGTCAACTAAATTTTACTCAGATTAAGCCTGTTAACATAATGAACATGACTAAGTTAAGTTAATTTCAGTGTGCCTGCTCTGAGTAAAACCTAGCTGATCATGACTCATTATTTAGGAAAATGGAAACCTGCCAAGTCTAAACACAGTTACTTCGATTTGTATATGTATATGTTGCAATGCTTGATATGCTCAGCACTAGCTAGTCTAGTCAGTGCTACATAGAGTACAAATCCTTGTGAATTAGGTCCATGCACACATCAGCTCTGATCATGTGTGTCGGGGTTAGAAGGATTTCCATTCTCTTCTTCAGCAGATTAATGCACTGCCAGAGCTGATTCACACTTGCATTATTTAGGCCTAAATTATATATTGTGTAGGTGGTACAGTGGCTGCTAAGAAATAAAACTGCATTGGTTGTAATGCTCTGCATATAGAAGGTAAAGGGACCCCTGACCATTAGGTACAGTTGTGGCCGACTCTGGGGTTGCGGCGCTCATCTCGCTTTATTGGCTGAGGGAGCCGGCGTACAGCTTCCGGGTCATGTGGCCAGCATGACTAAGACGCTTCTGGCGAACCAGAGCAGCGCACGGAAACACCGTTTACCTTCCCACCAGAGCGGTACCTATTTATCTACTTGCACTTTGACGTGCTTTTGAACTGCTAGGTTGGCAGGAGCAGGGACTGAGCAACGGGAGCTCACCCCGTCACGGGGATTCGAACCGCCGACCTTCTGATCGGCCAGTCCTAGGCTTCTGTGGTTTAACCCACAGCACCACCCGCGTCTGCATATACTAGCTTCATTAATCCATAAACTAATCTGCCATCCCTTGAGTCCAAATTTATTAAGAGTGAATCATATCTACTCACAGGTTTTCATCAATATTTTCCAGAACATAAAAAAAGAAGTCTCCTTCCCCCACCCCAACCATTTTTTCTACCTGCTGCCCTCTCTTGCTCTCGCTTTCAGTTGCCTTCACTTGTCCTCAATAAGGTAATCTTTTAGCCAAATTTGATTGGCTCTGTAGAATCATGAAATCATCCTTTTAACTATGTGATTGGTTGAGATCACTCCTGCTACGGATCAAGGAAGCAGAAAGAAGAAGCCTGAGAGTGGAGCAGAGCACCAAAAAGGGCTGAAAAGGGGGGAATATTAAGATAAAAGTGGTTTTCGGTGTTTTCCCTAGCTTTAAGTAACATCATCTTTTTAAACAAAGGAACTAGTAAATTGCAATGTTTAAGAGGCTTCACTTTGGATATCACATTGCACTTTCCTCAGCCAGTTAATAAATAAATCACCACTTATTTTGCTAGAGGGGTCAGTGCCCATGGTTTTTAATAAGCAAAACAAACAAGAGAATAGGGCAGGGGAACATTGTCATCCTGGCATAATCATGTTTTATACATTTTCATTTTTCTTTCTTCCCCTGAATATTGCAAAATCACCAGTGTCTAACTGTACTATGTCCCACAAAAGCCTGTAAATGCATAATTAAGGCTGCCACTTAAACATTTGCCTTGTTGTGCTTCTAAATATTAACACTATATTCTTCTAATAATAGGCTCTGGGCACCACTCCAGCCACATCATTGCAAAAACATTTCAAAGCATTTGCATGCTGCTGTTGCTCAGATCAGCGTCTGGTGCTACATGTGCAAATTCCTGAATTTGCCGCAGATCTTTTGGAAGGAATTCAACACCATGCCAAGGTGGTTGTTCATCAGGATAAGCGTTTCAGCATTCTGGGTGGAGTGTTCTTCCCTCTTCTCCCACCCCTGTTCTGTTCCACAGATTCTCCTGACACACAGACACCCGAGCCAGTGGCCTGGGAGGAGGAGAGGACGAAAGCCCCGTTTTGTAAACAGATGTCTTTGCAGAGGGCTTCCACTGGTGGGACTCTTTAGCTGAAACCTGCCCTGTGTCCTATGTCAATGGATTGTCCTGAAAATAATATGTGCTTCTATAGAAACATAGCTTGTGCAGAGCAGCTTACTGGGCCTTCCTATAAAGAGATACAGCTTTAGCTGTGAAATGCAACGTGAATTGTTAGAAGCTCAGAATATGCCTCATCACAAGGACCCTATGCAAGTATTCTGGAACGCCCTTCCATCAGATGTCAAGAAGATAAAGAACTACAGTGGTTCCTCGGGCTACAGACGATTCAGGTTACAGATGCTTCAGGTTACAGACTCTGCTAACACAGAAATAGTACCTCGGGTTAAGAACTTTGCTTCAGGATGAGAACAGAAATTGCACAGCTGTGCGGCGGCAGCAGGAGGCCCCATTAGCTAAAGTGGTACCTCAGGTTAAGAACAGTTTCAGGTTAAGAATGGACCTCTGGAACGAATTAAGTTCTTAACTCGAGGTACCACTGTACACAGCTTTTAGAAGACATCTGTATCAGAAAGTTTTCAATTTTTGACGTTTAATTATGTTTTTTATATGTGTTGGAAGCTGCCCAGAGTGGCTGGGGCAACCCAGCCAGATGGATGGAGTATAAATAAATTATTATTATTATTCATTTAAAGGTAAAGGTTCCCCTGACCATTAGGTCCAGTCGTGGACGACTCTGGGGTTGCGCGCTCATCTCACTCTATAAGAGCCTCTAAGCCGCTTACAGAAAACTATAAGACAAAGGCACAGCATGAAAAACACGCCCATTATAGTAAAACCATTGCAATGATCCATAAACACACCTAGAAAAACTTCGGCAGTGAAAAACTAGTTAGCAATAAACAGCAGTACATGCATCTCGGTCTGTCAAATGCCTGGCACTGAAAATATATTAACGATGGCCTACTGGTATATTACACTTTTAAGTGTTTAAAAACATCTCTTGGGAAGCTGCCTTGGATTAAATAAGACCATTAGTCCATCTAGTTCAGGACTTTGGACAGGAATCTTTCCAAAACATACCCGGAAATGCCAGGAATTGGACCCAGGACTTTCTGTGTAGAAAGTATGTGTTCTGTCATCAAGCCATGACCCCTCCCAATCTCACAGACTGTAATTATTTTGGTGAGGTCTTCTCCTCGGTGGCCTTGACCTCATACATTCTACCCTGGTTGCTCAGCCTGTTCTCTAGTGTGGCCTCAAACCAGTCTCTGGCTTCCATATCATATCATTATCCGCAACTTTCCTATTGGACTATCTTAGACTGACGACTTCAGCATGCTTTCAGCACAGCCTCCTCCTGCTTTCTGTTTCTGCTAGATCCTGCTCACCATCCGTTACAAAGCTGTAGCTGAAATAAAAGCATGAGCACCATCTCACCACAAAAGAGAATCCACCCAGCACTCATGGGAAAATGTGGTGTGATCTCTTAGAGCAATCAAATGAAATGTTAACACACAGCATGGTAAAAGTCTGTGATTCTTATCAGGACAAGTGGCTTGTTGTTTACTGTCGTAACAATGGTTTTCTCAAAACTGTATCATGAAAATAAATAAAAACAAGAAGAAGAAGAAGAAGAAGAAGAAGAAGAAGAAGAAGAAGAAGAAGTCCTGTATACCTGAAGGAGCGTCTCCACCCCCATCCTTCAGCCCGGACACTGAGATCCAGCACCAAGGCCCTTTTGGAGGTTCCCTCATTGCAAGAAGTGAGGTTACAGGGAACCAGACAGAGGGCCTTCTTGGTAGTGGCGCCCACCCTGTGGAATGCCCGCCCTTCAGATGTGAAGGAAGTAAGCAGCTATCTTATCTTTAAAAGACATCTGAAGGCAGCCCTGTTTAGGGAAGTTTTTAATATTTAATGCTGTATTGTTTTTAACACTCGATTGGGAGCTGCCCAGAGTGGCTGAGGAAACGCAGCCAGATGGGCGGGGTATAAATAAATTATTATTATTATTATTATTATTATTATTATTATTAAGAAGAAGAAAAAGTGCAGCATCTGTGTTGCTTATACTGTTTTTGTTTCGGTTGCTGTGCTGTATAGGAAGACAGACATATACATATGAAACAGACAATATTAAGAGGAAAGCATTCCATCCGACTTGTTCATCTACATGGATTTTTAAACATAAGTGGAGGCTGGTTCAGTAGGGGAAATGAGACAGTGCCCCACCCTATGTCAGCCTGTCTTCAGCCATCTTCCCACCTGCCTACCGTCTCACAACCAATCCAAGGCATGGCACCGCCTGCCAGCTTCCTACTGCTTAGTGTCAATGCTGGATGAGGAGAATACCAGAGATAGTTGGCTCTGCTTGCCATTGGTTCTGCCTTAGGGTTGCCACCATTGTTCTGGCAAAATACAGGGTAGGGCAGGGCAGGGCAATTTCCCCCCTCACTTGGTGTTGAAGTGACTCCAAAACAATCCAGTAACATCTATTGCAGCCTAACAGGATGGTCCCTCTGGAATTTGTCACACACACATGTGCACGTGCACACACACACATGCACATGAATTTGCAAATCTGTCTGTGCTTGGCTTCCTGGAGCTTAAATACATGACCTTTCAAGCATCCTTTTGAACAGATTCATTTGGAGAGGATCCGTAACTTGGCAGAAATGGAGAGAGACAGAGAGAGAACCTGAAATACAGGACAAAACCGTATCAATACAGGACGTAGCATTCTCCATTGTAATGCGTGACAATCCAGTCTTCCAATGGGTGCCAGCCACCACTGGGATACATATGGGTGAGTGGGTGTTCATATATGGTATGAAAGAGCATTGAGTCACATAAGCTCCACCAGTAATTTGAAATGGCACAGCCTAAACATAGGTTTAGTACCCCAGTGAGTATTAAGCCTTCAGACCTTCCCTTTCCTTGTCAAAACTGCTAGGTAGTAGATGATCCTTCAGGATGCTGGGAGCGTTGCTCAAGACAAGCCTGATTTTGCATCTCAGCACAAATTCCTCCAGACAGCTGATTCAAAACGTCAGTAATCACCCACCATCCCTAATTGTGGCCACGGGTACAGAGAAGAGGCGGCCATGTCAGTCAATGTTGTTTGATGGCCATGTGCATGAGGTGTCCAAGGCCCAGCAATGACATTTTCCATGCAGCATTGAATCACGAAACGGGACATCCTGCCCGCATTTCCCTCATCTCATTTATTTACTCCACATCTTTTCTAATACTCATTAGTTGAACTGCACCTCATTAGACTGTGAATTATAGATACTTGCTAAACCCTCACCAGCAGGATCAGCTCTATGGGATCAATTAATTGGGAATATGCTTAGTTTCCTGATTAACTTAAACCCATGGGCATATTTATTTGCTGTTCAAGGAGCAGTTTCCTAAGGCATCATATTTGGGAAATGGGATAATGTTTGTTTTAATAATTGTAATGAGGGAAGGACCACCATAAGGGGAAGGAAACAGGGGCTTTGCTTCCAGCACCCTTGCACTCTGTGTGTGTGTGTGTGTGAGAGAGAGAGAGAGAGAGAGAGAGAGAGAGAGAGAGAGAACAAACCAGAGAGTGAGAGAACCACTCTATCACTGTGAGGCAATGTTTTTGCACAGTCCTCACAGTGAGTTCCTGATGGAACTAGGTCATCAGCAGGTATCAACATGAGACAAGCAGTTTTCAAAACTGATGGCTTCCCACCCCATGTTGGATAACGACTGAAACATTTTGGAAGATTTTCACAGCTGAGAGAGAGAGAGAGAGAGAGAGAGGGAGAAATAACCTTGCCGCTGAAGAACTGATAGTCTTAATCACACTTAATTACATCTTTTAAACAAAAGGTTGTCGGCATAAGGTGTTTGGGATGCATTTATTTACATCTTCATATGATATGGGATTCTCCTGGTTGCCTTAACTTTCTCAGAGGTCAAGCTGTTTCCAGGAGAGTGAGCTAAGCTCCCTTTTGCTGGTGCAAATCCAAGCTAGTTTCTTGGGGTTTCAATAAATCAGCCTGTGTACTTTAATGGCAGGATGCAACTGTTTCCTTACATATGCAGCTGTAAACAGAAAGCTACTCCAAGTTGTCAAAAAACATGACGAAAAATGGAATAAAATGAATGTTAAAGCTGAGCAGCAACCTAGAATATATTCATCCATTTATCATTTCTGAAGTTCCTGTCTCTCCTGTTTCTGTGCCACAAGGCTTAAACTGAAGATTTCCACCCCCACCCCCTTTATATTATGTTTACTTTTCTAAGAATAGATCTCAATTTGTGTGCATGCAGAAGGACAATACCGCTGAAAGAGCATTTCTTTTAGCACACTGACTTATAGTCCAGTGTGCTTCTTAGACCAACTTTTAAACTTTTAAAACACACTTTGTTGAACTGGTAACACACACACACAAAATTGCAGCTTGCAGGTTGGGATTTCTTTGGAAAATCTCCCAAGGAAATATATTTATGGTTCAAGCCTCAATCTTAAATAGTCTCTTGTATCTCCATCTTCTGGGTTGATATACTAAGGAATTTAATCCAGATAGGAATCCAGAAAGTAGTATGGGATATGGAAAGTTACTGGCTGAGCAGAGCCTAGGGTTGAATAGGCAAGTGAGACCAACTGAATATTAAATACAACAGACCCTTTATGCCTGAAGACTGCAAGGACAGAGACTATAACTTTAGAGAAAAGTCTTGACACATGCGGTATTTCCTGTGTCTGTTGACTGGCTCAGAAATAATGGCGTCAGCTTGATTCATTGCATTGGATTCAAAGGGGAATTGGACTTGTCTGAGAGGGTGCAAGGCGTTTTAATTAGAACAAGTTAAAATGGGGTAGGCAACCTAAGGCCCACGGGCCAGATGCGGCCCAATCGCCTTCTCAATCCGGCCCGCAGACGGTCTGGGAATCAGCGTGTATTCACATGAGTAGAATGTGTGCTTTTATTTAAAATGGATCTCTGGGTTATTTGTGGGGCCTGCCTGGTGTTTTTACATGGGTCGAATGTGTGCTTTTACAGTGGTGCCTCGCAAGACGAAATTAATCCGTTCCGCGAGTGTCTTCGTCTAGCGGTTTTTTCGTCTTGCGAAGCAACCCTATTAGCGGCTTAGCGGATTAGCGCTATTAGCGGTTTAGCGGCTATTAAAGGCTTATCGGTTTAGCAGATTAGCTGCTAAAAGGCTATTAAAGGCTTAGTGGCTTAGATAAAGGGGGGGAAAGCGAAAAAAAAAATCTCAAGACTCGCAAGACATTTTCGTCTTGCGAAGCAAGCCCATAGGGAAATTCGTCCTGCGAAGCAACTCAAAAACGGAAAACCCTTTCGTCTAGCGGGTTTTCCGTCTTGCGAGGCATTCGTCTTGCGGGGCACCACTGTATTTAAAATGCATCTTTGGGTTATTTGTGGGGCCTGCCTGGTGTTTTTAAATGAGTAGAATGTGTGCTTTTATTTAAAATGCATCTCTGGGTTATTTGTGGGGCATAGGAATTCATTCATTATTTTTTTCCAAAATATAGTCCGGCCCCCCACAAGGTCTGAGGGACGGTGGACCGGCCCACGGCTGAAAAAGGTTGCTGACTCCTGAGTTAACCCACCCTGTGGTAACTTATCCAAGCTTTGTAATGCAAGCCAAGCACTGCCATCTCTGTTGACACTGTTGCTGGAGTTAAGAGAAGCATGGCAGGATGTTCAAAAGCATTGCTGTAACAAGGGTAACATGTGCAGAGATGCAGCTGTCATACGGTGTGGGTGTGAAAGACAGGCCTTCCCAGATCTAAGCTGTACTCTAAGAAGGCCCAGCACAAAGTTGCACTCTTAGGTGCGGTGCTAAGATTTTTCAGTACCGACAACTGAATGCATATTGAACAGGGATGTGTTTACTTACATGTGAGCACACTGCTACAAAGGATCATAAAATCCACTCTTCCTTTGTTGGTATGTCCGGAGATTTCCATTTAGTAGCAATAGGAGTGGATTCGTAAATTAAGTGAGTCTACAGAATTGGCAAAATTAACTTCAATTATAAGATATCAATCAAATCAAAAGTTAAGAATGGGGTGGAAGTATTTTGAAGATGATATGTCAAAATATTGATCTAAAAATGACATGTTAATAGGCTTAGAATAAAAAATGTAAGCAATAACAAAACAAAGAAAGAAAGAAGGAAAAATAAGAATTTAACAAAAATAATTTATTATAGAATGCAAGGAGGAAAAGGTAGAAAGAAATATAAAGAAGTTGAATTGCTGTGGAGGGAAGTAGAGGGTGGGTGGTGGGTTTTATAATTAGGTGTATAATTATGCAGCTGTTGTAATTTAAATATTATATTTTAAATGAGGGAATCGTTGGGAATTTTGGTTATTATGTATATTTGTTAAGTTTCAATAAAGATCTTTGAAAATTAAAAAAAAATTATAGAATTGTAGAGTTAAAAAATTGTAGAGTTGAAAGGTGCCCCAAAGGTCACCAAGGTCCAACCGCCTGCAATGCAGGAATCTCAGCTAAAGGATCCACGACAGCTGGCCATCCAACCTCTGCCTAAAAACCTACAGCCTTCCAAGGGAGCCCGTTCCACTGTCAAACAACTCTCGCTGTCAGAAAGTTCTGCCTGATGTTTAGTTGGAATCTCCTTTCTTGCAATTTGAAGCCATTGGTTCGAGTCCTACCCCCTAGAGCAGGAGAAAACAAGCTTGCTCCCTCTTCCATGCGACAGCCCTTGAGATATTAGAAGATGGCTTTCATATATCCTCTCAATCTCCTCTTTTCCAGGCTAAACATACCCAGCTCCTTCAACCTTTCTTCATAAGGCTTGGTTTCCAGACCCTTGATCAACTTGGTTGCCCTCCTCTGCACATGTTCCAGCTTGTCAATATCCTTCTTAAATTGTGGTGCCCAAACTTGGACACAGTATTCCAGGTGTGGTCTGACCAAGGCAGAATAGAGTGGTACTTTTATGGTATTATTACTTCCCTTGATCTGGACACTATATGTCTGTTGGTGCAGCCTAGAATAGCATCAACTTCTTCTTTTGCTGCTGCTGCTTCATCACACTGTTGACTCATATTAAGGTTGTGGTCCACTAAGACCCCAAGATCCTTTTCACATGTACAGCTAGCAAGAGAGGTGTCCCAGATCTTATATAGGTGCATCTGATTCTTCTTGCCTAAGTGCAGAACCTTACATTTGCCTGTATTGAATTAAATTTTGAAAATAAGCAGATATGAATATGGTCAGCAAGCTGTAAGGGAAGCCAGCAGGATCTCTGCATAAGATACAATCTTGCTTTTAAAAAGAGAATTGAAGGTGCTAATCTTACAGTCTTTTACACAGAGGCAGGTTAGGAATCAAGAAGCGGTGGCTACCTGAAGCTGTGGATTCACATCTCTCCCTGTTGCAGGTGATTACAATGGAGCTAAATTCTAGTTTCTTACTAGAACAATAGCAAAGGAACAAGGGACCATTCTTCAGAAGAAGGAATAATAATTTGGATAAAGACACATATTTCCAGGTGGCATTCCAAAGAAGCTGGTACTAACCAAATCAGGCACATTCAATTATTTGCTGGCAGGTTAAGATTGTCGGTGCAGAACAGAATTATATTTCGAAGAATATGCAAGATTCCAGCCCAGTATGTTACCCACTTTCTACCGAAGAATAGTTACTTATTCATGAATACATGCCTGTTGCAGTGGCTGGAGAGTTAAAAATTCCTGCAGAAATTCTGCCTTTCCTTTGCCTGCGTAATGGCCAGTTTCATACATATGGTTTGCATACTTGATAGGATACTGCTCTCAGAATAACTTCATTTATAGCTTATGTTTTCAATCACACTGCAAACCATCTCATGGGGAGAAGGTGATCAGCAGCACAGTCTGGCCAGCATACTTTCCTGTAAATACCTGTGTTATTCTGGGGAAAGATGACAGGCCATACTCGCATCAACCATGTTCAAGAGGCAAATTATCCCTACACTGATGCTGGACCCCGTGGTGAGAGAGTAACGGCCTCTGTGAGTCACTGCAGTAAGTGGCCACACGCCATAATCTCTGACCGCAACTTTTAGAAAAGGCACCATGACTTTGGAAAAGTTGGGTAGTCTTGATTGTTATGAAGATTTAAGGCCAAAGTCTGGCCTACTCCTCACTTTCATTTTTCTACATGGAGAGCTGGTTGTGGGAATTACAGCTAGAAATCCACAGATGCTCACCTCTGGCGTGTGCAACTTTTAGTCTAGGAAAATAAGATAGATCAGAGAAGCCTGGGAAAACTTGTGCCATTTTCCAGGCTTAGGAGATCTTACTGAAACATCATACTAGGCCTCCCAGGCATTGTACTGGACCTCAGGGAGAACTGAAAAACAATGAGGCTGCTTCTAGCGCACCAAACTAGATGTGATGTTATAAACTTCTTTTCATTCATTGTGCACATTTTTTTAAAAAATGCAAACAGCGTTTTAAAGGGCTGGTGACAATCAGGATCACAGCAGGAGTGAATGAGAACTTTAAGGGGGAAACTTCCTCTGAAGCTGCTGTTTGTGTTGTGAATAAATCCCCTTTAAAAAAGGTAAAGGACCCCTGACAGTTAAGTCCAGTCGCAGACAACTCTGGGGTTGCGGCGCTCATCTCACTTTACAGGCCGAGGGAGCTGGCGTTTGTCTGCAGACAGTTTTTCCGGGTCATGTCGCCAGCATGACTAAGCCACTTCTGGTGCAATGGAACACTGAAACCAGAGCAGTGCACGGAAACGCCGTTTACCTTCCCGCCAGAGCGGTACCTATTTACTTGCACTTTTTGGCGTGTTTTCAAACTGCTAGGTTGGCAGGAGCAGGGACCGAGCAATGGGAGCTCACACCGTCACGGGGATTCGAACCGCCGACCTGATCGGCAAGCCCAAGAGGCTCAGTGGTTTAGATCACAGTGCCACTCGCATCCCTAAAAATCCGCTTTACGTACTGCATTTTGATGCTTTCAGGGTGTTTCTGATTTCAGATCAACTTGAGGGCCATGTCCCCACTTCTCATTAAACCAGCGAAAGAGCAGAAGGGTAGATACTGGTCATCACAGTACCTAATTATATATGAAAACGTAATGCAAGAACCATATGACAGAAGGCTGTGAGGACCGCTTCTTGCAGTGTTTTTCCTACCTGGTTACCGCTGTTGTTTTTTACTCGCCCTTCACCCCAAGGTCCCAGGGTAGGTTACAACATCAAAGCACAATATTGAAACAGTTTGGAAATAGTTTAAGACAACTCACAAACACAGAAACAAGGTGTGTCCTAAAAACACATACATCTCAAGTGTCAGAAGCCGGGGTAAAGAGTAATGCCCTCTCCTGGGCCGCCGCCACCCTTGAACTTCTGAGGATGGTGGAACAATCAAGAGGGCTCCCTTTGATGATGCTAACACCCAAGATGGTCTGTAGGGAAGCAGGTGTTATTTCAAGTATTTGGGTCCTGAGTCATTCATGCTTTAAGCACTAATGAAATCACCTTAAAACAGGCCCGAAATAAACTGGGAAGTAATGCATCTGTTTTAAAACAGGGGTTAGTTGAGATCTAATGGAACCCCATCCAATAATCTGGCTGCTGCATTTGGGACCAGTTGAAGTTTCTGAGATGTCTTCAAGGGCAGCCCAACATGGCGTGCATTATAATAATCCCAGACTTTGCCAATAGTGCATTGCTTGTGCCCTCAAGGAATCTTCATTCCCAAAACTGGGTTCATCCACTGGATGAACTTATAATCTTATATCTGGATGAATTTATACTTATATCACCTATAGAAGGAGATCTGAGGCTGCTCAGTTACATTCAATTACTGTACCCGTCTTCTGGGAGATTCTGACCTGAATAGCATTAGAGATCCTAGCAACAGCACGAAAGATTTTTCACAAGCTTGTTCTTCAGAGACAAGAGATGAAGTCTTTATAACTCAGCAGGTGATGTGGCAGAGGGACCTTTGTGGCTTAAACAACTTTATATATCTTTATAGCTCAACGTTTTTAAAGCCACCCTATGGTGTAGGATTTTTTTTAAAAAAAAACTTGCATTTTCACTGACCTTTGGACCTGGTTTTTTTGTTGTTCCCATTTGATATCTGGATATCACATGTGGCAGATAGGAAAGACTTTGAAGGTGGAGAGTAGAGAGAAAAGCACTTCCAAGTGCTTTCTCTGTCTACTAAAAGCATCTTTGAGGGTCACAACTCAACATGAAGCTATGAGAATCAGCAGGTTTATCGAAGGTATTATTTTCCCAGCATAGGTGACATTTTGATTCACACAAGCATTCACGGAACCTCTCCCTAATACCAAAACCCCAGAATTTATAAGTTCTGGCATTTTTATAATCACAGGTTGCAACTACCATATCCTTGGAGGGGGGGTGGATCCTGCATTCCCTAGGCAGCGGTCTGTGGGGCTGAAAGCATTTGTCCCACAGATTAACACCCTCGCAAATGGCCAGGTCCTGTAATAACGCTGGAGCCATCTAGCACCAGTGTAAGGAACAGATGCACTCAGAAGCGGAACCACTTTACGTGCCAATATTTACATATGGAAAACAAAATGCAATATTTCAAGATGGAGCACCTTCTTTCGTACAACCTGGCAACATTTTTAGTGAGCCGTCCCAGAGGAGCACAAGCTGGACTTGGTTTTCTTTGGTGGGGAGATGATGGGAGACTTTACTGCAGCATGTGTGCGTCCTATTTATTTACCAGTGTGCCAGCGTAAGCAGAAAAAACAGTACACATTCCTACAAGGCAGCAGATCTGGTAGCCAGCAGTAGATTCCTAGGCAGAGGCATTCAATGCCTTCAGCCAACCCTTTCCAACTCTGCTTCTATCTTCATGTCCCCTTGCCAAACTCTGAATATGGGTCTTTCTCTACACACACACACACACACACACACAGCTGCTCCCCCTCCACTCCTTAGTTGAAGAGAGCAGGGTGTAAGCCCTTCCAACTGCTCTGGTGATTTTCGTGTTCGAACTCACAAACTGCACACACTCTTCTTAAAAATTTGACCCCTTGAAGGGTTTTATCTCTTAAAGTTACCCTGTCATTGGGCGATCGATCCACTAAGATCACTGGAATAGGGAAGAGAAGCAATGCCCAAACAGTTTCGAATCTCACCTTCTATTTCAATTCGTGTGGCAAGCTTTACATTTTAAATTTTCTCTTCCGGTCTAATGTTTCTTATCTCATGCTAATGCAAGGAGGAGGGCAGCCCCATTTGTAGCTTTTCAGTCTTTTCGTCCTTTTGGTGGTGGTGGTATTTCTTCGCTTGGGTGGGGAATTGATGCCAGCCAGTGTTTCCTCAACCTTTCAGTCCTGTTGTTCTGTTTCCCCTCCAGACCCTAAACGTTAGGCAACCTTTAGAACAGTGTTTTCTGTTATCTGGGCCTCTGAGCTGCAAGACTTCTCTTTCCAGCAGTTCTCAAGTGGCAGCCGTATCTCTTTCAATTTCCATTCTCACCATTGTCCTCTTCTGGGGCCTCTAACATCTCCCACTAGCATCTCCTTAAGAAGTCTTGGCATAGCATTATGCTTGTTTAACTCCTTACCTTCAGCTCCTTTCGGGGGGGACCCCCTTACCTACTCTAGATCAGGGGTCAGCAAACTTTTTCAGCAGGGGACCGGTCCACTGTCCCTCAGACCTTGTGGGGGGCCGGACTATATTGGGGGGGGGATGAACGAATTCCTATGCCCCACAAATAACCCAGAGATGCATTTTAAATAAAAGCACACATTCTACTCATGTAAAAACATGCTGAATCCCAGACCGTCTTCGGGCCGGATTGAGAAGGTGATTGGGCCGCATCCGGCCCCTGGGCCTTAGGTTGCCTACCCCTGCTCTAGACCCATTCTATCTTTATTATTTTACACTATAATCCTTTTTGAATGTGTCCTTCTCACAAACATTAACTCTCATGAACAGACATCAACAGACCATTCTGTAATGAACCAGCAGAACACTCAACAAAACAAATCCTAGTATTTTCAAAAGATAGCTCTACTGTAGTTGAATGCACAGAGATACTTGTGCTCTTTGTTTCTCTCCACCAGTACCCAGCTTGCATGGCCTTGGACCAGTCAATTCTCCATTGTTTCCATTTCCTTCTTGATTGTTTATTTCCTTTGTTTTCAACCTTACGTTCTTTGGGCAAGATACCTTTTACCCAGTGCTTTTTTCTTGGGGGAAAAGGTGCTGATACCCTCTTCCCCCCTTTTTTCTGTCTCACACACTCTCCTGTCCCCCCTCAATTAATTCAAGCCCCGCTTTGCATACCCCTCTCCCTTCTCCAACCTCTCCCCCCTCACCTTGCCCTGCTTGCTCTTCACCCCCCCCAGCATCCTGCCCTCCCCTTGTCCTCCCTTCCCCTCCTTCCAGCCACACCGTCTGTGCTCGCCTCTACAGCTTGCCCCAGCTCCAAAATGGAGGACGGCTGTGCTTGCAGCAGAGGCTGCTGCCTCCTCTCCCTTCTCTCTCTCCCTCCCTCCCTCTCCCCTGCCCCACAGACATGGAAAGAGCGAGCAGAGATGAAAGGGAAGTGGCACTTGGGGTTTGCCCAGCCGCTCCCGGCGCAGCGAGGCAGTGGCATAGCAGCTCCTCCAGCGGGAGCGAGCGCTTTGCGGGGCAGCCGATGGGGAACGGTGCAACCTGTTGGGTGAGAGCAGCAACTACAGTGGTACCTCTGGATGTGAACGGGATCCGTTCCGGAGCCCCATTCGCATCCTGAACAGAACGCAACCCACGTCTGTGCGGGTCGCGATTCACCGCTTCTGCGCATGACGTCATTTTGTGCGTCTGCGTATGCGCGAGCGGCGAAACCCAGAAGTAACCCGTTCCGTTACTTCCGGGTCGCCGTGGAACACAACCTGAAAATGCTCAACCTGAAGCTACTTTAACCCTAGGTATGACTGTATAGTCCCTTTTCCTTGCCACTGTCGCCTCAGCCTCCTGCTTTTTGCAGTCCCCTTTTTAGCCACAGTTGCTTGCTTGCTTGCTTGCTTGCTCTCTCTGCACCACTGTCCATTTACCTAATCGCAAGATTTATGTATCGTTGAGCACTACCAGGGGTTAATTCTGTTGGAGGTTTGGAAGCTTCCACAAACACCTTCATTGAATCAAGTTTTCTTATAAACAATGGAAGGAATAACTTTTCTCTAGCATATAATATCTTTACAAGACTGCATCCTTTCTTTCTTTTTTTCAATATATTTTTATTAGTTTTAAAATATAAAATTATAAAACATACCACACAGTTCATCACAAATACCCTCTTATTAGACTTTCATCAGCACCTCTGACAATCCTCTGTCTTAATCACTTCTTACGCATTTCCTAACTTAATATTGCCTTTACATTTTTAACACAACTCATCTCCTTCATTTTTGCAATATTTCTAAAATTAATCCTCACAGAGCTTCTTGCAAACCTACAAATGTCGTCTGGTCATCACAAATACTTTTCAAATAATCTGTAAATTTACTCCAGTCCTCGGTAAACTTCTGGTCCCGCCGGTTTCGCATCCTTCCCGTTAGTTTATCAAGTTCCGCATAGTCCATTAATTTCATCCTCCATTCTTCAATCATTGGTAGTTCTTCTTGCTTCCATTTTTGGGCCAATAGTATTCTTGCTGCTGTTACTACAAGACTGCATCCTTTCTTAAACAATACAGTGGTACCTCTGGTTACATACTTAATTCGTTCCAGAGGTCCGTTCTTAACCTGAAACTCTTCTTAACCTGAAGCACCACTTTAGCTAATGGGGCCTCCCGCTGCTGACACGTCGCTGCTGCGCAATTTCTGTTCTCATTCTGAAGCAAAGTTCTTAACCTGAGGTACTATTTCTGGGTTAGCGGAGTCTGTAACCTGAAGCGTATGTAACCCGAGGTACCACTGTACTGCTATCTCGTCCCATCCATTGACTCCCTTACCATGCCCCACTGTTATCTGGGTGTTCTGTGAGGAGTCACTGGTTCAATTCACACCATGCATTTAAAGCACTATGATGTCGCTTTGAATGGTCACAGAGTTTGCTAAGGGCGCTGAGAGTTGTTACAAGATTCCTATTCCTCTCGGACAACTACAGTTTCCAGAGATCCTCGAGAAGAGAGATTAATTGTTAAACTTGCTCTGGGAATTATGGCTCTGTGGTGGGAGCAGAGTGTTTCAGAACAACTCTCAGCACCCTTAACATACACCTCCCAGAATTCTTTGGAGGAAGCAAGGAATGTTTAGAGTGGTATCACAGTGTATTTAAACGCATTGCGATAGAAGAAATATTGGGACTCTGGGTGCATTGACTACCACACAGGAAAGAGCAAGCTTACCTATGTTAATGGGGAACAGCCGTGGTGTCTGATTCTGAGGGCTGTTTGTTCCCTTTTGCCTTTTGTTACTGCCTTCTAAGCTGCTTGGCAACCTATACTTTCTCTACTCTGTGGTTTCAGCATAATAGTGGATGAAAAAGCATTGAAAATAATAGGTTAACGTGGCAAATTCATCTGGATTTTGAAAGAGATCCGTATGCAGCATATTAAATTCCTGCAGAATCCAGCACACTGATCTTTTCTGAAAGACCATATGGGAATTTTACCCCCAACATAATGGTTCTATGCAAGGTTTCTTTTCCCCCTTATGTTTTCTTTCACGCTGTTATGTCCTAATATAGCTCTGCTATGCAATTGTCTTCATCTCTCATTTTCATATGGGTCTGCACTTCAACTCAGCAATAGCCACACTGAAGACAGAACCAGCATGTTTCTCGGGAGCTTAGGGATAGAGTATTACACCTTTCCCTCAGTAGTGTAGTAGGAAATTCAGAACTGCAAGGTCCCTTCATTATAGTCACAGCCACACCGTCTGACAGCCATGCAAAATTGTACAACCTTCTAAGATAATCTTACAATTATACAATAACAATAATTAGGGAGGCATTGCAACAATTAATGCAGACCTCCATGTGTTGCCCTTCATCTATAGTGGGGTAGGAGAACTGGGGGGGCGGGGAAATCACATCTGGCAACCAATGCACCCCTTTGGTTTCAGGTAGAACATGGGTAGCTGAGTCTAAAAAGCCCAGGAGACAAATTTTCACGGCCATCTAGCGGCTATGGTGGCTCATTTCCCAGAAGTAATGTATTTAGTATTAACACCAAACAAAGCTTTCTAGAGCAAAATGCACACAGGTGGCACGGTGGTCTAAACCACTGAGCCTCTTGGGCTTGCCGATCAGAAGGTCGGTGGTTCGAATCCTGCAACAGGGTGAGCTCCTGTTGCTGTGTCCCAGCTCCTGCCAACCTAGCAGTTTGAAAGCACACCAGTGCAAGGAGACAAATATGTACCGCTGCGGTGGGAAAGTAAACGGCGTTTCCGTGTGCTCTGGCTTCCGTCACAGTGTTCCGTTGCGCCAGAAGCGGTTTAGTCATGCTGGCCATGTGACCTGGAAAGCTGTCTGTGGACAAACGCTGGCTCCTTTGGCCTGAAAGCAAGATGAGCGCCGCAACCCCATAGTCGCCTTTGACTGGACTCAAACTGTCCAGGAGTCCTTTACCTTTACCTTTACACATCAGGAGGCTTAGTTTGATCAGAATTGAGGATACCCTTCCAGAGTTAACACTAAACACATTAATTAAGCCACCATAGCTGCTAGAGGGCCCTGAAAATTTGTGTCCCAGGCTTTTAAGACTTGTCTACCCATGTACTATCTGAAACCAAAGGGGCACTTTGGTTGCCAGATGTGAAATATATTGGCATTATTTTCAGCTTTCCTACCCCACTAAGGGATCTATTTTTCTGTGCACATACTTGGGAAATGATTTGGAATGCTCCAGGATCTTCTTTTGGAGTGAATTAAGTTGTGTCTCTCACGAAGTTCCATTGCATGTAACACAATTCTCTTGCCAATCTCTTGAAACCGAGGCACCTTGCATTTTCAGTGTTCCTAACGGCTTAGCATTGGAGCACACTGCGGCTAAATACCTCCCGTTTCATGCTGATTGAGTGCTTCTAGGAAGCTGGAGGCAGGGACCGTGCTGCAGAAAAAATAGCAAGTCTTTGACACCCCGCCCCGCAACTATTGCATGACAACTCCCCCCGTTTTCATGGTGAAACAGTGGCTATACTTATTTCAGAATCAAAATAATTTACAGCACCAGCGCTTTATTCTGGGGCAGTAGCCACAACTGTTAATGTGACAAACTTGAGTGTGTGACTGCCTTTGTGCCCTCCTTGTAAGCACATATAACAAGAGGCCTTCTGGATCAGACCACAGAGCTGCCATTGCCAATATGGCAACCTCCCAAGTGTTTTGGACTACAAATCCCATCATCCCTGACCACCGGCCATGCCGGCTGGGGCCGATGGCATTTGATGTCCAACATATCTGATTGGAGAAGACTGTCATACATCAAGCCCAGCATCCTATACTAAGGTCGCCAGAGACCACTTCTGGTTGGCTACTGTTGGTAACAAAATATTGGGCTAGATAGAAGCTGGCTTCACCTAGCAAGTTCTTTTCTGTTAAGCTGTGCTTGATTATATTCTTGCAAATGAATTAGTTATCTGTATCAACATCTAGTAATGTAGCAAATGCATGCAAGTGATCGCTCAAACTCGCAGTATTCTGTGTCAATGAAAAACTGATCTGGTGCGTGTGCTTTGAATTCCAATAGCTATGCACCCTGATAAACATGCCTTTTTTGAGTGGGCTGGGAATTTGGAAGTCTGCTCTTCTGCTGACTGATCCCAGTAAGTCTGTCTGTCAAGACAATTAGGAAGCAACAGAGTGAGGGGGCTGTGCCCTGAAAGAGTATATGTGCTGCTGTTAGTCTCAGCATGTGGAAACCTGAGCATTTCATGTGCAGCCTTTCTATGGAGAAAGGAAATCTGTTATACGTTGAAACTACAGTTGCTGCAAACTTGGAGAAAAGTTTGGAGGAAGAACTTTTATTACCCGTACATCCTTGCATGTGTCTTTATTTGTATGTTCCCCCCACCCCAGTCTACCTGACCATCTCTTACTAACACAAGCCAAGCTAAATAAGATTTGTCTGAGAAAATAAAATGGGGCGCATGGTCTAAGCAAGCTATGGGGAGGAATATTTGTTGATTTTAAAATGACATTCTTTTTAGATTGTGAGGTGTTAAGCATTTGGTTAAATGTTATACACTTAATTATATGTTCTTTCAAATACAAAAAAGGGGTTTTTACGAATTCTGCACAAATTTAGGTGGACCACAAACTATCTTAACAGGAAGCTGTCCACAATACGCCAGCAGAGAGAGATGTATGAATGGGATTTTCTTTCAAAATGGATAGATCATTCTGCTCTTTCCGAAGGAGCCAAGCACACACAATATCCATTAAGTGAAAAAAGCACTACATGATGGCAAGAGGGTTGTGGCTGGGATTGCCCACTTCTTATGCAGGAATCCAAAGCCGTTATCCAATATCCCATAGGCACTGTGCTGCATATTTGCAGGAGATCAATAAATTCACATAACAAAACTAGGCAGTGACCATTAAAAACTAGGTTGATTTCAACTATATGTAAGTATACTTTACCTTCCAATATACAATATGGAATCCTGCTACTCTGAATTAATTCATCAGGAATAACTACTCCCTCTGACTGTTCAAGCAATCATTATCATGGACTCCAATCACTGCATGGTGATTGGAAGGAAATCCATCATCCATAATCTTACCACTCTCAAAAAAACACAATCACACATGCCTAGAAATGAGAACTGTCAGATACTGTAAGAAATCTCAGTCAAGTCATCATTTCAGGTCAACTGATTTATTATATCTGCATACTGTACTTTTGCCCATAAGAAAATCAATTAATTGAGTCCAACTGCAGTCCTGTAAGCCCCATTGAACTCATGAGTGGACACGCGTCTAAATGCACTGCAAGTGACAATGTGACAGCTCTAATTGAAGAATAAATACTGTACCCTGTGGTAATTTTGTTATGAAGGGTGGGATAGAAATGTATTAAAGACAAGGATAATTTGCCACTCTTCCAACTTCATTTATTTGAGTTCAGCGCTGTTGTTGTTTAGCTGTGCTGATGCCTCACAAAAAAGTCATGGAACATTCCAGAATGGTGAAACTTGGCTTTAGGAAAAGCACACCACAGATCTCCACACGGCAATCCTATGTTGATGAGCCCCATCTGCCCTTCATTTCCCTCTACAGCATGTTCAGAAACCACCTTCTTGACCATTAGACCTGTTGTTGTTGTTGTTGTTGTAGTTTAGTCGTTTAGTCGTGTCCGACTCTTCGTGACCCCATGGACCAGAGCACGCCAAGCACTCCTGTCTTCCACTGCCTCCCCCAGTTTGGTCAAACTCATGCTGGTGGCTTCAACAACACTGTCCAACCAACTCGTCCTCTGTCGTCCCCTTCTCCTTGTGCCCTCAATCTTTCCCAACATCAGGGTCTTTTCCAGGGAGTCTTCTCTTCTCATGAGGTGGCCAGAGTATTGGAGCCTCAGCTTCAGGATCTGTCTTTCCAGTGAGCACTCAGGGCTGATTTCCTTCAGAATGGATCGGTTTGATCTTCTTGCAGACCATGGGACTCTCAAGAGTCTCCTCCAGCACCCTAATTCAAAAGCATCAATTCTTTAGCGATCAGCCTTCTTTATGGTCCAGCTCTCACTTCCTATTGGCCATACATCAAGCCCAGCATCCTACACTAAGGTAACCAGAAACTTCTGGCTCAGTCCGACAGAACCTGTCTTCACATGCAGGGGAGGTATCTCACTCAAGAAGGGTTTGAGACCCCTTGGCTACTCTCACCTGGTTTAGCCAGCCAGTTGAAGGTGTTACTTGGATGTGGCCGCTATCACATGCTGACAGCTTCTAGGAGCCACATGTGAGAGCTGAGAGCAGAATGGGCACCAAAGGTGGTCAAGCTACCCCAGAAGGAGCACAGGAGTTAAGACCCCCTGCCCTAACATGCCATACGCCCCAAAGTCTCTCCATAATATATCATCCTTGTTACTTTTATCAAATATGAAAGCATTTGCTAGTTGATTCTGGCACAAAAGAATGCAAGAGGAGGGACTCTTTATAAACACTTTGTTTTGAACTTGCAAGTGTAGCACGTTACAATTCACTTTCCGTGCATTACTAATTTGCGGCTAAAATAGACTGATTCCATTGATTAGTTATATTTATTTGTCATCTCATAATACAGGTTCTCTGGGCGGTAAGTACAATCAGTTCTCATTTCAGAGGCATTAATGATGATTGGGGGGACTGCTCCAGATTAATCTAATAACTGTGGAGCGTTGCATTTCTTAGTTTGTTAGCAAACAACATGCAGACCCAGGAACAGCATGCTTAAAAGCAATGCTCTGAATCTGTAAAGGGGGGGAGGGAATGCATCCAATGAATAATTAAAACTAAAAGGGCACATGCTGCCTTTTTGCTGCCTTTTGTTCATATTTGGAGCACCAGAGCTTGCAATAAAAGTCAACAAGGACTTCAATAAGTGCTGCTCCTTAAAAGGAGGAGGGGGAGAGAGAGAACTTATTGGCCATGTGCGGTCAACTGTTGTTTCACTTGTTAGCTTTCATGGTTTAATTTAACTGTCAGGCTTGGGGAATTAAATGCTTCAGATGCAGATTGTTAATTAGCATAGGCCAGGAACACCTAGTGATTCACGACGCTATGAAAAAAAAGCACGGGGGGGTCATCACAGAACAGTGGGATATGGCATATTCACGCACATTTCTGTACACACGTTCAGATCGCAAGAGGCGGCCAGATAAAAGGAAAAACGCGAGATCAAAGGCTGCCATCTGGTTGCTCCTTCTCCACAGGCTCTGCCAATCTGCCACATTGTCTTGAGCTTTCCTCTTTCTTATAGCTATTAACATCTTCCGCCTTCTCCCCAAACATCAGTGAAATATGGCCGATGTGGATTTCATAACGTGGTAAATGAATGATGAGCAACTACTGTCACAGCCACACCTATACCCAATGCCCTGGATAGTATCCCCAGCATGCAGAATTCCTAACTAGATGGAAGTCTAGAACAATCTGCTTATAAAAGCTTTTTTTTAAAAAAACAAAACTTGTTTAACAATAATAATAATTTATTATTTATACCCCGCCCATCTTGAAAAGCAGAGACATCACCTTGCCAACAAAGGTCCATATAGTTAAAGCTATGGTTTTCCCAGTAGTGATGTATGGAAGTGAAAGCTGGACCATAAAGAAGGCTGATCGCAAAAGAATTGATGCTTCTGAATTATGGTGCTGGAGGAGACTCTTGAGGGTCCCATGGACTGCAAGAAGATCAAACCGATCCATTCTGAAGGAAATCAGCCCTGAGTGCCCACTGGAAGGACAGATCCTGAAGCTGAGGCTCCAATACTCTGGCCACCTCATGAGAAGAGAAGACTCCCTGGAAAAGCCCCTGATGTTGGGAAAGATTGAGGGCACAAGGAGAAGGGGACGACAGAGGACGAGATGTTTGGACAGTGTTCTCGAAGCATGAGTTTGACCAAACTGGGGGAGGCAGTGAAAGACAGGAGTGCCTGGCGTGCTCTGGTCCATGGGGTCACGAAGAGTCGGACACGACTAAACGACGAGAACAACAACATCTGGCTGGGCTTCCCCAGCCACTCTGGGCAGCTTCCAACAAAATATTAAAATTCCGTTATGCATCAAACATTAAAAGTCTCCCTAAACAGGGCTGCCTTCAGATGTCTTCTAAAAGTCTGGTAGTTGTTGTTCTCTTTGACATCTGGTGGGAGGGCGTTCCACAGGGCGGGTGCCACTACCAAGAAGGCCCTCTGCCTGGTTCCCTGTAACTTGACTTCTTGCAGTGAGGGAACCGCCAGAAGGCCCTCAGTGCTGGATCTCCGGGGCAGAACGATGTGAGTGGAGACGCTCCTTCAGATATACTGGGCCGAGGCTGTTTAGGGCTTTAAAGTCAACACCAACACTTTGAATTGTGCTCAGAAACGTACTGGAATAAGTAAGTCCTGCTAAGAACTTAACTTTAGTGCCTTTGTTGCGCTTCATCCTTGAGAATCGGAATTAGGGCAAAAGCCGCAATTCAAGGCATTACATAACATGGGTTGCCATGTTGCCTACAGATGTTGGACCATAACTCCCAAGTATTGGTCATGCTGGATGGAGTTGGTGGAGATGTAGGTTGCGATCCTAGACATCTCTATTCAGAAGCATGACCAACTGAATTCAAAGGAGTTTAGGATGGCAGGTGCAGTCCAGAAACATCTGAAGGGTGCTACCCTTGTGGTATTGAGTGAGTCCTGGAAAAGAACATTCTTGACCTCATCTTTTATGTTAGCACTTGGCAAGGAAAGTTGTTAGAAGGGAAAGGCATGTGAGTGAGGGAGAACATGTCATTCTACCTGGTGTTCTTCAGAAGCTGACTGTCCCTTGAGACATGTCAATTTGGACTGGGTGTTTTCTGGGTGTTCTTTGCAGTGCGTCCAGTCCTTACAAGCCACATACAGGACAAAAGTAGGTGGAACACATCTGCTCAGCTCAAGAACTAATCAATGTTAAAGATCAATAATTCTGCCACCGCATGCCGCATCATTATCTTAATTTTCATATCCTTATTGAGCACTACCAGTTTATGGAAGCAGGAGCACAGAAATATCAACACGCTTTGACTATATTTTAGTAACTGCCTCCAATTATTAGCTACTGTTAATGTATCAACTGTAATCCTGTGACAAATCAGAGGACCACTTTACATCTTTCTCTCGTCCACAGTCCCTTTTTAATGCTTGTGTGTGTATTGAACTTTCAGGAGCTATTTGATCCCTGTTTTCTTTTTTCCTGCACAAGAGTAATCCAATTGCTGCTGCAGAAGAGGGCAGATTTGGCATAGATTCCCATGAGCTAGGCCAGTAAGGAGATTTAAATCCCAGGCTGCCACATTGATTGGTTGGTGCTGTTTCACAACGTTGTTTTCCCTCGCAGAATATCTTGTGTCATTTCTAAGACTATGCCCCTTTTCGGTGAAAATGTGTTTTGTTGTGTATTACGTCAATTTCTACTTAAGCCCTCTTGTGTGCCCCAATAAGTAGGTGGAGTATAAATTGAATAATAATATTAATCTACAGAAAGGGCACTAGTGAACTACCTGATTATCATATTTGTGTGGGGGGGTTGTGCGCTTAGCACAGCTCTCCAAGGGTTTGCAAACTTTTAGCTCCCTAGTTCTGACTATCAGCATCAAGCTGGAAGCTTGAAAACCATTAGTGGCCGACATATTGGGAAATTTTGGAGCAAGAAGGAGATAAATTGAGACTGCAGAGTTTTGAAAAATTAAAAAATAAAGTGAGAGATTGGCTCCACTACTATCAGATAATGGAGGCATATAATTTGGATAAGAAAATAGGCTTCCAAGTGGAAAAGTCAAAATTAGAAACAGAATTGTTAGAACCCAAAACTAAAAATTTGTCAAGAATGTATAACTTGCTGTTGAAATGGAATACTCAGGATGAAACGGTGAAATCTGCTATGATTAAATGGGCACAAGATGTTGGACATAACATTATGTTTGCTGACTGGGAACAGTTATGGACCACAGGTATGAAGTTTACGGCATGTAATGCCTTAAGAGAGAATATTATGAAAATGATATACAGGTGGTACATGACCCCAGTCAAGCTTGCAAAAATTTATCATTTGCCCGATAATAAATGTTGGAAATGTAAAGAAACTGAAGGTACATTCTTTCACCTTTGGTGGACGTGCCCAAAGATTAAGGCTTTCTGGGAAATGATATACAATGAACTGAAAAAGGTATTTAAATATACCTTTCTGAAGAAACCAGAGGCCTTTCTCTTGGGCATTGTCGGCCAACTGGTGCCAAAGAAGGACAGAACCTTTTTCATGTATGCTACAACAGCAGCAAGAATACTTATCGCAAAGTATTGGAAGACACAAGATCTACCCACTTTGGAAGAATGGCAGATGAAGGTGATTGACTACATGGAATTGGCGGAAATGACTGGCAGAATCCGAGACCAGGGAGAAGAGTCGGTGAAAGAAGATTGGAAAAAATTTAAGGACTATTTACAGAAATATTGTAAAATTAAGGAACTTTAGAAGGATGTTGGATAGAAATTAAGAGGTTTTTAGCTGTAATGCTTTAAGAGACATGAAAAAAAAAAGGTTAACAATTGGGTAAAAGATTAATGGTAAGGATTTGCTGAACCAACAAACTGAATTGGAATACAAAGAAGGGAGGTATGAGGAGGTCTGGGGAAATAAGAGTAAGGAAGATAGGTTATGGAACATCATTGTGTTTTTAATTGTTTTATTTTGTATGTTTTTTCTTACTTTTTACTTTTTTGCTATAATTTATACTTTTTTCTTTGTTTTCTGTATTTTTGTGAAACTTTAATAAATATCATTTAAAAAAAAAAAGGAAGCTTGAAAACCATTAGTTTCTTCCTGCCCCTTCCTCTAACTTTAACCCACCTCTCTTCATCCGCATTGTGCCATCAATCCCCAGGGATTTTGCCAACAGGAACATAAGACAATGCCTTAGATCCGGAATGAATGGAGGCCCCAAATCAAGGTCATTGCATTATGAATCCAGACTGCATATTGAAAGCGTTCCTTTCAATTAAAATGATTTATGGTATGACAGCTTCCTCTGACTTCTTGAATGAAATAAACCTTTCAGAAAGGGCTGGTATCTGGTGATGGATTGCTTAGGGCTGGGGAAGTTTTATAGGAATCCAGAAGGATCCAACCCCTTCCTAATCCAATGATGAATGTCCTTCTACATGTTCTTAAATTTAGCATCCCCACGGTAGTCTGTTACAAACTGCAAGCATATATATATATATATATATTTGCATTTTTTGCCAGAAGATGCAATCCTTGTAACTTGAAACTGTAACCAACTCTTTCAGTAGGTCATGCATTTTTTAAGCCTCATTTTCTAGAGTTCTATTGAATATATTAAATAACTTTCCCCCCCCTTGCATATTTTCCCCTTTGCATGTTTTTACCATTTGCTGTTTCCTTATTCTGACTACATGCTGTGATGCTGGATCTTAGTCAGGGAAAGCAAGAGGCCCAATGGCCCTGGGACCAGGCACTGAGGGAAATCCAGCAAGTAGGTGAGCAGAGAAGGCAGCAAGTCCACAGAAGAGCCAAGTCTAGCAGCTGCAGTCAAGACTGACAAGCAAAGGCCAAGCTTGAGCTAGGAAGCATTGTTTATCCCTGTATTGCCAAGGAAATTCAAGAAGCTGCTAGGGAACAGGGGGCTGAGCATCTATGGAAGCAAGAGATGGCATCTTAGACTGAGAAACCTTCAGCTCTGTAGCTTATGATGGCACATCACACAGAGCAAAAGAGAACACAACCAGAGGTTCCAAAATCTAGCATCAATAATTCCCCAAACTATACTTCACCAAGTCTAAAGGCTCTAAAACTATGTATTTGGTTAGGGGGAAAATTATAAGCCCCTTTTAATGACCCATCCTCCCTCACACTGCCTCTTGAGTACAGTGATACCTCGGGTTAAGTACTTAATTCGTTCCGGAGGTCGGTTCTTAACCCGAAACTGTTCTTAACCTGAAGCACCACTTTAGCTAATGGGACCTCCTGCTGCTGCTGTTCCGCTGGAGCACGATTTCTGTTCTCATCCTGAAGCAAAGTTCTTAACCTGAAGCACTATTTCTGGGTTAGCGGAGTGTGTAACCTGAAGCGTATGTAACCTGAAGCGTATGTAACCCGAGGTACCACTGTATATTTCCGTGTATAATATGATGTATTTTTACTGGAGTGAAATGATAAAATTTTGGGGTCGTCTTCTACACGGATAGTGCAGGGGGGGAATGGGCGACTGGTGGCAGCTGCCAGCTGGAGATTGTCAGTGGTGATTGAGTGATTGGTGTCTGAGGCAAGGCGTGCGATTGGCAGCGGCGGTCAGGTTAGTGAGCCATTGTCTGCAATTCCCCCCAAAAAAGCTCAGCAACTCTGGACAACCCCCCCCATTTCCTTATTTTCGAGTCCCAAAAAATAGGGGTCGTCTTATACACGGGGGCGTGTTATACACGGAAAACTACAGTAAGTCTGGAAGCAAAGTGCTTACACTCATTTATTTCAGTAAGCCTAAGCATGCCTAACTCTACATAGGATCTGTCTGTGACTTGCCTTGGGGAGACCCATGATGACCTCATTAGCAAAGTCTGCAAAAGGATTTCATAAGAAGACTGAACCTCTAGGATTTTAGGGAGCGGTTCCTGGAAAAGGTATACAGTCATACCTCGGGTTAAGTACTTAATTCGTTCTGGAGGTCCGTTCTTAACCTGAACCTGTTCTTAACCTGAAGCACCACTTTAGCTAATGGGGCCTCCTCCTGTTGCCACACCGCCGGAGCACGATTTCTGTTCTCATCCTGAAGCAAAGTTCTTAACCCGAGGTACTATTTCTGGGTTAGTGGAGTCTGTAACCTGAAGCGTATGTAACCCGAGGTACCACTGTACTAGCTACTTGAAAGAATGATAGTTGTAGCATTGCAGCATAGACAGAGGGAAGACCTATGACTACTGCCTCCCATTGCATTCTGAGTTCACCCACCATACGGCTGTTGCTTCCAATGGTGGCAATGCGCAGGTGTGGCTTGTGTACTCTGAGCTCGGTACATCCTGGCAGGCAGCAGTTGCATAATCCCACTCAGAACGTGCTGCTGGGCAGGGAGTCAGGGGGGACAGAGTATTGTCTACAAGCACCCATGTATGGAAGGAGACATTTTGCTTGGCTCTGAGCTGCAAAGCAGGAGGTGGAGGCAGATGGCTTCAAGACATGTATGAAAACAAAAGAAAACAAGGAAATGCGAAAGTAACAGTGCGCACTGTGCATTTCAGAAGGTGGCAAGCCATGACGGGTGCCTGAATAGAGAAAACAACTATGACTTCTGGAACGACACAGCTGTCAATTCATTTATCTTTTCTTCTGAAGAAATGATGGGCCTTGATGTGGGCTATAGAGACAAGCCCATCAGATCATGGGTGATCACCATATTAATGAGAGAGAAGGGATGAGAGTCTGGAGGACATGAAACCAAATGGATGACAGCCCATCCCAAAGGGAGGGAGAACTCCAGTACTGCTGTCTCAGTGGGTTCGGGACACAGTTTGACAGCATGGAAATAAACACGGATTGTCACTCGAAGGATATGGATGCTTCATCAAGCAAGGAGACTACCACTCGTGGCTTCATCAGACAAAGTTTGATATTTCAGGGTTTTCTTATACGTATCTGGTAGACTTGCAGAAGGAGCAGCTTCTACACAAAATAATAATGTGGATGCAATCAGACATAAAACAAATCCGCCTTCAGATACTAGTGAGAGCATGTTTCAGTCTCCCAGGACTCTCTGTTGAGGACATAATATAAGAAGAGTGCTGATGGATCACCCCAAAGGCTTAACTTAATCCAGCTTTCTGTTCTCTCAGTGGCCAACCAGATGCCTACAGGAAGCCTTCAAGCAGAGGCCAATGCCACACCATTCTCCCCACTTGCGTTCCCCAGCCGCTAGTATTGAGAAGCATTCAGCCTCTGATACCAGAGGCAGTATGCAGTCATCTTGTTATTGCTCTTTAACAGCACCTGTTAAATTAGCACAGCAAGGCTACGAATACTGTACTGCATTGCATTTTACTGCCATTGTGAATTTGCTTTCCATACACATCAAAGGATTGCACAGCATTGTGAGGGGCTGCACATCTTTCATTTCATGGTCATTTGAAAGCACCGGTTACTATTTTTCTCTGTGCCTACGTGTGCATAAATAGTATTTGTAAACCATAATTTCATCATGCTTTTTACTTAATGGATTTTTAAAACTGGAAAGTTCTTGGTTTTTTGTTTTTTTTAAGAAAAAGCATTTTTAGTTGTTCTGAAAATATTTTCCAGTAGACAGGTGAAGCCACACCAAGCTCCTTTTACTTTTTATCCTATGTAACAAAGAATTTTAGCAGATTTGACAGTGGTTTTATTGCATACCGAGTGACTGTCGATGTTTTTGGCTGGTACCATGGCCTTTGGCTAGTGCAATAAAGTTTGGTGATGGTACCAAGCTCCTTCATTTTTCCAAATTCATGGAGCACGTGCCCTCCTTTGCAGGAGGCGCCATTCTCATGTACCTGGAACTGTGATGAAAGGATATGTTCATCCCAGGTCTGCTTTCTCAAGTACTGGAAGCCACACAGTCATAAGGCTCTGCTTAGTGTCAGAATGCAACGCTGAAATCAAGTTCAATCCATTCCTGGGTCTAAGAACATAGATATATCTTTTCCATCCAAGCAGTGAAGAGTTACAGGTCCCTTCCAATGCTTACTAGGAAGATCAAGTGATGAAGACTCCAGGTGACAGGGACTGGGCAGAGGAGAAATGGTAGAGACCGCCTCCCCAGCCTGACCCTTCCAGAGAAGAAGAAGACAGTTCAGAATTGTTGTTGTTTAGTCGTGTCTGACTCTTCGTGACCCCATGGACCAGAGCACGCCAGGCACTCCTGTCTTCCACTGCCTCCTGCAGTTTGGTCAAACTCATGCTGGTAGCTTCGAGAACACTGTCCAACCATCTCGTCCTCTGTCATCCCCTTCTCCTTGTACCCTCCATCTTTCCCAACATCAGGGTCTTTTCCAGGGAGTCTTCTCTTCTCATGAGGTGGCCAAAGTATTGCAGCCTCAGCTTCAGGATCTGTCCTTCCAGTGAGCACTCAGGGCTGATTTCCTTCAGAATGGATAGGTTTGATCTTCTTGCAGTCCATGGGACTCTCAAGAGTCTCCTCCAGCACCATAATTCAGAAGCATCAATTCTTCAGCGATCAGCCTTCTTTATGGTCCAGCTCTCACTTCCATACATCACTACTGGGAAAACCATAGTTTCATTCATGGATCACTGCCTTGCCATGACGAAGGGGCTTGAATAACTCAGAGAAGCTATGAGCTATGCCGTGCAGGGCCACCCAAGATGGACAGGTCATAGTGGAGAGTTTTGATGAAACGTGATCCTCCTGGAGCAGGAACCGGCAAGCCACTCCAGTATCCCTGCCAAGAAAACTCCGTGGACAAAGTTCAGAATTACAACAGGGGTTTGAGGGAGATCACAGCTCAGAGGAAGATGAGGAGGAAAGCCGGGAAATAATGGGAGAGGAGAAGGAGGCAGAAGAAGCACCAAGAGGGCAACAGCTGATGGACACAGTGGCTTTAGAAAGCATTCCAGACCCAACCCCACTCCCAGAACCCAGCAAGCCTTGAAAGTAGTAGAGCAGAATCAAGTTTAAGATATTAACTGATGCAAAACAAAGAGGGGGCTTTGCCCTGCCGGACTTAAAGTTGTATTATGAAGCCGCAGCGTTCTGCTGGCTAAAAGACTGGCTACTTCTTGAAGACACTGATGTGTTGGATTTGGAAGGGTTTAATAATGTTTTTGGATGGCATGCATATTTATGGTATGACAAAGTTAAAGCAAATAAGGCCTTCAAGAACCATATTGTCAGAAAATCATTGTATAATGTCTGGACAAAATATAAAGACTTGCTGGAAAATAAAACACCAAGGTGGCTTTCACCTTTGGAAGCTAAGGCCCTACTAGAAAAAGATGGAGACAATTGGAAATTGCAGAGTTTGGAGAAAATGAAAGACAAAGTGCGAGATTGGTTACATTACGCTCAGATTAAAGAAGTCTTTAAAAATGATAAGAAACTAGGGTTCCAGGTGGAGAAATCGAAATTAGAAACAGAATTGTTAGAACCAAAGACTAAGGTACTTTCAAGGATGTATAACTTGCTGTTGGAATGGAATACACAAGATGAAATGGTTAAATCGGCTATGATAAGGTGGGCACAGGACATTGGGTATAATATTATGTTTGAGGACTGGGAAAAGTTGTGGAGTAATGGATTGAAATTTACTGCATGTAACGCTCTGAAAGAAAATGTAATGAAAATGATTTATAGATGGTATATGACCCCAGTTAAACTTGCAAAAATTTACCACCTGTCTGATAATAAGTGTTGGAAATGTAAAGAGTGTGAGGGAACGTTCTTCCACCTCTGGTGGACCTGCCCTAAAGTGAAGGCGTTCTGGGAAATGATTTATAATGAATTGAAAAAGGTATTTAAATATACCTTTACCAAGAAACCAGAGGCTTTCCTTCTGGGTATTGTCAGCCAAGGGGTGGCAAAGAAGGACCAGACATTTTTTATGTATGCAACAACAGCAGCAAGGATACTTCTTGCAAAACATTGGAAAACTCAAGATTTACCCACACTGGAAGAATGGCAGATGCAACTGATAGACTACATGGAACTGGCTGAAATGACCGGCAGAATCCGTGACCTGGGAGAAGAGAGAATCGAGGAGGATTGGAAGAAATTTAAGAACTATCTACAAAAATATTGTGATTTGAGTGAATGCTAAATAAGATGCTAGACTAAATAACTGAGCACCACTTAACTTAGAAGTTTTTAAGAAAATAAGTAAGACTGTGAAAATTTAACTCTTTATGAGAACTATAAGATTATGAAACATTGAAGAGATATAAGATTTTAAATAAGATGATAAATTGCTGACAAAATGTTATAACGATGAAAGTGGGAGCGGGGATGTGAGGCAGTCCAAAGAAAATGTGAAACTATGTTAAGACAAATGTTATATTGTTTATTATGTTTATTCTTATTGTAAAACCCAATAAATTGCTTTAAAAAAAAAAATGAAAGTAGTAGAGCAAAAAGCTCAGAAGCAAAGGGCCCTCAACGCCACCCATAGGGGAGATGATGACGAATGAGGAAGTGGGAGAAAAAGCAGGTGGGGAGTCACTCAGGACACGCCATTATTCTAAGAGGTATTATTCCAAGCCTCTCTCTGTAAATATTGACTAAAAAGCAGGTGGTAAGGACTTTTCCTTGTCTTATCTGCTCCTGGCAACCTGCGGCGGGGATTGTTTCCTCTGCCACCTGACACCAGAAATATTATGGGGAATAGAGTGTTTCCTCCATCAACAAAAAGCTGTTGTATCAACAGTTCCTATCAAGTTATAGACATGGAGGGAGCACAAAAAGATGTTGAATCAGAAGGGGGAGGAAAGACCCATTAAAATGGTGATATGATAACAAAAGATCCTGAAGGCAATCTTTGAAGAATGAAAGCATAGAAGGAATAAACCAAACGTATCCATTAGAGAAGGTTGGCCCACGCATAACATGGCAAGCCAATAGGATGCTCTCATCACATTTTGGGTGTTGTCACATATTACAAACATCTTTCTAAGTGTGAAGCTGCTTTGAACGTATATCAATTACATTGCCAGTCCCTGTTAAGCAAGAGACTATCCTTCTGCAATCATGCTTATGGCAACATTGGTCCAACTCTGAACCAATGTTGCCCATGGCACAATTGCAGAAAGAATAATCTTTCGATAAAGCATGCATTAGCAGTGTAATGTGATTTGTGTTTTTAGGCCAAAGAAGCAAGTACGGATCAGCCCAAAGCTATTCCATGTTTAGTAAAGGAATGACTTCACTGCCCAACCATAAATATGTTTACTTGGGGGATTGCCTCACTTAATCCAATAGGACTCAGGTCCCCAAAGCCCCCAGCTTTTATTGATGGAATGGTATTAATATCAGTTGCAAACAGTACATTTTTTTTAAAAAAGGATGTGCCAATCAAGAAAAGGACTGGGTCTTTCCCATGGAGTTCATTAACAAGAAACTTGAAAATTTAGACATACATGTGCTTCTTGCTTTTTTTTACAATTGATGGTGCAATTTATGTTTTCCTACTTAAACTCAAGCATCCTTCCAATATAAAAATTCAAAGTGTGAAGTGGCTCTTAACTGCAGGTTAGTATGGGCAAGGCTGTAGCCATATTGTTTTTGCACTATTTAAGTGACTGTTACTTACGGTCAATTGAATCAAACAGTGTTAATTTTAATTTAGTGTGTTTTCTTTTTGTATTGAGGGGGATAGAAATCAAAGGGGTTGCCATGCTTCAACTACATAAGCTGGTAGAGCATTAAAGAGAACAGGGAACTCATGAGCAGAACACATTATGTATCGCTTTTATTGTGTTTTATTGTTATTGCTGTTGGCATTATTGTACACTGTCCTGGGATCTGCTTGGACAAAGGGCAGTGTAGGAATGTAAATAAGCAATGGATCTGCGGCCCAGAAAGTTTACTCAGAAATGAGCCCTATTTACATCAGTTGGACTTTCCCCAAGAACAAACAACAGAGGCTGCTGGCAGCTTAAAAACTAACAGATTTATTATGGCATAAAATTTCAAGCTCCTGCCATAACAAATATGTTTGTCTATAAGGTGCTACAAGCCTCTTCATTGTTTTGATAACACAGACTAAGGCGGCTACCTTTGTGGAAGTTATTCTCAAGTGTCTGTTGGATTTCAGCTGTAGCCTGTTGCTCTTTATGTCTGTGAGAGTTGTGCGTCCGAGATAGGTAAAGGACCCCTGGATGGTTAAGTCCAGTCAAAGGCGACTATGGGGTTGCGGCACTGATCTTGCTTTCAGGCCAAGGGAGCCAGTGTTTGTCCACAAACAGCTTTCCAGGTCATGTGGCCAGCGTGACTAAACCAATTCTGGTGCAACGGAAGACCATGATGGAAGCCAGAGTGCATGGAAACGCCGTTTACCTTCCCACCGCAGCGGTACCTATTTATCCACTTGCACTGGTGTGCTTTCGAACTGCTAGGTTGGCAGGAGCTGGGACAGAACACCCCATCGCAGGGATTCAAACCGCTGACCTTCTGATCGGCAAGCCCAAGAGGCTCAGTGGTTTAGACCACAGCGCCACTCACATGCAGCAGACGTGCATCCGAGATAGCAGGCACAGCACTTGTGAAATATGGAGTTACAATCTTAGTCCAGACAAAGTAACAACAGTAACTGAGTTTTTCAGATTTTTTATTTTTTTAAAATGGACTATAAACTCAAAACTACTTTAAGCTCTGCCAGAAGCCTTAGATTCTTAATTGGAAATACATAAACCAGTGTGATATACAGTCATACCTCAGGTTGAAGTAGCTTCGGGATGAATATTTTCGGGTTGTGCTCCACGGCAGCCGGAAGTAACGGAGCGCATTACTTCCGGGTTTCGCCGCTCGCGCCTGCGCAGACGCTCAAAATGACATCATGCGCAGAAGCGGCGAAACGCGATCTGCGCAGACGCACAGACGCGTGTTACGTTTACTTCAGGATGCAAACAGGGCTCCGGAACAGATCCCGTTCACATCCAGAAGTACCACTGTAGTGGTTAGCCCAGGACTTAGAAGACCAGGGTTCAAATTCCCACTAGCTAAGAAGCTCACTTGGTGATCCTGCGTCAGTCACTGTCTCTCAGTGAGGACAGAATGGGAAGGAGGAGAACTATGTTTGCCACCTTGAGCTCCTTGGAAGAAAGGCAGGATATAAATATAATTAATACATTTAATTTTATTTTAATTTCATTAAGAGGTGACATTTGCCTTGTCAGGATATGGAAGTGTGAGTAAGTCGACCAGTTTCCAAGGGATCATTTAGTCAGGTGCTAGCTGGTAAAGCCTGGTGAGGAGAATTTTACACTTCATGCAAAGAAAGTGCAGCAAAATAGTTAATAAGCATTTGATCCAAACCATGCAAATAATTGTCCTGAACAAACAGAAAAACCAATGGAGGAGAACAATGCATTCAAGCAGAGCAGGTAGGCCTCGGCTGTGCACACACCATAGGTTTAAAGCACATGACTTCCCCCAAAAATAAATAAATCCTGGGGTCTGTAGTTTGTTAATGGCGCTGGGAATTGTAGCTCTGTAAGGGGTAAACTACAGTTCCCATGTTTTTTGTGGGGGGAGGTTGTTTCATGTGCTTTTAAGTGTATGGCCTTTAGGTAACCTAACAGATAATGACTCCTAAAGGTAAAGGGACCCCTGACCATTAGGTCCAGTCGTGACCGACTCTGGGGTTGCTGCGCTCATCTCGCTTGATTGGCCGAGGGAGCCGGCATACAGCTTCCGGGTCATGTGACTAAGCCGCTTCTGGCGAACCAGAGCAGCGCACAGAAACACTGTTTAGCTTCCCGCCGGAGCGGTACCTATTTATCTACTTGCACTTTGACGTGCTTTCCAACTGCTAGGTTGGCAAGAGCAGGGACAGAGCAACGGGAGCTCACCCCGTCGCGGGGATTCGAACCGCTGACCTTCTGATCGGCAAGTCCTAGGCTCTGTGGTTTAACCCATAGCGCCACCCATGTCCCTCAATGACTCCTAGGGCTGAACAAAATTTATGAAAAAAGTAGATATACACAGTGCTGTTTTTCTAGAAAAAGAGCTGCCGGAACTCACCATGAACCCCTCCCTTGTTCTCTTAGAATGGAAATGGTGCCCACCTGAGAGGTGCCAGAACTAAGTTCCGGTGAGTTCCGGCTAGAAAAAAAGCCCAAGATGTACATATGTAAAAGAGATTCGCCCTCCTTGTCAGCATGAGCCAATTTACAACTTTGGGAGTCAGAAATGACAAAGCAATCATATCCAGTAAATGAGGCAAGAGATATCTCTAAGTTCCATCCCACTGTGCTACAATGCAGCCAGGCTGGACAAAGTGAGGTGTTAAAGAGCATTTGAAGTAAACATTTTTTATATACATAAAAAGAAAAGAAAGATGTGGAGGGGAAGATAACAGGGGTAAAGATATAATAGCTTCTGACAGTGAGCCTTTGTGGCAGAAAAGGCTCACAAGGAAACATTCAGCTGAAATGAGAGGAGGCAAGCTTCACAACCCCTTCTCAAAGACCCGATAGATCTGGGAGAAAAAGATTATTTCAGAATGGAATGTATCAGAATTAGAAATGGATGTACAACGGAGGTCAGAATTCCAACATGGAATGCATTTTCTAATAAATGGGGCAACGGAAGAGACGAGATACAGCTGAATTCTGAGCTTTGGTGAATCTGGTTTAGTGTAGTATAACTGGGATTTTATGAGATCAGAATAAAGCATTGCAACTCGGTTGCTGGTGCCCAGGGTGGGGATGCGCATGCACACACACTGGGGGTGCCAGGTGAGTGTTAGCCCAGCCCTCACCCCCACTGGAGCAAAGTGGGGCTATGCTGAGCCGCTTGCCTACCCACACGGAGTGGGGAGCCCAGCCGGCCAACACAGCCCTGTGCCAAGCCACATTGGGGGCGCCTGGGAGCACCTGGTTTGTGTCCCCTCAAAAATTGTGCACCCAGGGCCATGGCTCCCTGGCACCCCTAATGCCACACCCCTGACAGAATGAATTTTGTTTGCACCACAAAACTTTCCATCCCTTTAAAGCCCTAAACGGCCTCGGTCCAGTAAATCTGAAGGAGCATCTCCACCCCCATCGTTCTACCTGGACACTGAGGTCCAGCTCCGAGGGCCTTCTGGCGGTTCCCTCACTGCGAGAAGCCAAGTTACAGGGAACCAGGCAGAGGGCCTTCTTGGTAGTGGCACCCGCCCTGTGGAATGCCCTCCCACCAGAAGTCAAAGAGAACAACTACCAGACTTTTAGAAGACATCTGAAGGCAGCCCTGTTTAGGGAAGCTTTTAATGTTTGATGTATTACGGTATTTTAATATTTTTTTGGAAGCCATCCAGAGTGGCTGGGGAAGCCCAGCCAGATGGGCGGGGTATAAATAATAAATTATACTATTATTATTACTATTATTATTATTACTACTACTATTATTATATATTATTTATTGTTGTATATATAATTATTATATAATTATATAATTATATAATTATTATTATATCCCAAATCTGCTCTGGAATATGGTTGGATTCCACCCACCACCAATGCTGGCACACTTTTTCCTTCCACGAATTTTCCTTTCTGTGATATCATTCTACCAAACCCCAGGACTAGCTTTTTTTTAAAAAAAAAAAAAAAGTTGTGCAGATGAATTTTAAAAGTCAGGGGTGACAAGGAAGCTACTGAGAGGAATTATCGCAGGATAATCATTGTGCGTGTGCTCACTTTTAGACTGAGGCTAAAATCAATAATCTCATTACATGCAATGAGCCATGACGGGTTTCTGCATAGGCTGTCTCTTGATGTGTCTTCAGTAAATGGAAAGCAAGGTTCCAACATGCTAGGTGGGCAATGAAGTATCTACTGCAAACACCCCCAGTAAACGCCGCTCCATTTACAGAAGTTCCAGCAAAGATAATGAAGGTCTCAGAAAGACCCTGCTGTTCATGCTGCCTGGAATCAACCCAAGACAATGATGAATGCAAAATGAAGTAGGTCACATATAAAAAGGATTTAGTTCATATGCAGCAGATCACACTCTCAACTTGAGGTTTTTAAGACAAGCAAATGCTAGGCAGATGAAATGATCTTCTATCCCTTTTAGGTGCAAAGAAATAGCAGTAATATATAGGAGGACATGACAAGTGTAATTGGTTTCCATATCTTTCCACCACACCCACAACATGAAAAGAGTTACATAATTAAAACCATGTAGTCATAAGCAATAAATAAAATATACCAAAATTCAAAGTGTTGGTGCTGACCTTTAAAGCCCTAAACGGCCTCAGCCCAGTATACCTAAAGGAGCGTCTCCACCCTCATTGTCCAGCCTGGACGCTGAGGTCCAGCTCCGAGGGCCTTCGGGCGGTTCCCTCATTGCAAGAAGTAAGGTTACAGGGAACCAGGCAAAGGGCCTTCTCGGTATTGGCACCTGCCCTGTGGAACGCCCTCCCATCAGATGTCAAGGAAATAAGCAGCTATCTTGTTTTTAAAAGACATCTGAAGGCAGCCCTGTTTAGGGAAGTTTTTAATATTTAATGCTGTCTTATTTTTTTAACACTCGATTGGGAGCCGCCCAGAGTGGCTGGGGAAACTCAGCCAGATGGGCGGGGTATAAATACATTATTATTATTATTATTATTATTATTAAAAGCACACAACTGTAATTGAACAATTCCCACATAAATCATTATAAGATCTAAAAATAAAGATACAGAAAACTAATATCAATTAACAACAACAAAACTCCCAACAAAAACCCCAAAAGCACATGTGCATTTAGGTTGTTCTTTACTATCAAGAAGACGAAGTCATAAAGGTAAAGGTAAAGGGACCCCTGACCATTAGGTCCAGTCGTGGCCGACTCTGGGGTTGCGGTGCTCATCTCGCTTTATTGGCCGAGGGAGCCGGCGTACAGCTTCCAGGTCATGTGGCCAGCATGACTATGCCGCTTTCTGGCGAACCAGAGCAGCGCACGGAAATGCCATTTACCTTCCCACTGGAGCGGTCCCTATTTATCTACTTGCACTTTGACGTGCTTTCGAACTGCTAGGTTGGCAGGAGCAGGGACCGAGCAACGGGAGCTCACCCCGTTGCAGGGATTCGAACCGCCAACCTTATGATCAGCAAGTCCTAGGCTCTGTGGTTTAACCCACAGTGCCACCCGTGTCCCTTTAGACAAAGGCATAATTCCCTCTTATTTCTAATATTTAGAGGAAGTTGGTGTGTATGCAGCCCAATGGCACTGTCCGAATATGAGGGATGTATTGGAAGGTTCAGGGAAACATCAAGAATTGCAGGAGAATGGTTTGTTTTAAAGAGTGGGAAACCCACAAACATTCTAGCAAGCAGCAAGTGACCTCAGAAGGCTAGGAAATCGGGGGGGGGGGAGAGGAAATTGAATTGTCTATTCTGGAGCAGGGCACAACCAACTAGGGCAATATACAGGAGCTCTCGGTGCTGCAATATTTTATTGCAGCTCTGACCTGTCAAATAAATCCATCATTCAGGATTAATTTGAAGTTGTGTTTGATGCACTTTTAGGAGAGGGTGTGTAAACAGTTTTTGCTTTCACCAGGAATGAGTTTGATTTCCGTAAGGCTAGAAGTTTGTTTTTAGTCATAATAAGTCTTTACAGTTTTCAACTTTCATCAATCGGTTTACGGAACTAATATGCACGGCTGCGTATGAGCTCAGGACAGCGTGGAAATATTATGCCACCTCTACAATCTAACAGCAGGAGGGTTTTCTGCGCAAAGGGGTATTTGTGCAGGTGTGTGTTTACATGTACACAGACAATATAAGCTAAATTGGTTGGAGAATGGTATGCTTTTTCAGAGAAATGATGAGGTAGAAATACTGAGGGTGTGTTTTAGGAGTTGCTAGACACATTAACTGACCTAGCAGAACCTTTGTGTAGTCGAAAAAATAATAATACAATGCTTTGTGACAGGTAAGTGTTGCTTTGGTAATGTTATGAAAAAGCATTACATAACATTATGAATGGGGAGGAAATTCAGTCTGTTTTGCCTTTTAATGTGAATCGACCTAATTACGGCTTCCTGAAACAATGTGTGAACTGAAAAACAGCTTTGAAATTCACACTTCTCAGGATTTCTTGCGATACAGTTCTCCAACCAAAAACTATACCAAAATATAATGAATTGAAAGAGATGTTTAAAATAACATTTGTAAAACAAAAAAACAAAAAAACCCAGAAGCTTTTTTTCTAGGAATTATAGGGATAAAACTACCTAAACAGTATAGAAATTTATTCATGTATGCGACTACAGCGGCAAGAATGTTATTTGCCCAAAAATTGAAAGACGTAGTCCCAGCGACAGAAGAATGGATACAGAAACTTATGGACTATGCAGAAATGGCAAGACTTGCTGGAAAAATAAGAAATCAAAATAACAATTTTTTTTAATAAAAGAATGGAAATGGTTTACTGAATATGCACAAATAAATTGTAAACAGATAAGGACATTGACAGGATTATTGTAGTAACCTCCAGTTTCATAAGAGTAAACAATTAAAGTAGATGAATAAAGTAGATGAATAAGTTGAGTTAATTTAGAATATGCAGGAAATGATAAAATAAACTTAAGGAACCACAGAAAGAGGAGGAAGGAAGTTGAGTTTTGAAATGTTAAAATGACTGTAAAACTATTGAAATGTATATAACTGAAAACCATAACTATTTTTTTTTTAAAAAAAAAAGAAAGATGGGGCGTACTGTATACCAAAATGCATATGTTCATAAATATGAACTGCATTATGTTAGGGGGAATTACATACAAAATGTGTTAGAGGGGGGAATTCACATTAAAATGCTGATGAATTTTCAGGAGGACTTAAATTAAAAAATCACAAACTGATGCAGAAATGTGGTGAATCGGACGTAAAAATGGAAAAAATGGGAACTAGATAAACTATGATTGACAGATTCAAAATGGTTTGTCCAATTCCCACATAGTGCTGTAGCACTTACTTAAATGTTATTATTTTTGATGAATGGAACAGCCACCAAAAAACTTTAGTCCTAACAGAAAACAACAACCACAAAGTCTCAGATCAGATAGGAAGTATTAAAAAAACACGATTAAGCTAAACAAAATTGCCATATACTTTTTCGTTGTGTAAACTGTGCCTGGAGGGGCTATTATATGCAAGCCACCGTGTGTATGCAAGAGATTTGTTACTCCAGAGGGAACGAACCACTTCAAGCAGCAAAGACTCATAATGTTGAATCTGGTGTCTGCCAGTATATTTTCTGTTGCTACCTGGTGGCAGTCTGCTTCATTTTAATTAGGCAAAAAACCCAACACATAGTAGCAGATATCTTGTTTCACATGGAACTTCATGCTTCAGAGAAGAGGCAAAGCCCACCCACTAGGAAAATGTGTAATATATCTTTCAGAAGGTCTCATCCTAATTCAGACCCATAAGCAATAAATAAAATATATCAAAATTCTAAGTGTTGGTGCTGACCTTTAAAGCCCTAAACGGCCTCAGCCCAGTATACCTGAAGGGGCGTCTCCACCCCCATCGTTCAGACTGAGATCCAGCGCCGAGGGCCTTCTGGCGGTTCCCTAATTGCAAGAAGTGAGGTTACAGGGAACCAGGCAGAGGGCCTTCTCAGTAGTGGCGCCCTCCCATCAGATGTCAAGGAAATAAACAACTACTGTTTCTGACTTTTAGAAGACATCTGAAGGCAGACAAGTTTAAGGAAGTTTTTAATATTTGATGTTTTATTGTGTTTTTAATATTCTGTTGGGAACCACCAAGAGTGGCTGGGGAAACCCAGCCAAATGGGCGGGGCTATAAAATAATAATAATAATAATAATAATAATAATAATAATTAGCAATGTTTTGTGCCACTGCAAGCCCCATGTGTCTTTAACAACAGCTGCCACCCAGTACCTTTCTTTGGCACTAAGGAGAAAAGGCTGTTGGCCATTACAATGGCAGTCACTGCTGCCAGCGGTCAGGGAATTGGGAAGAATTCCAGCACCATAGGAAGGAGCCAAAAGGTTGCCTTGCATGTTTCTGGTCACCTCTCCAATCAAAATGGGAAGCGTCAGCCTCAAATCCTACCCTCAGTCAAATATTAGAATGACAAACACATCAAGAACAGACATTGTCTGTAACTCCCAAACGCTTGTCGTTCTTCTCACTGCTGCGCTCTGTTCACCCCCTGACGATTTCCACAATATGTCACCAGCATCTGCAGGCTGCACATGTACACTGTCTGCAAGCCCTCTTCCTTCAGCACCGATTGATCAACCCACTAATCTCAGAGCCCAAGGGACGGGCTAACCGGGGGAGCAGCAAGCAAGCTTGTAACAGCACAGGGCTGTATATCTTGTCTCGTGAGGATCAGATGCAAAGGAATCCCAGCATTTTTGCATCCACATAAGCGAGACCTCTTTCAAGTTAGCCTTCTTGGTGAATCACCAGAATGAAGGCACATGCTCAGTTTTAAGCTTCAGCTTGTATGGTATCTGACATAACAACAGAAAGAAAATTAGCAGATCGAAATCTAATGACTGCAAGAGTAGAAGGCAGCTTGCCCAACCAAATTTTCTCTTGCCCTCCTCCCTCTCCCACTCCTTGAGAAGCTCCTCCAGTAGGTTGGAGATGGTCTTCCTGAATGGTGTGGACTGTACTGTTATGTGGCTTGCAATGAGAAGGGGAAATCGCCTGAAATTGGGTAGGAAAATCCTGTACAAGCAGAGCTCTGCAGCTGCAAGATTCCTTTGCCTGATTTCAGGGGATATCCCCCCTCTCATTCAGCCCCAACAAGACAGCCCACACTGTTCAGGTGGACTCCCAATTCTCTGGATAGGCTCTATGAGGGCATCTCTCCTAGGAGCTGCAGATGGGGAAGATATTGATTTCAATAAAACATTGATTGTGTGAGGTGCCTTCTGCTTGCAAAGCCATAGGAATCAATCCAAGGTGCTTAAATATTTCAATCCAACTCTGTAATTGCAAGAAAGTGCCAGGGGCTCCATTTAGACAGGGCCATCTAACCCATAGGCGCTAGGGGTGCGGGGCACCCGGGCGCCAGGCTCTCAGGGTGCCAGGCTGAGAGTCCAGGGCCCGAGAGTTGAGTCCGGGGAAGAGCCTGCCCATCGGTCGGAGCACCGTGATGGGCTCTTCTGCTGTGCTGCAAGTTCGGGGGTGACCGAGGCAGCAAGACGCTGAGGCAGCCAGCCAGCTCCGCCCTCCTGCGCACCTGGGACTGGACAACCAAGGGGGGCGCCAGGCGGATATTTGCACCCTGGCGCCACATATGCTTAAGATAGCCCTGCATTTAGACATGATAAAGACCTACAGTTTATAGTTACATGAACAAGCCTCAGGCTCATCAGACGCTTTCCTAAATTGTGTTCACTCTGAACTGTGGTTTACCGAAAAAAGCCAGCTGCAAAACATTGCTTATGAAGATGCTTTTCAATAAACCATAGTTATAATTAACCACAGTTTAGGGTTTGGACTCAGTGCTAACTGCAGTTAATTGAAAATGGCTTCCAGTCGCCTCGCAGTTGCTCCATAGGCATCCAGGGAAGGGGCGGAGCCTCCTGTTTCACCACGTGAGGTGAAACTTTCTGGTAAAATGCTACTTTGTAAAGCTAGGCCTCAAAGACAGAACATGTGCAGATAAGCAGCATGTGGACAGGCACTTGAGTAAGTTTCACAACTCACAGGGTGCCAGACAGCAACTGGCTGATGGCAACCACTTATCCTCTGTGTATTTTTCCTCAAGAAAGCTTAATTTCCTGCCCTATGCAGCAACTGCCTGCTTTGAGAGCCTCAGGACCAAATCAATGTGTGTTTTGCCTCCTGATGTTCTCTCCCCTTCTCCTTTCCACCTCTGGCAGCTGCCTTCACCCTGACCACCTACGTTATTAAAGCCGCCATGCGATGCTTCCAATTTGTTCACGGCACGTTCTATGGGCAGCTTGAATCACCTGGCGCATGGCTTACGTTGTAATGACAGCATTAAATGTCTTCTGACAGAGTCTCACAAAACTGGCACTCAAATCTAGACGCTTAAATTAGAGCCCATCTTAAATAACAGCGGGAAAGGAGCAGTCTTCCTCCGCATGAGATCAGCAAGGAGGAGAGCTGCCCAAAGGAGGTCTGCTTTGTTACGAGCTGAAAATGCACAATTGTAGCACAAGATTATGGTGGAAAGGTGAATAAGGACTCTGAAGACCGTAGCAGAAAGTGGAGAAGATGGATGTTATCATGGACTGAACGTCTTAAATAGTTTTTTTTTGGGGGGGGGGGTTGTAATCAACAGATGGAAAATTGGAAGTCCTTTTATCTTTTTTAAAGGTTTCTTTTCTTTTGTCTCTTTATTTCCCCCCACCCTTTCTCTCTCTTTCCTTTCTTCTTCTTGTTTCTTTCTTCTGGCCTTTAATTTGAATTCAGCCTGATCTTTTATTTCCCTTCTCTTCCCTCCCCCTCCCCTTTTATGAAGATCACCCGCTCTGAGACCCCACAGCTAATTCTCCCCTGGCCTCCTCGCTGGCCCAAGTAGGACTAATTCAGCCAGCTAGCCCTGGTGATTATCTAATGCTTATTTCCCCTAAATTGATTTCTGAACTTTGAATTTTATTGTTATTCATGTTTTTATACTGCATTTTATGCTGCTTTTACAATTAAGTGTTTTAAATTTGTTGTTAGCCGCCCTGAGCCCGGTTTTTGAGCTGGGAAGGGTGGGGTATAAATAAAAAATTCTTCTTCTTCTTCTTCTTCTTCTTCTTCTTCTTCCTCCTCCTCCTCTTCCTCTCCCCCCTCCTTCTGTTAGTTTCCCCTCTTTGTATCTTCCTCCCCCCCCCCAGGGGTCCTATGCTTTGGTCCTTTTTTAAGGTCCAGGAATTGTATACTCATGGGGGGTGGTAGATGGTTGATGGAGGGACCCTAAGTTGGTAGCAGCCTTCTCTCTTTCTCTCTCTCTCTCTCTCTCTCTCCGAACTGTGCTTCGTGTCCTCTCCCATGACACCTCTCCTTTTTCCTGACATGATTTTGCTGATGGGTGATGGAGGACAATGACCGCTCCCCGCTTAAAACGGGGGGCGCCCTTTGCGTGGACGCGCGCAGCCCCTAGATCTGGAGCGGCTCCAACAGCATAGGCTTGGTTTGCCTTCCCTCAGGTGGGATACCTGGAGGTCTCCGCCTACCTCAGTCAGTTGTCCAATCCCACCTGGGGAAGCGTTTCCAAGGAGACCAGGCCAGGTAGGGGAGGGATTACCTGCCCACACAATAGAGGGAGGATCTTACCTGGGAATCCTCACTTGGCTCCAGAGCTTCTCCCACCCTACCCACCCTCAGTTAATGTCTTATTTGCAGGTTAACTTTTCTTCACAGGTTTTGCAGGTTAACTTTTCTTCGCAGGTATGCGGGCGCTGCTACGTTAAGGTCGCTGTTAAAGGGCCGGAAAGGAATTTCCCTGCATTGGCAGGTTTCGCCTTTCCCGTAGCAAAACGTCACAACTTTGGCGGTATCAGGCCTTGGGCGGAATCCTTTAGTCCATCTTCCTCTTTGCGGCGGCGATACCAGGGTTCCCCGTTAAAGGGGTTTCTGAAGGGAGGCTTTGACCGTACGCTGAAAGTTCGTCGTCACTGCTCTCCCCTGCGGCGGCGGCGTAACGGGGGCGGCTATCTCTGCTTGAACTTATGTTCTCCAGAGCCGGCCCATCCCCCCCACACACACACTGGATAACCCTGATGCTCCCAAGGTCCCCGGCTGGGGACTGGGGAGGGAGAACGCCCAATGCCTGAGCCAAGGTCTACCCACATTTGAAATTTAATAAAGTTGTGGCCAATTTAATCCCATAGCACGTTGTCATGAGTCGTTATTCCACATGACGGGGGGACCGCGCGGGATCTGGGGACTCCGCCTGTCCACGCAAAAGATGGGAAGAGGTGCACTGAAGGGGCTCCATAAGTAGGAAGGAAGCAGGTGCTGCTAGCTGCGCCCCTGAGGTGGCATCCTCCTTTGGGCTCCAGCCCCTCAGGGTCCCAGGCTTGTGGCACACCTGTACACCTGTCATGTGCATAGACCTGGGCCTACACATCCCTTTTGCAGATGTCCATGCTAAACATGTGGATATCAAGAGAGTGTGGCTAGCAAGCAGGAGTGTCTTGGTGTCAGGCAGGGGCAGGGCCTATGGCAAGGGACTCGATTTCATATATACAGTGGTACCTCAGGTTAAGTACTTAATTCGTTCCGGAGGTCCGTTCTTAACCTGAAACAGTTCTTAACCTGAAGCACCACTTTAGCTAATGCGGCCTCCTGCTGCCGTGAGCACGATTTCTGTTCTCATCCTGAAGCAAAGTTCTAAACCTGAGGTAATATTTCTGGGTTAACGGAGTCTGTAACCTGAAGTGTATGTAACCTGAAGCGTATGTAACCTGAGGTACCACTGTAATACACAAAGGAGGCTGCAGTCTTCCAGAAAGACACATGAAACATGTCTCTGCGCAACTTGGGAGAGACAACTTTCCATAGTACCATAGTGTAGGGGGAAAGTATCGCCCACCCCTATGGCTGTTGGCATGCAATGGGGAGGGTGAACAGGTCTCTCATTCTTCCAGCCTTAGGTTCGCCTCTCCACATTTCTACATCAGTTTTGTTTTGTTTTATAAAGGCCTCCTGAAAATTCAGCAGCATTTTGGTATGCAATCTTGCCTAAGGTACAGTTTCACAAAGCCTTTCACCCTTATGTAACATGTTTTTGTATGTTGTTTTCACTAATATATGCATTTATTTATTTTTTGCACGCTTTACGCTAAATTCAAAGGTTGGCGGTCCTTGAGTTCCCGTATTGCTTTGGAAAATGCAGATCCTGTAACTTTGCATTTAAATATGAACTGAATTCAACTTCCCCTCTCTCCCTAGTCATGCAAATCCAAGTGATGCAGTTAACAATGTGAAAGCAGGAGCGTAAAAAGGAAAGGAAAGGAAATGTGAAAGCAGAACTAGATCTGGATGAAAAAGACAGAGCTACTCTCAGAAACTGCATCCTCCCTTCCCCCGTGGAATATGTAGGTGTCATGATGGACTAATTCAGCCCAAGATCCCAGCCTTACAGAAACCATTTTATGCAAGCTTTAACTCCCCTTGGTTTGTTTAGCAGGGGACAGGACAGGCATGAGGCAGGCCTCTTCCAAGCAAGCTCCAATCTGTTTCTTTTGTGTTTTTCTTCTTTTCCAGGGATATATAAAGGACACTGTTTTCGAATTAACCACTTCCCTGAAGACAATGATTATGATCATGACAGCTCTGAATACCTTCTCCGTAAGTGAAGTATCCAGCATCTTAATCATTGCCATTCTAACTCCATCTTAAATCAGTTTTATACACTGAAAATGCATAAAGGAACAAACCTAAGTTGTTGGACTTTTCCCAGATGCCCGCAGCACTGAATGGGAATAGGATTTCAATAACTTGGAGTAAAGGTAAAGGGACCCCTGACCATTAGGTCCAGTCGTGGCCGACTCTGGGGTTGCGGCGCTCATCTCGCTTTATTGGCTGAGGGAGCCGGTATACAGCTTCCAGGTCATGTGGCCAGCATGACTAAGCCGCTTCTGGCGAACCAGAGCAGCGTACGGAAATGCCGTTTACCTTCCCGCCGAAGCGGTACCTATTTATCTACTTGCACTTTGACGTGCTTTCGAACTGCTAGGTTGGCAGGAGCTGGGACAGAGCAACAGGAGCTCACCCCTTCGCAGGGATTCGAACCGCCGACCTTCTGATCGGCAAGTCCTAGGCTCTGTGGTTTAACCCACAGCGCCACCCGCATCCCTTTAATAACTTGGAAACATGCGACTAAATATTTGCCTGGCTACTTTTAAACAAGGGGCAAATGGGGCTCGTCAACCTGGGAAGGTAGGTCATCTAGGAGAAGGAAAACGGGCCCTAAATCTCCTCTGTGTTGTGGCACATCTTCAGGTAAAGAAAAGGCTAAGAAGTAAACCCTACACAAATCCAGAGTGGAGTCCCTAAGACGGTTGGATGGTGTCTGATATGTCTCCTTCCAGCAACTCCTGCAGCCAAGCTGGTGCCAAACGTATTGCTCTGCTTTCCTTTGAAGTGAGGCCGAGACGGAGGTCTTGTTATCTGGGCAGCCCAGGAGCTCCATAAACACTGCCCAGGCTTGCGCCCCAGGGAGGTCACTTAGGGCTTCACCCTGGAGGTGCACTCCATTGTTTCTCGAGACAGATGGAGGGCAACAGATTTAGAACAATACGCATCATTCACCCATCACTACTACCTCTGTCTCTCCTCACATAATGTTGTCTGTTTAGTCTGGTCCCCAGATTTCCCTCCTGCCCTTGTATGAAGTTTCCCCCTCCCCGAAATATCTCCCTGAGTTCATAGTAGCATTCTTTGCGCCTACTATTTCCTCCCAAGTTTCTGCTCCCACCATCCTTCTTTCCCTCAAATCCTTGCTTCCACATGGCAAGTTATTTCCCGGGCCAAACAGATTTTTCACTTCCCGCACAGATTTGTTAAATATTTTTTCAGCATTCTGCCACTGACAGCTTCTGCTGGAGGAGATAGAATGTTTGTGAACATTCCACAACACCCTAGAAGCTCGACTTTTTATAAATAAGGTAGGAGGAAAGGATAGCAGTTGATAGCAGATGTCATTTTTTAAGCTAATTGTATACAATAGTTACAGCTCCCATAATACCGATGCCCCAAGAGAGCACCAAAGGCGCTTGGAAGGAGGGGGATAATAAACAATGAAACTGAAAGATGTCCAGATAAATTGTAACAACTCTAATTGTGTATCCAAGTTAGGACAGTTACCAAATAATCTACTCCATCTCCTTAGCTGCTTAAACTTGTGTGAATGGTGAAATGCAGTCCTGTTTATTTGTTGCCTTCTAATTCAAGTTTAATAATGAGAGTAAGATGCTAATTAACAAAAAATATATAATGGTCATTTTCTGTCTTGCTTGGATCTGAGGCTATAAGTGTATGGGCAATGATATGAAGGGAATAGCATGCTGTGTCATAAAACTGAGGATATTGAGGTGAAGAGACATATAGCACACAGATCAGCAACCAGTTTGGCCTTGGGCCACTAGTCCTTATGAATGCTGAAAAACAGAACCACGTGCTTTCATTATGCTTTCAAATCACTCTTCCGAATTCAAGATGAAAGGATAGGACAAAAACTGAATTTTAAAGCGGAAAAAGAACAAACTCTCCTGCCTGCAGATATCCTATTAAATTCCACATGTTCCAGTCAATAACTGCAGTAAAAACTGCCACTTAAGTACAACCAGAAAGACTATTCTTTTGAAACAGGGGAAAAATACGTTTAGAAAATTAGAGATTCCCTAACTCTAATATTCTCCCTTTTCCATGCCAATTGATATAGTGCACATGTTGAGCAATGGGAGAACATTTGCCTTTCCTACAAAACATCCAGACTCAACTCAAGTTGATACCAGGTCAGCTGAGAGTAAATTTTAATTTTAATAATAGGAGCAAAAAGCTATCAAATTTTGATATGTGCTAGAGAAAGATGGTCGTTTCTTCAGAAAGCTTAAAAGCAGTAAGATAAGAGGCATTAAAAGACTAATTTTCCTGTTCGTTAAAAGTCTTCCAACGTCCTCTTTCATCTATCTACAAAACAATTAAAGATGAATCACAACTGCAACGCCTAGCTGATTCTCTTTTCGGGCACACAATGGCCACCATAGATTCTAACAATTTATTCTCATCAGTGTACTGGAATAGACATTCATTATGCACAGTACCTAAAAGCAGCAAGTTCTGTACTGTAAAAGGCAGGAGCAGGTCCTTTTAGTTTAGCTAGGCCATATATTAAAACGAAAACAGAATAATCAAAGTACAGTTTTATGAAATTATTATTTTCTACAGCATAGTCATTCCGCTATTATCTCTGAGGACCAAACTGGGTATGACATCTGTCTCACATACTTAAACTTATGCCGCATACAATCAATCTTTACTTTTTATACACTGAATAGCTAAATGAGGGGAGGCGACCATGTTGTGGGGCAGAGAATCAGAATGCTCCCGCCCCATGGACTTGTCTATTTGTGATGGGAGAAGAGCTCCTATTGGCCCTAGACCAGGCATAGGCAAACTCGGCCCTCCAGATGTTTTGAGGCTACAATTCCCATCATCCCTGACCACTGGTCCTGTTAGCTAGGGATGATGGGAGTTGTAGTCCCAAAACATCTGGAGGACCGAGTTTGCCTATCCCTGCCCTGGACACTGATCAGTGGATTACAGTCTCCTTATAATGTCAGACCTGGCACTAGGCACTTGCATCCAGAGCACAAAATTGCTATGTAAAGGCCTTGACGCAGTTTTCCATTTACTATTTCTTGTATTAGTTTACAAGGTCCTTAACAATTTGGGTCCAGGATACTTTCAGGACCACCTGACTCATTACATCCCTGCCGGATCACTGAGGTATTTGGGGGAGTCACTGTTGGGGATCCCCCCCCCCCACGGCTCAGTCATAGCTGTTCAGGTTTGCATGAGTCATAGCTGTTCAGGTTTATGGAATTCCCTTTAGCTGAGGTCAAATAGCCCCTCTCCTCGCTGAACTTCACTTATTTTATTGCAGCGGGCAGTATAACTGAATTCTGATTTTCTAGTTTTAACCAATTTTTATCTGTGGACTCAGCTACATTAGCCATGCTACAACGCTATAACTGCATTATAAGCATGCTACACCAGATGGTGCCGTAGAGCACAAAACTTTGTCTACGCAGTTTTACAAAGAGGTGGTCCCCCCCCTTTTGTTATAATGGTTTAATTCGTGACTTATTTATAGTGGGGCTTTCCCTGAGTGTAGATCCAGCCTGTATTGCATTGAGTAACTCAAACACTTCTTGGGGACAACTGCAATTAAATGCCGTGTCAAAATCCATCAATAATGCTGGAATAATGCACAGGTGGAACATTCTTTCATTTTTATAAATCCATATTATTTGTAAAATGATTGTTTCTATGAGTTAATACTTTACTATCCCTTTGGAGCTGTCCTGTTTCTTTGCATTTTTGTTCTTCCAGGCGCTGACCCTTTGTGGTTTAAAAATCTGATTCTTTGCTTTCTTTCTTGGCACTTTTTTGGGGTTAACAAATCAATAAAATCTTAAGCAAAAATCAATCAATGCTTCTAGCTAAATAAAACCACCAGTGGCAGGTGGAGCTGTGGTTCATATGTGCACAGGAGCATAAGGAAGATATTTTCGTGCCCAAAATACATCTGGTGATGGGTTTGTTTCCAAGCAAATGGCTCTCCGTTCCCTTGCCTGCAGAAAGATTCGGCCAACATTATTGCAATGTTGCACTGTGCTTATTAGACTGCAGCGTGATATCTGAAGGAGCCTGAGTAGAAGAGATGATAGTGGACATCATGGAGACTGAGGCCAATTGCTTCTTTGTGGTATACAGCAGGTGCAGCTACACTGAAAACAATCTTCTTTCAATTGTGACCAGCCTATCACTGGCTTTAAAGAGCTACCTTAGCAAGCCTTGATCGCTAATCTTGCCTTTTCGTTGTAGCCTGGAAGCAGAGTGGAATGTGCAGCTGCCACATTCTGCCACAGATGTGTAATGTACACCATAAGCTTTACTGGGACATTTACTGGAGTGTGATTTGCGCACACACACACACCATGTCATTGGCCATCGATACATACTAAAATATCTGCCCTGCAGCTGTTTTTAGAAGATGTTAGCCGGTAATATGCAACACACACACACCATGCGCACACAAGCAAGAACTGCAAACCAGGATGGGGAACCCCAGTTGTGGTTGTGGCCCTCATCATCCCCATGGAAAACTGGAGCATTTAAACTGCAGGAGTTATGGGTTGCTTGCAGAACAGGAACACGGCTCCATGTTTCTGTACCCTCTTCCCAAGAGGCATAATGAATAAGTGATTCTAAAATGTTTGCAAGAAGGAGGAATGGAGGAGGAAGGGCTCTCTTTACATATTCTGATGTTTTGACGTTTTATTACCAGTAAGGAGAAACATGTCAGTGCCACACATCTGAGTTACTTGTGAGCTGATGTAGACAGACTCAAAAGATTGAATTACTATAAGATTCAGTCAGGATCGGGGTTCAGAATTTTGCATCAGCGCTCACAAATCCTTTGTCCCCACTCACTCCTGGTATTTGGACACACTCCTGTTGCATCCTGGACTTTATTTTTCTCGTAATTATGTATGTGCCGCACGCAGAGTCACAACCAGAAAGCAATTACTACTATTATTATATTTATTAAGTACCTAAAACCTCCAGGTGCCACACAAAGATTAAAACAGTTAAGCGGGATTGCCCGGAGGCTCACAATTCTGATTTCCATCTCTTGCACAAACGTTTTGACAGCCGTTATAATACTTCGGGGGCCCTTAACTCCATCCTTCAGGACAATTTTGATATGACGGGAATATTAAACATGGTTGAACATCCCAACAGTTATTAGTAGCAGAAAGCAATGGTGTCTCTCTCACACTATCCGTAGGAAGGTTTACCCCAGCCAATGCAATTGTCTAATACCACTGGGTGATAAGAAAACCGCAGCCAACAGACTTGTTTCAAATGAAATCTCCACCACTGTTAATCCGTTTATGCAAGCGACACGTAGGGTATTTGCTTTGGGTCATGAATATGAGCCCTAAGGGCTCTCTGGTTGACAGACAACCTGATTATAATGCAATATTCAGACACAAAACCAATGTACAGCGGATCACTGGGCTGCTTCCTCTTAGGATGTTTGACCATTTACAATATTTAAATATAGCCATGCTGTATTTAGAAAATATATCACCTGTGGAATCTTAATTCTGGTGGCCCTTTGTAGATTTCAGCCTCTGTGTCCCTCGCCATGACAGGTGTAACTAAATATCTATGATATTCCTTAGCATGCATATCCTGCTGTGTTGCTACCAGAGGGTCAACAGAATTATCGTTGGTATTATCACACACAGCAGTTGCCATCTTTCTACATAACGATCGAGGCATAAAATAGCCCTGTAGCCAAACTAGCCCAAGGCCATTTTCAGCCATTTTATGGTACCCTTGGGCCTTGTGTGCCCAATACATTTCCACCCCGGTTGCAGAGCCAAGATGTGAGTGTGGCTTAGCCTCCGGGTAGTTGTGCGCCTTCCACTGATGTACTTCACCTGAAAACCAGTGAGCATTTACCGGGGTAAGTACAGCTTGCCCTTTAGGATAATAGACACAAAGACTCCAATTGCCCCATGGTAAAATCCACCCAAAAGAACGCTGTGAAAAAGCGGCAGAATATCCTCAGGAGTATTGATCCCTCTTGTTATGGTCCCATTCCTAGGCTTGAGATATATTTTCTCTCATCCTTCAAAGGATGCTGTCTTGCCCTCTGCCACCTTTTCCCGTATCATGAATCCTCACTGCAATTCATTCTCTCTGGCTTTCTCTCTCACACAAATGCATTCTCATTCTCCCTCCCTCTTTCTTTGCCTCCTCTTTGGTCATCTCCAGTTCCTTTTGCTTTCAGCCTTTGAGCAGGTAAAGGACCCCTAGACAGTCAAAGGTGATTATGGGCTGTGGCACACATCTCGCTTTTCAGGCCAAGGGAGCCGGCATTTGTCCACAGACAGTTTTCTGGGGTCATGTGGCCAGCCTGACTAAACTGCTTCTGGCACACAGAAGACCATGACAAGTGCCAGAGTGCACCAAAATGCCTCTAAACACACACACCATCCTCATGCTTCCATGCCCTCCAACATGCCTCAGATGAAAATAATAATAATAATAATAATAATAATAATAATAATAATAATAATTTTATTTATACCCCGCCCTTCCCAGTTCAGAAAACCAGGCTTAGGGCGGCTAACAACAAATTTAAAACACTTAATTGATGCAACAAAAATATCATAAAATACAGTATAAAACATGAATAACAATAAATTCAGAATTCAAAAATCAATTTAGGGGGGGAAATCCATCCAATAAACATCAGATGATCACCAGGGCTAGCTGGCTAAATTAGTCCTATTTGGGCCAGCGAGGAGACCATCGGAGAATTAGCTGTGGGATCCCAGAGTGGGTAATCTTCATAAAAGGGGAGGGGGAGGGAAGGAAGGGGAATAAAAGATGAGGCTAAGTTCAAATTGAAAGCCAGGCAGAATAGCTCTGTCTTACAGGCCCTGCGGAAGGAGGTTAAATCCTGCAGGGCCCTGGTGTCATGGGACAGAGCATTCCACCAGGTCGGAGCCATCACTGAGAAGGCCCTGGCCCTGGTGGAGGATAATCTGACTTCCTTAGGGCCCGGGACCTCTAAACTATGATTATTCACGGACCTTAAGGTCCTCTACGGGGCCCTAAGCCACAGGGACATTTCTCACTCCCCTGCAACCGATCCCCCTCGACCTCCCATTCTTTGTGGTCCCACCTCCCCTGCTGCCACCGCAGAGCAATTTCCTATCAAAAGAAGGGCGAGTGCCACCACCATTTCACCAACAGGACACCGCACACATGCCCTCCGCTGTCCTGACAAATAGAAAGGGGCAATATGCAATGCGAACGCACAAAGCATTTTTTAAAAATCAAGACTCCTTATGCTCCACTCCTCCTTTCTTCGTGCCAAGGGCGATCCTGCCCCTCAGAGCCAGCGTGTCATGTGGGGCTGGGCCTCAGCGGCAGCGGCCTTTGCTGCTGTTCACCCGCTCTCTAGTAGCCAAGGGAGGAGGCCAGCAGCAGTGGCCAAGGAGAGGCAATGGGGATCTTCCCTCACAGCGCCAGGTCATCCCTTTTCCTGAGCTCGGCGGAGGCAACACTGGCGGGGAAAATAGGGGCATTGCAGGATCAAATCCGAAGCCAGGACGGCTTTCGTAATTCCAGGGCTGCCCCTGGAAAATCAGGGCATTTGTTCTGTTCACTGAGGCAGAAAGGATCTGGCCTTAAAAATAAAACACCGAAATAAGAGACTGGATAGAATTACCGTATATTTTGCTCTATAAGACTCACTTTTTCCCTCCTAAAAAGTAAGGGGAAATGTGTGTGTGTGTTATGGAGTGAATGCAGGCTGCGCAGCTATCCAGAAGCCAGAACAGCAAGAGGGATTGCTGCTTTCACTGCGCAGCGATCCCTCTTGCTGTTCTGGCTTCTGAGATTCAGAATATTTTTTTTCTTGTTTTCCTCCTCCAAAAACTAGGTGCGTCTTGTGGTCTGGTGCATCTTATAGAGCGAAAAATACAGTAAAAAATAGAGAACAAAACGAATCTGTGTAAGTATGGACCTAGCAACAACTGAGGAACAGATGATCCCAGTTACGGTTCAGAAAGGAATTGGAGCAGCGTGGGGCACACACAAAAGACGCACATGCACCAAATGCTCTTTTTGCATCTTCAAGCCCAAGGTGTTCTGGCTTTGTTACTTTTGCAGAGGAGATGAATAGAGAGGGTGCAGGGAGATTCCAGGACAGCTGTCATATAGTCAGCGAGCTTGATTATCTACATTCACATGTATCAAGTGGCAGCTCACAGTCAGTAGCCCTGCTCATACATTTTTCATGCCTCTTCCCTGCATTAATTTGTGGGTTATTCTTTATAACCTCTCTAGCTGGAAGCTTGCCAGAATATGTTTCCACACAAGGCGGCTTTGGAAAGCTGATTATGGTAATGACCCCAAATTTTCCGGCAGAAATGGCAGAGTGCATTAGAAAGACTAAACGGGAGGCGCATTTCCCCTTGTGGAGACTCTCCAATTATTACCCTGGTCGTTCCCCTCAAAAGACCATGTTTATCCAAAAACTGTATCAGACTTTTAAACTTCTGTTGATGCGTCTACCGTGAATTCTTTCAACATCCTCTCTAACGCTTCTTTTGCAGATTTGCCATTTGCAGCTCATTTTAAGGTAGTCAGTGTTTCAAGGTGTGTTTAATACATTGTCTTTGGTTGCCTTGGCAATACGTTTTAAAGGATGGGGTATAAATCTTAATTATAAATAAATGGTCCACAGGGATAGCTGTTAACATTTCCAATTGCCACAAAAGCGCTTCTGCTGCTTCTTCCTCCTTTTTTCCCCGTAAGGAAACAACAAAGTTGATAAATCATCTCTTGTGCTTTTTCATTTCTCTCCTCCCCGGGTTTCAGGTATTGTCCGGGCCTCTAGCGTGTTTCCGATTCTAAGCACAGTATTACTGTTGCTGGGAGGGCTCTGCATCGGAGCTGGGAGGATTTATAGCAGCAAGAACAACATTATCCTCAGCGCTGGGATTCTTTTTGTTGCAGCAGGTAGGTCATCATTTATTCATTTTATTGATGAATCGCTTCCCACGAAACGCCTCAAAGCGAGTTAACAATAGAAGAAAGCACGATTTCTGTAGGCCAATGAAGATTAAAAGCTAGGAACGGAAATCTCCAGTTAAAAGGCTTGTTGGAAGAGGAAGGTATTCGATACACTTCAAGAAAAGGCAACAAAGATGGTGCCTGTGTCATAAGTAATGGGGGGCGGAGGTCCCAAAGGGCGGGTGCCGCCACACTAAAAATCCTCTCCCTGTAGCAAAGGATCCCTGAGGAGATTGTATCTTTAGACAGCCCTTTCCTGCATCAGTTGGGTGATCATCCCTCAGTGATCAGCTGGGTTTGTAGGGAGTGAGGGGATCTTTTGGGTATCCTGGTCTCAAGCTGCATAAGGCTTTGCATACCATCACTAATGCACTGAATTCAGTCCAGGAACTAACTGGCAGAAATTATTATTATTATTATTATTATTATTAATGTTATTATTTATACCCTGCCCATCTGGCTGGGATGTCCCAACCACACTGAGCGGCTTCCAGCACATACAAGAACATAATAAAACATTACACATTAAAAAGCTTCCCTATACAGGGCTGCCTTCAGATGTCATCTAAGGGTTGTCTAGTTACTCATCTCCTTGACATCTGGTGGGAGGGCGTTCCACAGAGAGGGCACCACAGCCGAGAAGGTCCTCTGCTTGGTTCCCTGTAACCTCATTTCTTGCAGTGCGGGAACCGCCAGAAGGCCCTCGGAGCTAGAGCTCAGTATCAGGGCTGGATGACGGGGTGGAGACGCTCCTTCAGGTATACAGGGCCAAAGCTGTTTAGGGCTTTGAAGGTCAGCACCAACCCTTTGAATTGTGCTTGGAAATGTACTGGAAGCCAATGTAGGTCTTTCAGGACAGGTGTGATATGATCCCAGACTGGCAGTCACATTCTGGATTAGTTGTAGGTTCCGAGTCACCTTCAAAGGTAGCCCCATGTAGAGAGCTTTGCAGTAGTCCAAGCAGAAGATAGCCAGGGCATGTACAACTCTGGCAAGACAGTGCACAGGTAGAGGCATACCAGATGGAGCTGGTAGACAGCCGCCCTGGATACAGAATTAACCTGTGTCTTCATGGACAGCTGTGAGTCCAAAATGACCCCCAGGCTGTGCATCTGGTCCTTCAGGGGCACAATTACAAGTCTTTCTGCAGTGGCATTGCATGGTGGTGATATTCTGGCCCACGCAGAGTGCATTGCTGTAGCCCAACCTGAAGCTTACCAGAACATGGACCAAGGAGGACCTAAAATACATATTTTGCCTTCCTTTTAATCAAAGGTGTTAGAGAAGAGAATGCAGCAGAGAAGACCAATAACAAGTGTCTTGCAATTACTTACTTTTTTTTCCCCTTCCCTATTTCTTATTATTATGATGTGAGTCCCCAAGAGAATGGAGCATTCAGTGCAAGTCTCAATCTCTTTTGTCTTAACAAGCAGACCACCGCAGCTCCTCATTAGGCGAGAGCTCAGAGATTAGAACATCTCCCGCTCGTGCTAAAAGTGACCCTAAATATCAGGGTGCTTATTATTCTAGGAACACATCGCTAGATTTTTTCAGAGCACAGGACTTTTAACATACACCGCGTGGGTGTACGAGCTTCGCCTCCAGTTGCCGGGGGCTTGAGAAATCTCCCTGGATAATTACGTAACAGCAGTGACTGACACACATAAAAGAGAGGATGTTATTCCTCACCGTCCCCAACAAGGTGCTTGTGCATTTGGGCTTGGCTGTCTCCTCCGTGATTTCCCGTGTGACACACTTTCCAAACGCAGCAGATGGGTCACTGTTTATCAGACGATCTGACTGTGCCCGTTTCATGGATTTTCTTCGCACGGTAGTATGGGCAGGGAGGGGCTGGGGGCTGCTTTCTGCATTTGTATTTACTATGGAAAGGCAGCACGTGTCTTTGCAAAGTTTCTACAGTGAAACATCCTCTTGGGGCCAAATTTCTATCCATCCTTCCCCAGGCCATGCTCTGACAGATGGAGTGAGTAACAAGAATGCAGCTCTTGCAATATATGCAGAGAAAGAAAGCAGTTGAGAGTTTCTCCTGTGCAAAAGCATCACCTTATTTTTGAGAAGAATTTAAGAAGCACTTTAAACATCTGCTGTGACAGATTCAAGATACAGGGTTCATTTGGGCAGCTCAATAGCCCACAAGCCTGATAACACCAAGATTGCAAGTTCGATTCCCATACAGGGCCACCTGCTTATTCTTGCAATGTAGGGGACTGGACTAGATGGCCCTTGTGGTCGCTTCCAACTCTACAATTCTATGATTCCAAGCCACACATTATCCTCCACTAGCTTCTACATATCCTGCAGCCCAGTCAAATCAGGTGGGCAGTGGCTGGAGTTGCTGGACTACAATTTCCATCATCCCTAGCTAGCAGAACCACAGGGGTGATGAGAGTTGTAGTCCAACAACAGCTGGGGACCCAAGTTTGAGAAACACTGCCTTATAGCTTGGTCAGGCTACCTTTGAAGGTGACTCAGAAACTACAACTAATCCAGAATGCGGCAGCTAGACTGGTGATTGGGAGCGGCCGCCGAGACCACATAACACCAGTCTTGAAAGACCTACATTGGCTCCCAGCAGGTTTCTGAGCACAATTCAAAGTGTTGGTGCTGACCTTTAAAGCCCTAAATGGCCTTGGTCCAGTATATCTGAAGGAGCGTCTCCACCCCCATCATTCTACCCGGAAACTGAGGTCCAGCACCGAGGGCCTTCTGGCGGTTCCCTCACTGTGAGAAGCCAAGTTACAGGGAACCAGGCAGAGGGCCTTCTTGGTAGTGGCACCCGCCCTGTGGAACACCCTCCCATCAGATGTCAAAGGAAAAAACAACTACCAGGCTTTTAGAAGACATCTGAAGGCAGCCCTCTTTAGGGAAGCTTTTAATATCTGAAGGGCTATTGTATTTTAATATTTTGTTGGAAGCCGCCCAGAGTGGCTGGGGAAACCCAGCCAGATGGGTGGGGTATAAATAATAAATTATCATCATCAAGTGCAGGGTATCAGTCAAGGTCTTCTTACGAAGTAGGCAGCAGGTCCTGGGAGTTGTGGGGGGAGCAGAAGTGGCAGCTCCCCAGCCTAGCCATTCCCCTCCATTGTGGAACAGGTGTGTATGTGTCGTATTCAGCCTGAGGCATAAAGCCAACTCTTAGGAGCCGATTAGGCAAATGATTAGGCAGGGCAAGGCTTACCTGGCTCCCCCATATTTTGTTCAAGTTGGCACCCCTGAATGTAGGGTGCTGTCCCATTGCCAGTGATACAGTGAGGCTAAACGGTCAGCCTGATTGTCTTCTGTATGTGGAATTGGTGTGGGGGCAACCCAGTCTACCAAAACTCAGTGTTGTCTACCCTGACATGCTGTAGCTCTCCAGGGTTTTTTCAAGTGAGGAGTCTTTTCCAGTGCTACCTGTAGATAATTATTATTATTATTATTATTATTATTATTATTATTATCTGTACCCCGCCCATCTGGCTGGGTTTCCCCAGTCACTCTGGGCGGCTTCCACAAAGACCAAAAATACACCAAGATGTCAACACATTAAAAACTTCCCTGAACAGGGCTGCCTTAAGATGTCTTCTGAATGTCAGGTAGTTGTTTATCTCTTTGATATCTTATGGAAGGGCGTTCCACAGGGCGGGTGCCACTACCGAGAAGGCCCTCTGCCTGGTTCCCTGTAGCTTTGCTTCTCGCAATGAGGGAACCGCCAGAAGGCCCTTGGCGCTGGACCTCAGCATCCGGGCGGAACGATGGGGGTGCAGGCGCTCCTTCAGGTATACTGGGCCGAGGCCGTTTAGGGCTTTAAGGGCTGTTTAGGGACTGGGACGTTTCGCATGCAAAGCAGGTGCTCTACCGCTGAGCTGCAGCTCTTCCCCCTGGCCTACACCTTTGCCTCGGGTACCAAAACAAACCCAGCCAAAGATCCAGGAAAGACAGAGGCTCTCAGCCGACGTTTTGGGATCATCGCTGCTCTGAGGGACTATGGTGAAAAGCAGAGAGTGGGGAAGAAGAGGAAGGGACATAAAGGCCCTTTGCTGGATGTTGGAAGCATCTGGGTCACCGACTTAAGAGAAACAGCCCAGTGGGGGAATGTGGGAAGGTTCGCTTGCGAGATGAAATCCTTTCAGTGAGCGGACAATGGATGGTTGGAGTAGATATCGGCAGTGCAAGAATCAGCAGTGAAAAGACATGTGGAGTTCTCTGGAGGATGACTTGCAATGTGCTTGGGAGAAGGTGTAGCCTCGTTGAGTGAAAAGCTGTGTTTTACTGCCTTTATGTTTTTGATTACCGTATTTTTCCGTGTATAACACGCCTCCGTGTATAAGACGACGCCCAGAGGCTTTTGGGGAGGGGAATTGCCGGCAATCGCTCACCTCGCAGAAGCAACCAATCGTCTGCCCAATCGCCCGCTCAATCGCCACAGTAGCAGCCAATCATCATCAGGCCTTGCCGCAGCCACCAATCAACCGCCCAATCGCCGATGACAATCTCCTGCTCACAAATGCCACAAATCACCCATCTCCCCTCTGTTTATAAGACATGTATAAGATGACCCCCAATTTTAAACATTTTTAACAATAAAAAAAATCATCTTACACACGAAAAAAATACGGTAATTTTAGTATGTATTCTGTGCTTTGATTGTTTTTAATATGTATTTTGTGCTTTGTATGCTGTAACTTTGTGCTGTGAACCACCTTGAGACCTGTGGGTATAGAGCGGTATACTAATAATAATAATAATAATAATAATAATAATGGGCTACCCATGCAACAGATTGCTGGTCCTATATTGCTTCACTCTGGCTAAATCGTATCCTTACCAACCCAAGGGCTTGTGATGAGGATAATTTTGTTATGGAAGTATTCTCTCGAGCTGGCTAATTTCCCTCTTTCTTTCTCCCTCTCCAGGATTAAGTAACATAATAGGAATCATTGTCTACATATCCAGCAATGCAGGTGATCCTAGTGACAAGCGGGATGAGGACAAAAAGAACCAATACAATTACGGCTGGTCTTTTTATTTTGGAGCCTTGTCTTTCATTGTGGCAGAAACAGTTGGCGTCCTAGCTGTGAACATCTATATTGAAAAGAACAAAGAGCTAAGGTTTAAGACCAAGAGGGAGTTCCTTAAGACCACTTCTTCTTCTTCCCCTTATGCCAGGATGCCAAGCTATAGGTACAGGAGAAGGCGGTCCAGATCTAGCTCTCGATCTACAGAGCCTTCTCCATCCAGGGATGTTTCGCCCGTTGGCCTGAAAATGGCAGGTTCCATTCCCATGAACGAAATCTCCATGTACACGCTCTCCAGGGAGCCCTTGAAGATCACCACGGCCGCAAGCTACAACATGGAGCAAGACGCAGGTTTTCTTCAAGTTCACAATTTCCTTCAAAAGGAATACAACGAAGGACTTCATATCAACATGGTCAACAGGAGAACAACGCCTGTTTGAAGAGGGGACCGTTTGCTTTTCTTTAAAACTACAACGCGAAGCAAAATCCAGATCTTTTTATACGTGAAAAGCGTGTATTTTTTAAACAAAAGCTCTTGCATACCTCAAGAGAAAAATCATGCGGAGAGGTTGAAGAGATTCTGAAATGACCTGAAGATACGGAACTATACATTTCTAGCTGATTTTTATAATAAGCTCTTTCGAAAAAACAAAATTTGTTTAAAGTTCTCAGTGTCACCAAAAGGGAAGAAAAAAAAAATTAAAATCAGCAGCTTCTTTCCCTGCACTTTTGTAGTATGTGTAGTGTAACTTGTGAAACGGAAAACATTTTAGCTATTGTAAGGTTCTGAATTTTTCAGTGTGGGCTTCCCCCCCTCCCAATAATGCTGTCTCTTAGTATAAACCCAGAACAATCACAAGCGCTGCCTAGTGCTCTTGTTTCCTTTAAGCTGACAAAAGAGGGAGGGTTTTCCCTCCCCTCTCTCTCTCCTAGAAAAAAAAAGGCAGGGTACCTGAAACCAGCAGGAGCTGTGAAACTATAGCATATCATTTTTGCTCTGGACGGATTCGAACATTGCAGAACTCTTGACAGGGAACCAAATACCACAAAAGTCATTTTGAATCACAGTTCTGCTATTGAGCCGGGGGGGGGGGGGATAAGTCCGGGTTCTTAATTAAGCTGTTTCTCTCCATATCAAATCCCTGTGGAGAGTGAGTGGCTGAAGTAAGATTTGCCTGAAATTGGCCTGGTAATGTGAACTTTATTTCCCCTACTTCTCCCCCTGCCCACCAGACTGTTAAAACACCCTTTTGGATTTTGTACAACTTTTTGGCCTATTCACACTTGAGGAAATATTATTTTTTAGATGAGGAAGCTCTTTTTAAAATTATTAATCGTAGTAATAATACTGTGCATCGCCCACCCCATCCGTTAATGCGCACGTGGTTGAAACCGATGGTTACCTAAATCCAGCTTCACAAACAAGCAGGCATAGGAGAATCAAACTAGAATCCCATACAGTCAAGGGAAGAAGAAGAAAAAACTGCCTTTACTGAATCAGATATTGAGCCTATCCAGTCCTTTCTAGGGTCTTCTAGATTCCTCCAGCTCAGCTTCTAAAATTCCCAGCTGTTAACATATTGAATCATGTAACAAGGCATCTAGCATCATTGAGCTGTAGCCCCACTTCAGTCATCAGTGAAGTGCTTAGAGACCGCAATCAGAAAACCCTCTCGGAAATTACATCAGTGGCTTAAGCAGTTAACACAGACTAGTACCGCTGCAGCTTTACTGAGGGAAAGTAGAATCTTCCCCATTCAGTTACTGGGCTCCCATGCAAGGCCTTTTAAGATCACTCTTGAATCCTTTTGTGCTGAGTTCTGTCTCCACTTTGTAGTAATATAAGCTGACTCGGAACGAGGCAGTTTTAGAAACATTCACAGAGCTATGCTTGTTTTTTCTATATTGAGCTACTTTGACAGCTCAGAGATGCCTTTTTTAAAAATAAAAAAATGAAACAAACTATGACTGAAATGAATGTCAGGGTGGCGGTGCATCTGAAGAGCATAAAAATGCCCCACCGGATCAGGCCAAGGTCTGTTGACTTTAGAGTTCTGTTTATCACAGGCTGGCAATGCCAAAACTAAGGCACGGTGAAGCTATCCCAGGTGGCTAGTCCTCAGCACTTAATAAATCAGAGAGGTTTCTTGCCTCTGACCATGGAGATTCCATCTAGATATCATGGCTGAAAGTCATTGATAAGACTGATCTGCCGTGAATTTATCTAATCCTTTAAAAACGAAAGCCATCTAAACGAGTCGCTGACACCACATTTTCTGGAAAAGGATTCCCTGTGTCAGTTTTCCTGTCTGTCAAGAAGTGCTCTCTCTTGTCTGTCCTTATCTATTTTCATGTTTAAAACAAAAAGGAAAAAAAAAGTCTCTTTGCAGGAGGGGAGAAGTAGGTTTCATGGTTTGTTAAAAATGCTAGAGATCTGTTTGTATACATGTCTATGCTTTCAAATGATAAATTATTACTTTCTTTGGGAGGCTTCTCTAAAAAATTAAATAAGGCTTATGATAAGGGTAGACGAATACGTACAGAAGCAATTTGTGTCACTCGTGTGTCATACTTAAGTGCTTACTATTTTATACCTCTTCTAGTCATTGTATTTTCAAGTGCGAGTTCCCTGAACTTCCCCACCCCCATTGTGTTAATAAACTAACAAGTAGAATTTAGTCCTCATTTGTATTTGCTGTAATTACAATATCCATGTTTATAGATATTATTTCCTTTCCAAGAAAGAGACTGACGTAGGCTTGTCTTTCTAAAGTTTTTCTGCATTGAAATGAAAACTCACAGTGTGAAATTCAATGGATTTTTTTTTAAAGAGAGAAAAGAAAGAAATATACAAAACATATCCTGCCAGTGGGAGTGTTTCTGTTAACGTTTTAGTAGAATCTGCAAAATCACACACACACATATATTTATATCTGTGCCATTTCTTTTTCTCTATTGTCTAGTGAAAATCTTGCCCGGGTACTCCAGAATTCATTTGTCACTGTGTGTCTAACACGAGCAGTTATTTGTCTATGCTGTTGTTATTATTTATCGTATTTTTGAACTGCCCTTCCTCAAACAGAGACCGGAGTGATGTGCCGCATAAGAGAAACAACAAAATTAACATCAGTGATTAAAACAGATGCAAAACTAAAATACTCATAGAGTAAGACACAGGGTAAAGGTAAAGGTAAAGGGACCCCTGACCATTAGGTCCAGTTGTGGCTGACTCTGGGGTTGCGGCGCTCATCTCGTTTTATTGGCTGAGGGAGCCGGCGTACAGCTTCCGGGTCATGTGGCGAGCATGACTAAGCCACTTCTGGCGAAGCAGAGCAGCGCACGGAAATGCCGTTTACCTTCCCGCCGGAGCGGTACCTATTTATCTACTTGCACTTTGACGTGCTTTTGAACTGCTAGGTTGGCAGGAGCAGGGACCGAGCAACGGGAGATCACCTCGTCGTGGGGATCCGAACAGCTGACCTTCTGATCGGCAAGTCCTAGGCTCTGTGGTTTAACCCACAGCACCACCCGCGTCCCATGTCCATTAATATATGTGAGTAAAACTTAGCTGAACATCACCGACACTTTACAATGGTGTTCAGGGCAAATATTACCATACCAGACTGAAATGACATGGGTGAATAGAAACGTCTTTAGCTGACATCTAAATCCCAACAACAAATTACATAACCTTCCTAAATTCAAAAGATTTCAATCCTAAATATCGCTCAAGATGTCATGAAATGCAACACACCCAAAACAGTCATTGCCTGATTTCCTTTTACTAGAAGGTCATTCAAATGATCAAAGGAATGTGGGTGTTTTTTTCCCAAATGGAGAAATTCTCAAAAATCCCCAAAGTTTGAACCAATGCCAATGTTTCTGGCTAAATGCTATTGTGTTGGAATTCTGGGAAACACAAAAGATTTGGCAGGTGCATGCTTCCCTTTGGGGAGAAATTGTACAATTGCAACCTTTCTGTTTCATTTGCAACAGCGCCTTTCCAATCCAATACTTGAAATAAGAGCCATTTGGGAAACCCACTTTGGTCAATCAGGGAGGTTTTAAATGATCAGCCTTGCTCCTATCTCAAAATTGCCCAACGGTGACACCGGATGGACAGGAACATTTGAAAAGTTGACTTTTACATCTTTACTTTTTGTCACATGTTGGGATGGCATTTTCTGTTCCTGACTGCATCCTGATTGTTAACTATTGCCTACAAAGGAAGGTCACAATAGTTAAAGCAGAGAGAGCAATTGTCAGGTGTTAAAATAATCTTCTGTATATTGTTAACCTGTTTACAGTATCTTCCAGTACAGTGGTACCTCGGGTTAAGAACTTAATTCGTTCTAGAGGTCTGTTCTTAACCTGAAACTGTTCTTAACCTGAAGCATCACTTTAGCTAATGGGGCCTCCTGCTGCTGCTGTGCCGCCGGGGCACAATTTCTGTTCTCATCCTGAAGCAAAGTTCTTAACCCGAGGTAATATTTCTGGGTTAGTGGAGTCTATAACCTGAAGCGTCTGTAATCTGAAGCTTATGTAACCTGAGGTACCACTTATAGATAATGTATTGTTGAAGACCCTCAGGGTTGTGAGGTTAGCAGCTGACCAATATCAAAAGAAAGGAGGAGGGGAGGAAGGCTAATTGGAAATAATAATAATAATTTTTATTTATTTATTTATTTATTTATACCCTGCCTATCTGGCTGAGTTTCCCCAGCCACTCTGGGCAGCTCCAGCCACTCTAGGCGACATCTGAAGGCAGCCCTGTATAAGGAAGTTTTAAACATTTCATGTTTTATTATGGTTTTATAATTGTGGGAAGCTGTCTTAGAGTGGCTGGGAAACCCAATAAGATGATGATGATGATGATGATGATGATGATGATGATGATGATGATTTATTGAATTTATATACTGCCCTATACCCAGGGGTCTCAGGGTGGTTCACAGAATAAAATCAAGATATAAAACCACAAAATAGCTAATAAAAATAAAAACAACAACCCAATATCCCCCACATTTTAAAGAACACATTTTAAAAGGGCATAGGATGTAAATCGGATCAACCAAAGGCCTGGTTTAAAAAGAACGTTTTTGCCTGGTGCCTAAAGGTGTGTAATGAAGGCGCCAGGCAAACTTCCCTGGGGAGATCATTCCACAGCCGGGGAGCCACTGCAGAGAAGGCCCGTTCTCATGTTGCGGCATATAAAATTATTATTATTAACCACAAAATTCAATAAATTCTATCCTTTTTAGGGAGATATTTCTCATCTGGACAAGCTATGGGTGATTAGCTTGATATTTGATCAAAGGACTTATGATTAACCAATATACATTTGTGTGAGTGTAGAAGACTTCAACCTCTTCTGGTAATCCTGTTACTGAAGATTGTCAGCACAGTGGCAAAACCTGGCATATAGCCTGTCACTGTCAAGTGGTCCTGCAGGACTGCACAGATAAAGTGCAGCTCTTTGGTGGTTTTGCTTGATAATTAATTGATCAGCCTCAAGTGAATCCTGTGGTCCTTGGATTGCATCTGCAGCGACAGGCAATGACATTTTTTTAATTAAAAAAAATACGACATGTGATGTTTTTTTGAAGAAGGTTGTCAATATTTTCCCTTTCTGCACTTTGTTTTGAAATGACTTGATTCCCGGTTTGGTTTGGTTTTTCTTTTTTTGGGTTGCGAAATATTAGGTTTGTTTGAGAGGTCTATATGAAGTTGGCGTTCTTTCTCTTTAGAACATTCAGCCCAGTGCGCAATGTTTACAATGGTACCTCGGGTTAAGTACTTAATTCGTTCCGGAGGTCCGTACTTAACCTGAAACTGCTCTTAACCTGAAGCACCACTTTAGCTAATGGGGCCTCCCGCTGCTGCCGCATCGCCGGAGCACAATTTCTGTTCTCATCCTGAAGCAAAGTTCTTAACCTGAAGCACTATTTCTGGGTTAGCGGAGTCTGTAACCTGAAGCGTATGTAACCTGAAGCATATGTAACCTGAGGTACCACTGTATTTGTTATCAGGCCTTTGCAAATGGGAGAGAAACTACAAATGACTCTTTTATTGATAATCTTTTCATGGTGGCTCACATTGACTTTACAAACCCTTTCAAAAGCGGTAAGGAACTAACTGCCAGGTGTGTGATTGTATGAGGATTGGTGTAGGAAAGATGTTGATCCCATAATGCATTGCAGCACCTTCTTTGTGCTGCTGGTACGAAACAAAGAAAAGGGCAGTGTATTTTCAGACCTGCTCTAGCCTTTCCAAGACCTCGGTGGCATCCGAACAGAAGTAATAATAATAATAATAATAAATTTTTATTTATACCCCGCTCTTCCCGGTTCAAAAAACCGGGCTCAGGGCGGCTAACAACAAATTTAAAACACTTAATTGATGCAACAAAAAACAGCATAAAATACAGTATAAAATGTGAATAACAATAAATTTGGAATTCAAAAATCAATTTAGGGAGGAAATCCATCCAATAAACATTAGATGATCACCAGGGCTAGCTGGCTAAATTAGTCCTATTTGGGCCAGCGAGACGACCAGGGGAGAATTAGCTGTGGGATCCCAGAATGGGTAATCTTCATAAAAAGGGGAGGGGGAGGGAAGGAAGGGGAATAAAAGATCAGGCTAAGTTCAAATTGAAAGCCAGGCGGAATAGCTCTCTCTTACAGGCCCTGCAGAAGGAAGTTAGATCCTGCAGGGCCCTGGTTTCATGGGAGTGAGCATTCCACCAGGTTGGAGCCATCACTGAGAAGGCCCTGGCCCTGGTGGAGGATAATCTGACTTCTTTAGGGCCTGGGACCTCTAAACTATGATTATTCATGGACCTTAAGGTCCTCTGCGGGGCATACCAGGAGAGGCGGTCCTGTAAATACGGGGGCCCTAAGTACACACAAGCCAAATAGTGGTCGGACTTTCAGAGACAGATTAATGTTGTGAAAGCATGTATGTATACCGTTATTATACGGGGGAATCAGATGTTCTTCAGCAGCATGCCCAATCCCCCAAAATCACATGAGCCTCCAGCCCACAGTACCGGCAATGCAGTTTTCAAAACTTCTTACTCCTGGCAAGAGAGCATCTCACCTAGGAAGACCCATGCCTCTCAAACAACTGTGAGAAAGATCGGGAACACAGGACTGGAAAGCCAGGGGGAGCTGGCTCATCACTCCTCAAAAATGTTCTATGCTCAAAAACCAGTGCTTCCAGTACAACCAAAGTTAGCTGCGAGCGACTAAGTTGAGAACAAGGGAACCTGCATTAGGCACTATGACTTGTTTGTTTTGCTGGTTGGAAAGGAAACTGGTCACAACAATGAACTTTGGCTGAGCCAGGGCAACGTACATATTAACTAAAGTGATCAACATCTCACACGTCCACACTCATGTAAGCATCCTTCCACCATGTTAGCAACATGGCTTGATATTGCAGACACCTTAGAAACCCCAAGCTCCAGGGTTCCACACTGTCTGAAAGCTTCACCCTCTCTACCTTCCATCCACGCTCATCTCCAAATGGAACAGCATAGCCATTAATTCCAGCACATGCACATACAGCTAATGTGCCATAAAACCACGATTCATTTTGTTTTTCATTTCGTAAGGATATTTGTCTTTTTCTTGTGGTATTGTAATTGCCAGTAGTCAACTTTAAATATACAGTGGTACCTTG